ACTTCCATAAAAAATAATTTTACAATTTTTTTGAGGTTTCACAGGCAAGGGAAAAACCATAAAGCTACCCTAGATGCTGTTCTTAATCCACAATTATTAGGCTGCGCCAGAAAACTATTCTCTAGAATTTCTACCTAACGAGCACTTTTCCCCCCAACAAATCGCTTCCCCCCGAAAGAAGCGTAATCAAATTCCATTTCAGCGGTTTCCGGTGCAACGCAAAAACCTAGAATTGCCGTGTGCACCCTGCCTGGAATGTGGCCAAACCCGCTGGCAACCCAATTTTCAGCAACCGAGCATCCCCGTCTCTGGTGGTAATGGTTATCGGCTTCTCCCCTGGCTGAAAGTTTAGTAGGCGGGACCCAGCCTCTTTGCATTTCTGATTAAACGTACTAATTTGGAAACGACGGAAAACCAGTTATAAGGGTTTGGTGTGAGGCCCAAATGGTACGCACCTATAAGCAGATGTTCCACGAAAATATCAGCATCTGCCGAAAATTACGCTCTTTCGAATGAGCCATGTACGTTCAAAATTTCTCAAATTGCGGAATTTCACATGGGGACCATGTCGTCTAATTAATCTTTTGAAAATGTTCGAACTTTTTCATGGTGGCTGATCGAAGGGTGTTTTCGAGCAGTGCACTAATTATTTTCGTGGAAACTTATTCTGCTCTATTATGTCCGAATAGCCATTTTGGCCTTTTCACACTTTACCCTCATAACTTTGGTTTTCCGGTCGTTTCGCTCTAACCGTTTTTCAGCGATTCTGCACCAGATAGGCTGGCCTGTTCGCCCGTGCCCCGTCCATAGAACCGGAAGGCCAAAGAAGGGGGTCTATCTCCTGCCTTCCCTCGGTTATTGAGCAACCAAATGGTTTTGTGTGGCTGCGTCGGAATTCAGGAACCCGAAACGATAGCTTCCGCCATGCATATATAAATATACATGGAACGGCTGGAGGGAAAACAATGTGGGAAGGGTTGAATTTGGGTTAGAAGGCGCGCTTTTTTGCTTCTCATCCGTGAAACGGAAGAGAAACTTAGCTTATTCGAAGGGGAATCGAATTCTGCAGAAGATCCGTAAGCCAATTTGGCAAAATGGCCATCCCTTTCGGATAACATAGAAAAAATAAAAACGGATCGTACGGTAGGGTCGAATTAGTGGCCACTAGCGTCTCTTAAAGGTTAAAAATCCTTGATTCCAAAGCTGCTTTCGCTACAAGAATTTCGAACTAACACTAAAAACTCGTAAAAGCCAACCGAAATCCTGCCCATTACTTCCCATAAATCAACCTCCGGCGACAAATGAACACAATTGAAAACGAGGGCCCCGACCGAAACAGCATTTGTCAAGCCGCGATGTGCCCTACGTTTCGGCTGGAATCCTCAAAAGAAATGGGGCGCAGAGAACGGATCTGCATTTGGGCCCTCGCTACGGGACCCACAGCAAAAAAAAGAGGAGAAATTTATGGGAGGAGTGGTAGGGAGGGATTAGCTGACGGATGACTGGGATTCTTTTACTCTGCTCCAGACGGAAACGGGTAGGCAAAAAAGCAAAATGACACATGAAATGATGACTCAAAAATCTGTTAGTTAAAAAATAATGTCTGTTTGTGCATTTGCATGCAAGTTCCGTAAGTATGTTCCGCACCTAGAGCCTCGGAGGAAGGTTTTTAAGGTCATGCTTGGTACGTCATTAGGTGTGTATTGTTTTCGAGATGAGCTATATAGATCGGCGGTTTTCGTTATTAGAAATAAGCTTTTCCAACAAATGTTGTTAATTAATTTTGTTAATAACTTTTTATAGAAAACAGCGGACATAATAAAAAGAAATAGACCTAAACCGGATAATTAAAAAACAGCCTGTATATAACTAATACTCCATCCAATCGTATGACAAATTGTCTGAGAATTGGGGTTGTCTAGTCGGCATCCTCCAGCCTGTGGATGATCAATGAGGATAGCCGGAGAAAGAGTGAGGGGCCCCTGGTGGTGATGGTGGTGGTGTTGGCTGTGTGCTACCTCAATGGAGCAACTGCTTCCTCTCATCCTCTACCCTTTGCCTCCCCCCTATTGATTCGAGAAATACGACGTCACCATCACTTTGGTCGCCCGTTAAGACGCTCCCTAAAAGATAGTGTAAAGTCTCGCCCGGCTGACCGCTTTCACAATTGAACAGCGGCGGGAAGGGGCTGCGAGGTGTGTGCAGAGGATTCTTGTGGAAAATATCGAATATGCAAATTAATATTTAGAAGGAGGGGATTTCTAAGAACTAAAATACTATTTTAAAACACGGTTATGTATTCTCATATTTCAATTAGATTCAAAATATCGAGGCATAAATTCACGATCGAATATGTAAATCAGCATTTACTTAAAATTTCCCTTAAATATTAAAATATCACCTTAAGAGCCCGATAAAGATACTAATATTTTAGATAGATGGAAAGGACGTAGGCACAAACCGCATAAAAAAATTATGTAGCTTAACAATCGTCGCAAATATTATATATACAGATAAATAGCTATGGTAAATATCGAATATGCATATTAATAATTGAATGATTTGAATATTAGATACGCTTAGGCTTAGGCTTAGGCGTCTGACCTCAGAAAAAAAACATAGACGTAAGCTGAAAAGTTTGAAAATTATGAAACATTTACTAATAACAAGAAGATCGTTCAACTAATATAAGGTTGTATATAAATAAGCAATATATACGTGCTGGCTACAAATAAGCTTCTGAAACCTAGCAAAAATTTTTAGTTGCTAATTGACCCTAAAGCAGTCTTACTTTTTGCCGCATCTTGATACGTGTAATTTTCTTATATAAAAGTTATATAAATCAAATAATATAGATATAAATTCTGCCACCATTCTACGATATAAATGCTATCTATAAACAGGCACATAATTCTGCAGCCAATATCCCAATGAATGGACGATGGATGGATGAAACGGGCAACACACACAAAACGGCGCAACCCCCCATACTCCCAAGGGGATGACTAGAAAAGGCCCAGCCAGACCAGTCAAGCCCCCCCCCTACCACCACCAATGTGTCAATTTGTCAAAAAAGAAGTAGAGACGCCTAAAAAGCAGTGGCGCCTCCCACCAACACGCGTCGCTCAAAAACCTCCGAGATACACATGTATACGCCCACTACGCCTCTAAAAACAGCCATGATGTTGCGCCCGGGTGGTATGGGTCGGTTTAGGGTTTTTGTTTGGATTCACCAGATGTTCATTGGATAGCATTGGCGGATTGCGGAGAAAAACGACGGAAACGGTACTGTCCTTTGATGCGGACGCTTAGATGTATGCCTATTTACGGAGTGAGAGAGAGAATGGGAGAGAAGAGAAGACCTAAATATGGGTTCGAGTAAAATGTGCCCAACCGTGCGCTTTACAGGCGGTAAGCAGATTAGTCGGCTTCCCTTTGCGTCGATTTCTGGAAAATAGCCAACCACTTCCACAACGCGAACACGCTTGAATTTGCCGCTTCCCCCTGTTTTTTCATGCAAAACAGAGTTTTCAAAATTAGTTACTTTCAAAATTAATTGAATTCTTTCGTAGATCTTTCACAATACCGTAGTTACAAAAGAATAAACATACGCAGTCGTTTCGTATTTTATGCCATCGTGCTTCTGGAGGAAAGTCAAAACTGTCAGGGGCCCCAGACGGAAGCCATTGTGAATAAGAATCATACGTACATTTATTGTTCGAATCGGTTGAGCAGATATAAAGGAAACTCTAAAGCACATTAGTGTCGAGGATCAACGGGAGAAGGAGGACAGTAGTTTGAGGAAAAAATAGTTTAACCCCCCCCGGGCCCCACCAGCCCCCCCGGGCCAACCGACCAAATCCAAAAACTTTTCCCCCCCCCTTTTTTACACCCTTTAATTTTGATTTAAAATAAAATTTTTCCTCGCTTCCCCCAAACCAACCCTTTTATTTTCCGACACCAAACCCCACCTTTGAAACCAACAATTTTTTCACCCCCCCCCCCCCCCCAAAAACCCCCCAACAACCAAAACACCCCCACCCCAAAAACCTCCCCTCTTTTTCCCTTTTTTTCCAAATTCCCCCCCGAGCAAAAATTTTTTTTAAATTTAAAAAAATTTTTTTTTCCCCGTTTTTTTTTTTTTTCAATGTTCCCCCTTTTTCCACCCCCCCTTCAAAAATATTTCATTTTTTCCCCCCTTAAAAATCCCTATAAAAAATTCCAAAAATTTTTAACAAAAACCCAATAAAACCCCCCAAAACACCCCAAAAACAAAAAAAAAAAAAAAAAAAATTAAAAAAAAAAAATCCCCCCCCCCCCCCCCACCCCCCCCCCCCCCCAAACCCCCCCCCCGCCCCCCCCCCCCCCCCCCCCCCGCGCCCCGCCGCCCCCCCCCCCCCCCCCCCCACCCCCCCCCGGCCCCCCCCCCCCCCCCCCTCCCGGACCCCCTTTTTTCCTTTTTTTTTTTTTTATTTTTTTTCTTTTTTTACATTTTTTTTTTTTTTTTTTTTTTTTTTTTTTTTTTTTTTTTTTTTTTGATCCCCCAATTTTTTTTTTTTTCCCCTTTTTTAAATTTTTTTCCTCCCCTAAAAAAAAATCCTTTTTTCCAAAAATTTTTTTTCCCCTTTTTTTTTAAAATCCCCCTTCCCACCAAAATTTTCCCCCCCCCCAAAAAACACAAATTCCTTTTTTTTTATCTTCTTTTTTCCCCTTCCCCCCCCTTTTTTTTTTTTTCCTTTTTTTTTTTTATTTTTTCCCCCCCTCCTTTTTTTTTTCCCCCCTATTTTTCCCATTCCCCCCCCCCAACCCCCCGGGGTTTTTTCCCCGCCCCCCCAATTTAAAAACCCCCTCAACCCAAAATTTTCCCCTTTTAAACTTCCCAATTTACCCCCCCCCTTTTTTTTTTTTTTTTTCTTTTCCCCCCATAAAATCGGGCCCCAAAAAATTTACCAAACCCCAAGGGGGGAGGGGCCCTTTGGGGACCCGCGGACGGCCTTTTAACTGCCTTCGTTGCACGTCTGCGCGGTTGAAGCTTCGGTGTACGGCATCCGATTGGCTTTCAGGAGAAGGACAATCCAGAAGACTACGTTGAAGATGAAGAACTAAAGAGGGTAATAATTTCCGTATATAAATAATTGTACACTCACCGCCGATGGAAATATAATTCGGGCCGCAATATCAATATGGGAATGTCGAATACAGAATTTGCTCGGTTTCTTGACGATTGCTACGATTGATTGTTGAGCATTGCAAGTACATTCGGCAAGTCGAGCATCTGTATTCAAATTTTTAATTTAATTTTGAGCATCCAGATACCTTGTAAGAGATCAGGTGTCTGAAGGCTGGGCGGCTTAAAATCAGATTTTTTCTGCCGTCTTCGCCGATCCTCATTTTTCTTCTAAAACAAATAATTCATATTAAAACTTATTAATATAGTAGCCCCTAAAGGTTAGCTACACCCGACAAAGCATTAAAACAAAAAAAATCAATTCCAAGAAAACCCAAGCTAAAATCTCGTGCACAAACCTTTCGTTCAGGCTCCTGGATAGAAAACTGGTATTTACCGGGGGTGCAGTGGGAAATGCCAAACAAATTCGGAATATAAAACTGATGTCACTCAAAAAAAGGAAGTTCTGGGTATACAAACCAATTCCACGGCAAGTGAGTGGTGTTCACCTACGGCAGTTTCATGCACAGAAGCCCTGCTCAGGGGATGGGACCAAATTCCGCAAAGTTTCCAAATGACACACCTTCGTGTAGGCGACACACGCATATTCGATGAGGGCGAAGACGACGAGGAGATAGCAAAACCCAAGATAAATATCCACAGCCTAAATTTTTAGCTTTTGATGGTCGATTTTTTAATTACCTTGATATAAGAAACCGGGGGTAGCCGGCGATTAGTACCCGTCATGAGATGAGTCTCAGTAAGAACTGAAAGTCATCATTTAGGTAATTGAATTAATTTGAAGTTTGTGTAACGTGAATCGATAACAAATCCAATTAAACCTAACCAGTCATAACACCAATAATTGTTCGGGAAGGTGCCGAGTCTCTGTTGATCCAGAAGGATACCTAAATACAAAGTTAAAACTAGCTCTTTGAAGGTCTTTCACTATATATTTGCTTTTTTAAGTTAATTGATAGCGTAAAAAACTATAGTAAGTTTTAAAAATCGTAATTATTTTTTACTTCTTGGTTTTGATACTCACCCAGCTGATCCCGACAACCAACCCGGCTGGCACAAAAATTTGCAACATATAAAAACCGGATTCCCGGCTAAAGATGAATATCACGGCCAGCCGCGAATAGGAACCTAAACGTAATAAGCGTTATACATCACGAAAATGTACATCTACGCCTTTGATTAGAGCCTGTTTGTCATTTTCACATTACGATCTACATTAGGAGGTACACAAGCGTATTAGCGGCCCAGAGAACAGTTGGATTTCCGATACCATAATTGATCCGTTTTTATCCTTCGGGATCTGTTTTTCGGATCGCCAAGCTTAAGGTCTCATTTTTGTCGTTGTAGGTTACACGCAATATTTGATTCAGGCGCATTAAAATCGCTATTACAAATATTTGATTTATACCGACCTATAACCATATTGTGCTTCTCAATTTTAATCTTACTTACGCTAAATTTTTAAAATAGTGCTTGCTACGAAAATCGGAAGCCTATGCACCTATGCAACCCACTACGCACTAATGTGGAGGCTAAGTAAAATTTCTATTTACGCAATTTTACGTTATTTTACGCCATTTTACGCCTAATACTCTACCGACTAATCAGACAAAATGGGATCTTAACCAAGATTAATGTTTGATACAGTACCGCAAATATCTTGGACGTTGCCCTGAGCTTTTCTACACCAGGTCCAAAAGATCAATCCTTCATAGTTTGATCGAAATTAGACGTCCGATTCTATTAAATCTCGACGCGTTAATATCTTTTTTTAATCACCCCGCTGGCATGACACGGGGAATTTTAAAAATAAGAAACTGGAGCGCTGAAGGGGCTTAAATGCATCCCCATTAACCGTTTTTATTGCTCTGCTAACTTCGCACCCAAAGAACTTATTTCTTATACAAAATTACCTGAAGCCGTTGTGGCCACTGTGCGCCCTACACAGTGATCGGAGAGCGTGTAAGAAGGGAGCTCGGCGGACGCTTCCAACTGTAGCAATAGGCTTACACAAAAACACAAAGAATAATTGGCACACCATCAATATCACAGCAAACCCGCTTTATTCCAATATAGTTTGATAAATATTTGAAAGTGCGCAGCAGAAAAAGATTTCAGACCGTAAAATTATCATATAACTGAATTCCCTAATTTATATACAGCACCATGCTGCGCACTTTCAACAACAATAAATACATATAATATTTTATTTATTCAATCATCGGATAATTAAAATTGTCACAAACCTTGACCGAACGGCAATCAGCAGCCGTTCCAACCCCGCACCACTCGTAGTTGATGTTCAGCGTCGAGTAGCCATCTAAAATTTTTTTGTTTATTTCCATTCCAAAGAAAAACACAATCAGCATTTACACGCAAATAAAAAATAAAAGACAGGGATATTGTTTTTCATTACCTTAAAGCATGACACCAAAGCATTTCTCAGTTTTTTTTTCGTTAAATAAACCTTAGACATTTTGGAAATAGATAACTCATTTCCGCCAATTCCTATATGTACATATAAGAGGCACCAGCGAAAAACTATCGTAGCCAAAAAACCTTAATTTTTACTGAAACGGGAACGAAATTGTCGACTAGATTTTGTTGGGTGCACCGAGTTCGCGCAGCTTTCAGTTTTGGACACAGAAATTAGCATATAAAATGAAGAATGGAAAACATGTAAAAATGAGATTTTAAAATGGTACAAGAGCATTGTAATCACAATCGGGTGATAGTGCTTGCTTGACGGGGGCTTTGGTGGTGTTGATGGGTGATTTCTGAAATTCTGGTTGGATAGGGAGATTTATGCTCCACCTTTATTCCGGATCCTTAATCGGAATCCAGGAATCGCTGGTGGCTTCACCGAGTGATGCAAGGAAGTGCATTATAGACCAATAAATCACTGAAATTATTCTTTGGTTTCCATTACATTTAATAAATACCGTTGAAACCGATGAAGATCAGCGGGAACGCGTAGCGACTGCACTTGTCGATCTTGGCTGGTGAACAGATTTGGCAGCACGATCGTTTCTTCTTTTTCGACTAGATTTTGGGGGTATAAGAATTTAGGTATTGTCAATACCTTGCCGAAGGGAGCTGGCCACATACCGGCTGCACCGGATGGAACCAACCGTGGGTTCTGTGTGAACGGAATTGTCCGGCAATCACAATCCAATGGCATCTCCACCAATTGATGCTAAAATAAATTTTTATTACTTCTTCACTACCAGCCGCTTACAGCGGCTTCGCCGCTGCAAGCGGCTGGACTTCGGGCTACCCCCTTGCGCTCCCTCCTCATCGCCGAAACGCGCGCGACCTGGCTCACTATCTCCAAAATCACCCCAACCTCCGTCCCCCACCCCTTTTACTAAGGAAATAACTTTCAAAGTTAATTTTAGTAATTTAAACTAAAACTTTTTGGTAATTTTTTTATCAGTTTGGGGGTTTCTGACCACGCTCTATCCGAATCCGAAGAGAGCTAAGCTCTAGCTCCTTTCCCCTTCGAGTTGAATCCGGGACACGACGGACGGACAGACAGACAGACAGACGGACGCCTCTACTTTTTTATTATAGTTGATTGTTGGAAAGCCTGACTAGTTTACCCATGCGTTTTTATCTTACTGTAATGTGTTTCTACATATCTTGGGGTTTTCTTTCGGGATTTGTGTAGAAACGTTGGCTGATTTCGTGCTTTGAATTCCCGGGATACAAATTTTTAAAAACCAGCCGCTTCCGCCGCCTCCGCCGCGCGGCGGCCGGACGGGCGGGCTCCCCCCCGGGCCGCCCCCCGCCGGGCCGCGCGCGACCTGGCTCACTATGTCCGAAATCGGGCAAACCTCCGTCCCCCGCTTTAAGGAAAAACCTTCGTTAATTTTAATTATTTTTTTTTTTTTTTTGGTTGGGGTTTTGATGACGCTCTATCCGAACCGGAGAGAGCTCCTAGCTCCTTTCCCCTTCGAGTTGATCTGGGACTGACGCACAGACGGACGGGACAGACACCTCAAGAAAATTATTATAGTTGATTGGGGCAGTTTTTGTTATTCGACGAAACGACTCATTCTCAAAATTTTTTACACAGTTTTGAGAGCCATCGAAAATCAGCAATTTTGGACGAATTTTTAACTTATTAAAAAAAGACTACAATTAGAAAATCCCACGAAACTAATAACAACATAGTTATATTTTCCAAACCCACCGTGGATGCATGTTCAGTGAGTAGTGCCATTTCCTTAAACATTGAGTTTAGTTAGCCGTAAACCGCAAACAAAAGACAAACTGATTAAAGGGACAGGAACAGATTGTTTTTGTAATTAAAGTGTGGAAAGCGACGGGTACACCAAAGCTTGAAATTTGGAAAGTGTTCGAATACCTGGCCGCGGTCGTAGCTTTTGGCCGGTGTCGAATTTTGGGACATGATCCCCATCTCGTACGACTGAAATGGGATGAGTGAGCCATGCAAATTAGGGTGTTGAAATGATAAGCACAAAGGGAACATCAAATCTTAGGAATATCGCGTTGAAAACTTACGTTATTGTTTGGTTGCTTTGGTGAGAACATTGGGATCTCTTGCCTCTGAAAATAAAATTAGCATTTGGAGTCCAAATCTTCAGCCAACCTGCTGCTGCTCGGCCTGCTTTCGCCTTTTCTCACGTCGCAACGCGATCCATTTGTTCATATAGGAAACGATGGCATATTCGACCAATGAGGCAAACACCATCACGAAACTAAACCGAACGTCGAATCGAATCAAAAGGCTTACCAAAAATTCAAAAACACATCCAACCCTTTGATATAGCTGACTTTGGGCATAGAATTCTAAAGGAAGTTCAGTACCAAGGATCTAAGAATCTCTTACATTTGTTGTGGTGATAAGGGTAGTCATCGTGAGCACAGTGGTGACACCAAGGCCGACACGGGCAGGGCTGGCCTAAAGGAAGGGGTAAGTTATGTTTTTGGTAGGAGGCGGTTTACCTCTCTATTCAGCCAAAATGACACCCATGAGATTGTGACGATCAGAACGGAAGGGATGACGATATTCATCGTGTAAAAGCCCATATTCCGGACCAGCAATACTTCGAACGCCAACCGATCATAAGAGCCTTAATGGAACGGTAAATTTATATCCTTCTGAATTCAATCCAACCTCATTTTGGGGAAACGTATTAAAATGAAGAGTCAATCACAAGTATCTCTTCCCTCTCGCTATCTCTCTCACACGCTCTCCCTCTCTCGCTCTCCCTCTCTCTCTCACTCTCACTCACACTCTCTGCCTCACACTCTATTACTCACCTCTCTCTCTTTCTCTCTCTCACTCTCTCGATATCTATCACACACTCTCATCACTCACCTCTCTCTCACGACCTCTGTCTCTATATCTCTGGCTCTAGCTCTCTCTCTCTCTATTCCTATCTCTCCCTATCTCGCTTTCCGCTTTATTACGCTCCTTTACCTGATGCCGTCGTTGCAATCGTCTTATTAATCGTATAAGCCGTCTGCTTAAACTGCGGCAGCGTGAACGGCTCGAACTTGACGGCATTCATCTCGGTCGTATTCCGGTCGCCCCAGAAGTACTGGATGTCGAACGTGCTGTAGCCATCTAAAATTTATTTTTGCATCCATTTCTTTTACATTATACATGGATAGTCCCCACACTAAACACAGTAAGCTCTGAATCTGGCACAACCGAACTCAACTCCTAGTTGGTCTCTATCAATTTTTGGTACTTTCTGTTGTCTGGTTCACGCGGTAATGGAGCAAATATAGGTCATAGGTAAGAAATGAGCAGGGGGTGGTTGCTGGAAAAACAGTCGAATCGAGAAGGAGGATGACATCGAAAAGATAATAATAATATCAAGTTACAGAATGGTAATTTATGGTTCAACGATGCTGGCTTCGATGCGCGACAGCCGCAGGAAGTGTGCCCAGTATCCGACGTTAAAAAGAAAATATACCTAAAATGACCTTTTAACAGTAAAACAGGAAAATACCATAGGAAAGAATATTCGGGAATATTTATCAATATTTGACGGTTTAATCAGTTGTTTCCAATCAAATGGTTGTTTTGCAAATTCATGCTAAAATCATTCTTTAAGTGGTGTTATTGGTGCGCATACCTTGGTGACAATAATTTCTACTCGTCCCGGGGTCGTCTCCTCGCTTTGGGGTGCCAATAGCGGGCAATCACAGTCGGATTCCTGAATTTTATGTATGTGGTGGTTGCTTAGGGGTACCTTACCATGAAGCTAACTTTGGGGCGGTGTTGCTCGTCCAAAAATAGGGTTGATTTTCGATCTGTAGATGAGTAGAAGGGACGATAGGCTGTGTTGAAATATGCGGGTACGGAAATGGAGCGCATTGCCGGTTCTACAGGTGAAGAAAGTAAGGACCTGGAATTGGATAGTTATTTTAATATGGGAAGTCTTTCTCTCTCTCTCTCCCTCTCTCTCCCTCTCTGTCGTTCTTTACCACTTACCTAACGGATGATTTCTTCCGAACCTCACACAATTTCAATCGTTTACTCAAATATCCAATTGCCGCATATTCCAACAATGAGCAAAATACCATCATGAACGATGTACCTGCAAAACAACAGATTCCAGTCAGTCCCTTCCCAACCTTCCCCCCTTTCTACCCCGTCAATTGATGAGGTTTTGTGCTTGCGGGATATCAAGAGCACCCCCCCCAAGAGCAGCTGCCACTCGTTTATATCACAACTAGGGGGCGAAGACTGGCAAATTGCACTTGCAACACTCCCTCCGACGACCCCCCGACCGGTGGGACACGTAAAAAGGGGCAGAAGGCGATTAAAACGGCTCGACAAATTGAGGATTAATGGCTGCCGGGCTGAGGAGTAGGTCCCCATTGTCGTCACTGATTTTTGAGCCAAGCGGATGGGGGCGGTAAGGGGGTACGGTAGGATAGGTGATGATGGTTTTACGACTATAAGCCCAGAGTTTTTAGCAGGGCTGTAAACAGAACGCTTAGTTACCTTTTTAACACAAAACCGCGGATTTGGATTTTTTAAACTCTGATACCCACCAGGCGAACTGGCGGGGAATTTATGCAATTTAAAAATCCGCGAGTAACTAAAAGCTAAAAAGACTTTTCTGTTTTCTACATCCATCGGAAACAGTCCCCAAGGCTCTGATGGAAAAACCCATACCTAGAAAGATATCAATCGACTTGACGTAGGACACCTTCGGCATCGCGCTATTTGTTGTCGTCATCAGTGTGGTCATTGTCAACACCGTTGTAACACCCAACGCAACACGGGCTGGCTAAAATACATAGCCATTCAGTCGTCTCTATATCCCATCCTACCGTAGCCTCTCTCGACAACCAAAATGACACCCATGAGATCGACACAATCAGCACTGACGGGATGTAAATTTGTAGCAGATAGAACCCAAGATTACGCTCGAACATGAAATAGCAGAGCAGCCGTGAATACTCTCCTAAATAATGACTTACACTTTTTTGTTTTTATTTCTATTACCGGAACTGAGCTTCTCCGTCACCCGATTGATGCGAACATTGGACAATACAAACTGTGGCAACTGCGGCTCATCGGTGCTGATCGATTGTGGGCCATGTGGAAATAGATAGTTGATGTCGACGACGGAATATCCATCTGAATCCGCAACTGTTAGCCCGAGCACTTGGCCATCGGGCACACCAAACACTGCATCCCGAATTCCTAGGCTCGCATCGGCTTCTAACTATTCGGAAGAACTAACTGATTTATCTAAGAGTATTATGGGGTATTTTTTTGATAGATCATATCTTCACAAAATTGTTACCTAGGGCTACTGTATGTCGAAAGGTCTTAAGTACCATCACATGCCGTTCGAATGACAAAAATCACCTCACACTTATTTTGGTAGATTAAGATCTAGTGAAAAAAATAAACTATAGAAGCTGAGCCCACCCAAGAATCCGGGTCAGTGGTGTGTCCGATGCCGTCGGCTGATCATTGCTCACCATTTTTGGTATAGGTATAATCCCTCATGCTCACAAAACCACATCATTTTTCAAAATCACAGTACGACAATGGCATGCCCAAAAAGCCATGCATCGATTAGAAGCTGTACTCCCGGTCCTTTAGAGACCAATTTGTCATTGTTATTTGTTGTATGTTTAAAGGGGGAAAATGATTATTGGGAATTGATGGATTAGAAAAGTGATGTAGATTTTTGGTGCAACTGAAGAGGTGCCATTGGCTCAACAAACCACCACAAGAAATCCTGGGCGATCCGACGAAAGGTGTGGATGTCAGATAGAAAAGATATCGGATTGGCTGCGATTTGTGGCCAATCTAAGTGCGTTTTCGAAAGATATCATAAATTATGCTTTTATCTAGAATCTTTTAATTGCAGTATTCTAACCAGAATGGGCCGGTTTTATTTCTGGTAACGCTTCGAAGTTATTGAGCCATAGAGGTTTGCAAGATTGCCTTGAATTTTCTACTACTGACACAGAAAAGGACGTTAGCTAGGCATTTTATGATATTAAAAAGTCCCGATACATCGAAATACTCAGATGCAGCCTTCTCTTGGCGATTTTGGTAACTTCAGCGATGAACACGCCGCAAAACGCGATGGCATGGATCCGGGCTAATTTTTTCCTAGTTTGTATAACATCGATAGCAAAAATTCCTAGCAATAACTTTTATAACATTAAATTAATTCGCCATTAATTAATTCCCTTAAATTTAATTCTGGCACAATAGAAGACGTTTTGTAGACATTCTTTAGGATGAATTGGGTTGTTCGATTCACTTCACTAAAAGAGTCTTGAGCTACTTAGTTATCGCTAGATTATTGAGTCCGAAGCATCCGTCTCGGTACACTAATGTACCGACTAATGAACACCGGAGCGCTATGGAAGTTGATAACGGATTTTGGCGCGAAAGGCCTCTTAAAATCCGTTCGTTTTTTCCTCTCTCGCCGGCACGCATCAGTTTATTGGCCGAGCCAGTTGTACACGGCCGATTACTTTATTATTCTCGTTTGAAAGAAAGCTTAAAGTCCCTAAGCAATATCTGGAATTAAGGTACCCATTTCAACCTAACATCTAATCTAGCGCTTAGCCTAACCCCAGCGCCTTACAATAGATAATACAACATTTCCAAAAGAGGCTACAAGGTTGCTTTTCTTAATCAATGAAACTCATGGTAAGCTTTAATCCGCGTCTCTATTTTCCCGATAAATTTTAGCACTTAGACTGACCACGTAAAAGCTGCATATATGCGATTAGCAGCCCCAAACTTGCCTTTATAACGTCGGGAAGGGTAGTCGGTGATCATCTTTCGGCGCTTCTCATCTTCTGACTTACCTCGTCTAAATTCCCGAATCTTCCCCATTCCCCCGAACCCAAAAATCTTTATTCCAGCAAAGGACACAATAAAATGAGAGTTATTTGGGGGAAAACAGAGGAGAGGAATCAAAAAAAGAGATGCATCCATCCAGCCCTATGACTCATTTTATTTATTAGTCGAGTCAATATGGGTTGGGATGCAGATTGTAACCGCGCGAACACTCGGTGCACCATGTTGTGTATATTGTATACCCCCCGATATTCAATCTCTGTTGTCTACTGTTTTGAAAAATATGAATATACTTTACGTCACGGCTATGGATACGTCAAGCCCTGGTCATATTCCCAAAAAGGGCTACTACGAGAGTTCACACCGCACACTCTCATCGTCAGCTACGGTTTTGCAGTTTTTTTTGTAGGTAACAGACTACCATTGAGACTTACAGCTTTCGATTTCCAGCTTGCACCTCTGCGAGTCCATGGGGAAGAGTTGGAGTTTCATTGGACACGTTGCAGTTACTGTCAACCTTAAAAACAGAACTATTATTGTAAGTTGAATGGTCTGAGAATTCTTTGCCAGCCATACTTTAGTCTAAAATCTGCCCCTTCATTTTCCCTTAACTACCCATTCCAAATAGCATTTCCCCCTCCCTTATTTCGGGGGTCTTCTGAAGAGCATCGCCGCCCAAATCCCCAGGTTTTAGCAAGACCCATTTAGCCTAGGAGCCCTCCTCTCCTGGCGGTGCTTTTGGAGAGGTGTAGTGGGGGAAGGCTGTGAATATTGGGGAGGAGTCGGGTTTGAAAGAAGCGGATTCGAGGAAGGAGCAAGAGGAGGAAGAAGAAGGATTCTAATCTCCTGGGCCCATTGTGTTTCTACTGGGCCCCGGACGCTTCTCCCGTATGTGAAGAGGAGGGCCAGGCGAGCCCGACGGACCTCTTTACCACATGTTTCAGATGCGAATTGGGTGCAGTGACGAATAATTTAGATGGATTGGAAAGAGGAACTTTATAAAAGCTAGTGTAATAATATATCACTTTATTTAGGTGGAAGGTAAAATAGCTTTCTAATACCTTTGACTAGTCGCCACCGTTCCATCAGAGTCAATCCTCAAGAACGAATTGTGGGTAGTCGCTGTGTGGAAGAACGACTTTTTCTCATTTGGAAAAAACGTATCCGGCTTCCACAACTTGTCCATGTAGTCCACTCCAACCTAAACTCCGAAAATTATCCCCGATCCTCGCCAAACAACTGCACATCATTTTTCTGGGTGTATGCTACATTAAATTAAAGGGTGGTGATGTGGTGGCTATGTTTCTCAGTTTTGTTAATGCACCTGGAAGCTTCGAACACGATGGTTACGCTGAAAGCGCGGCTGGGGTTAGAAACGAAAAGTAAAATATGAAAATTGGGTACCGTTAGTGACGAGATTTTCTGGCCGCTGCCGGTTTCGAGTGGCTCGAAGGCGAGACGTGGGTCTTGCCAGTTTTGACGCATGTAGAAGTCCAATGTGAAGTCCTGAAAAGACTTCATTAATGCGGTTCTTTTATTTTAGCTTTTGAACTATTTTTGCTATTGCTTTGCACCCAATGTTCCAGACAAGACCAGGCAACTTTTCCTTCCAGCACTTCCGTTTCTGCTGGCTTCTCCTCAAAAGTTATGGCAAGAGTCATAGTCATTGGTGGACAAGTGTTCTTCCCCCCAGGATCCCTTGTGCCTTCCTCATCCTCGTGCTCCCCCGTCCAACCGATCAGTCAGACCTTGTCAACACGGTGGCTCGCCAACCGGGAAAGCCTATTCCCTAGGGGCCGTACGGGCACCTCATGCGCTTCATGTCACCGTGTATATCCAGACATGCACACATACGCAACTCGGGCGAGCCCGACCACTCATACAAGTATGGCGGCTGGCGAAATTTGGAATGTGTTCGCGGATGGGTTTCGGGAAATCTAATGTCTTTCTAAGTTTGGAACAGCGCCTACCAAGTATAGAGCATATGCTTTAGGGCGTATACAGGGTGTCATAGGCACGATTGCCACGATTTAGGTATAAATCTAGCGGCTATCGTGTTTCACATTAATCATGATATTTCTCTACTTACGACCCCGAAACAAGAAGCCCGGAATTTGTGGAAGCGCTGCATGATAGTCCCGGATTTTCTTTTAGAGCTACCCGAAGTCTTAGGGAAAAGTCTGAATGTCGAGCAACTATTAAATCATATTAGAAACTGCTACTCGCTTTTTACCCGGCTTTTTGACACCTTACTTTGTAATAGTATAAAAAACATTCGATCCAAGCTACTCAGGATCTCTAGAGGGAAGCTTTTTCGGAATACCCAGTACCTTACTTGGTCGATGAAGCTAAATTATCCATTTTAGCCCCCGATTTATAGTTTTCTCTTGCTAGGTCTTTTCGTAAGCGGCGTGGAGATACTGCTAGTATACGGGTCGCGACCGTAACTTTCGACCTTGCTATGGCAATTCATAAACCCCCTTACCCTTCAAAAATATATTTCCATGAAATTTGTCCCAACAAACCTCCACCCCAGGATGCGAGTTTCATGGAGCGCCTAATAGGTCGTTCGGGGGGTGGTGAAGGGGGGCCCCCAAGCGGATATGGCCATCCTTCCCCGGGGACCACTTTTCTCCATTCCCCCGTCTAAACCCCCCAAACAACCCAGGGTCCATTCGAGACCGGTCAAAGAAAATCCACGGTTTTTCACACATTCATAGCCCTAGCCTCGCCCCCAACTTCCTTAACTCCCCCCCATCCATCCACCCTCATCTTGGCCCAACCAGCGTTCCGGAACATCTTCCGGGATTTTGTGGATAATTGCCCAAAGGCCCACCCGGCCACAATCTTGGCCCCCCATTCCGTTTTATTGCTCGACGAGCCGACCGGTGGTGAACACGAGGCCTTTATGGTCGTTTCGGTGGAAATGGGGGGGGAGAGTCGGAGGCGATTTTTGATGGATTTTGGGCGGTAATGTACTCACCATATCGACTTCGGAAACTGCTGAGATCGACGAGACGTGAATGGTGATGCCGACATCGACGGGTTTATCACCGTATCTGGAAAAGGAAGTAGTAAAACGAGAAATTTGTGCATTTCAAAGAGAATGAATTAAAGTTATGCCAAGAAGAAACGGAATTTTGTTTATTTTTGAAAAATGGCTGCTCTGGCAGTTTTACTGCGACCCATAACAAGAGTTTAGAAAAATCGAAAAAACCAATGCCGAGAAGCCAAAAAAGAAAAGCAAATCTCTCCATGGATAAGGCAAAAAATGCACTTACCTTGGTCGCAACCGCTTATCATAAACTGTGCGATTTGTAAGTCGATCGAGAATCGACGATAGCGCTGTTGTATCCACATATCCATATCCGCGCCCAACACTGAAAAGAAATCCCTTCAATAAACACACTTTCAAGTTTCCATACAAGCCAATCCGTTCCCCTTACAAAACACGACTATTGAGTTTACCCAGACCCTGAAAGAACAAAAAGGGTCCCATCCATTCCTGCCGGAAGTCATCACTGTTGGTTTGGACACCTTATCCTACCTTTTGCAAGACTCCCCACTTCCCATCCCCCAACTCCCCCCAAAATAAGACCCATCCCTCCAACTCGAATGGGTTGGCGCTACGGGCCGACAAATGTTCCCCACCGATGACGTCATCCGACCCGCCAAGTAATTTGTCAAAAAGTGGATCCCCTCCAGAGAAGTCACATACTTAGGCTGTTCGATTGTGATCAATCTCTGTCACACGGGACGCTTTAGCAGGAGGCTTCTTCTGTTCCCGCTTACAAAGGAGGCATTTTCTTGGTTAGTAGCGGTGGATGATGGATTGATTGTTATGGGGGTGTATTAAACAAGGGTTCACTAGGACCCAATGGCCAAATAAGATATCTCTTTGATTTGATGAAATTTTATTAAAGTAATTTTCTACGATAAGCTCGCCCTCAAAGTCCCGTTTCCCTCTTCAAGGTGATGCTAAATAGGTTCTTGAAAAATTTTGTCTAGTCACTAAGAAAAGTCTTTCAATTGCGCGTTTCAAAAATCCAAAAAAGAAATCCGTGCCAAAACAAAACAAAAAAATGGAATAAGAGCCCTTTTCCGCTTCCTCCTAGAGTGATGTGGCTTCTGGCCAACTTTAGGTGTCAAAACGCTCTGTAGAGCTTGAAAATCGATCAGTTTTACGTATTTTTATGATTTCCCGGATTTCAACGCAAAATGTAAAATTCAGTCGTTCTAAAATTAGCTCTCTCTATAATAAAGTTCCCCGTTATAGGCGATTGCGAAAAATTGACGCGCCATGCCTGGATTAAAGGAAATAAAACCTTATCCCATTTAATCCCGAGGTTCGGATAATGTCTTACCCCCTTCTCTTTGCATAGAAAATTAGAAAGTCTCACGAAATTCGGGTGGCCAGGTGGTCGTCTTTGAAATCGGAACCGGCAGACAGGTGACTCGGTGCCGTTGGGCAGCGCCCCGGCACTGGCCACCGGGAAATCCGAACCGTGCCAACACGAGGAAGCCTCGCTTCGAATACACCTCTTCCCGAAAATATACGGCGCTACTCCACACCCACCCCCCACCCACAACAAATTACATCATAACCAAAAATTAGCATGAAAGAGGGGAAAACCCCAGATGATTTTAAGGTAACGATTAGAAAACCCACTCTTCTGCCCGCGCGACCAAATGTAGTGAAGCCAAGTAGAGGAGTGTGTAGCAAAGCGTCGTCAGTTCGCCTGGAAATCGAGTGGAAATGCAAATGTATTGGGGCTGGGAATACCGAGTCTCAGCATGTGTGCGTAGCCGGATACGGTTCGGCTTTGCATATTGCTTCGCTGAGGAGCGATCGGTTGTGTAGGGAGCTTGGCGCTCTAAAAGCTGGCCTTATAAATCTTTCGGTATGTTAATTAAGAAGTATGTCCTATGCTTTTTAAAAAAACCAGAAGCGTTATTTCGTTAAAATCTGATATTTGAAAATTATTATTGTTTTATTATAATTAAAAATTTGCATTCGACCTTTGAATAAATTGGTTTACAATTTTCCAATGACCATCTACGATCGAAAGATCATAATAAGTTGTCAATAATCTATTCCTTCTCAACGTACCTAAAACTACAAACGACGGATCCGCGGGGCGCGCGGCGGCTTGCGCCGCCCCTTCCTCGCCCTCGGCTTCGGTGGTTTGGTTGAAAGGATAGATGGACGATAGGGCCTCAAAAGGGGCAAACGAACAGGAAGGCTCACACGGTCTTCCTTCGCTTACTGATGACGGCATCCACCTAGAATTTTTAGAATTAGAGGTCAATATTAGTTAAATTACCTGGGCGTGTCTCCCGCCCGCAGAATAAAGTTCGGTCTGCTGCTGGGACAATGTACGATAGCGTAGTTTGGGTGTCTAAAAGTTAATAATATAAGATGATAACTGAATTAAGGAAGAGAAATATAATGGAAATATATAAAATTATTTATGTTAGCTTTTTTGAAAGGGAGGGCCTTCAGAAAAATTGACTGGGATGGGTAAAGCAAATATTAAGAAATTGGGAGGAAGGGTTCGACGTTCTCCATTTTAAAATTTTTAGAAAAATAGAACATAGAATAAATCATAGCTGTCAAAGGATTCCAAATTCAATTCCAAAAATGTATTGCATTTACAGCCCGGCAAAGAAAAACCAAAAAAATGATTGGTCCGAATATAGCCGAATATCTTTAACTAGCTTAAATCTCGAATATGAAGCCAAAACATGGCAATTAATATAGAATCCAACTGGCGCGACGCAAACATACAACCCCTCGTTGGGACTCCTCCATGGCTGAACGATGGGCGATAAATTGGCGGAAAAACGGTTGCCACCCCGCCAACCCGATGGGTGATCATTCCAGGGGCGTTCCTTCTCCCCCATCCAATCTTTTCCCCCATCCTGTACAGCCCCTCCTTAGGGCCCAAGTCGGGGAGGGGCCCAGGCCACGGCTCGGTGGAGACGGGGCGGATCCATGTGTAAACGGGGAGGTAGAGAGAGACTCCGAGCATCCCAAGACCTCTAGGCCACGAACCCACCGCCAACATGTGTTCGCCGATCCCTATCAAACGGTCATTTTTGCCCCGCAGAGGGCCTTAGGAGCACAAGCATGCAGAGAGGAGGCCCGGCGCCCAATGCTAGGGGCCCGGCTTGGTTTCTTTCTTTCTTACCTCTGCGGTCTGCGGGCCCTAATGGACCTATGGAATGGGAAGGGGGGAGGAAGGGTTGGATCTAGGGAGGGGTAGACAAGGTGCAACAAAAGCATCTCTCCGAAAAAAAATAGGTGGCTGCCCTTGGGGGGAACTGGGGGAGGAATGGACTGTTGTTGTTGATAGGAATGTTGCGTTCTGTGAATTACAGTAACCCGCCCTTAAACGTTAATGCAGGGTATGGTTTGTAGGGATCACATCGGCATGGCTGTGAATTACAGTAACCCGGCCTCACATCGGCATTGGAAAAGCATTTTGAAGTATTGAAAGGTCGATGGAATTTATTACAATATATATAGGATTGCCTTTTTGAATGTTAATATTGGCATAATCCTGAATTTTATAAATCTTGAGAAAAAACTTGAAAAGCGTCGGGGGAATTTCTTCACTTGGCGCTTGTTCGAGTCTATGGAAATGTCGAAATTCTGACAAGTGCCGAAGATTTCTATACTCATATCCTCAATTTAACTACACTCAAGCCCTCAAAACATGCAAATTAACATCTCCCTTACTAAAACCCGAAAAAATATGGAATAATTCACACACCCGCCATCCCGCCCTATCCAAACTAGCCATAGATCTTCCCCAAAACCTTCCGGGAAACGTAGAAAAATTAGCACCACCCCGACCTCCGTCTCCCCGCCACGTAATAAAACGACGGCACACACGCAAATGAAGTGTTGCGTGGTTGAGGAGAGGATCGTGTGCCAGCATCCGCCCCTCCCCCCTCCAGATGAAGCTCCGGCAAGGGGGGGGGATTGGGCGGGCGATATTTCATATCGCTTCTTCGGACTCTGGCCCCAAGACCAGCGGCTCTCGCCCATCCTCGGGGGAAATGCGACGGGACGCCTTGAACGCATTCACACCCCCCGTCCTCTCGTCGTTCAGCTTCTCCTCCTCCTCCTCAACTTCCTGCTCAATCCGGGCCCTTCGAACACCCCGGGTGGAGCAAAAAGTCGTGCTGATTTCCCAGAGGGCGTCAAATCCCGGCCGGGGGGATGGAGCCGCTGACCAGCTACCAGAAAGTTTTAATTGAAAGCCTCCGCCCACTGGGGGACTGCGGCAAGGGATTGGAAGGGGAAAATATTCCGAGTTGCGGATCTCTTTGTTCGGGAGTGTTGGGATCAAAGGATACAGAAGTCACGTAAGATGCGGGGGATCGCAACTCCAGAAGAGTTCGTGAGGGGACCGCGGTGTCGGGAAAAATTTGGGTGCGCTTGTTGCTAGTGTGGCGTTGGGCGTTTGGCGGAATCCTCAAAAGCCTTTGCTTTCTAAACACAGACTCGACCTAGACAGATGTTTGAACGAAGCGCTATGTTGGAGTTCTAAACCTATCAAACATAGCCATGAAATGCTATGATAGGCTAAAACAAAATCAGAATTACTTATCTAGGGAGCCGGAAGCAAAAAAAACGTTTGTCGAAGCGTTTCGCTAAATTTGATGCAGAAGTTTTTGAGCTAATTTCTCAAGGTCATCCGGATATGGCCAGTTGAAACTTTGACGGTAAACTTTGAAAAAATCTTCAAATAATGCAACCCTATTAATTTTACTAGCTTTTCATGGCATGAAAAAATGGTGTAGGAAAACGTGCTAAGGTAGTAAGGTGTACCACCAATGTCTGACCCCAAAGCCTAGACTTTATCCTTCACGCCTCCCATGAATTAAATTCTCCACCACCCTTTCTTCAAGTGGTCTTTGCCATTTGAAAGCGGTTTTTGTTCCGTCGAGCACCACTACGGCTTCCGATTCCCACCATCAGAAGTCGACGACGCCTTCCGAGACAAAGATCAGGAAGTGGGCCCCAACCCATTGTTTATTGGGGGTGGCTAAATGCGCATGAAGGGGAAAAGCCCTGCATCCCAGCCACCACAACGCCCGTTAATTGCCAACGCGTCCTTCCGTGTAACGACGTCACTACATCCGGGATATACAACGTACATGGGTAAAGGTATAAGCGGAGTCCGTTCATGAGCTGGCGACTCAGAATTTAAATGACCGTTATTGAGATTTTTGAAGCTCGTACGAGGACGGCCTAAGTTAATTAGCATACAGATGGTTCCCCGGAAATTGTTCCTACTCCCTTGCCTGAAAGCGTTTTCTGACTTTTTGCATACCATAACCGGCCAGCTTGTTATCAACTTAAAGGTACACCAAAATCTCGTTGGTTTGGTTACCGGCCGGTAACCGTCCGCGGGATAGCAAACAGGATTACGGTAGGCGCTCGTGGCGGAGCAAAACCGAACCCGCGACACTCACCTGGGGCAAGCGCTTTGAACCACTAGGCCATGGGACAGACGGAAGAGGGAAGGGAAGGGGGATATGAAGGGTTGGGGCGAGCCGTGGCAGAGAACCCAAATTTCCGACGCTTGCGAAAATTTTTGAACGAGATTTTAGTGTACCTTTAAGATTAAACCTGTTCTACGGCCGTCCTCTTCCTTGTAAAGAAAAATATTCTAGGCGTGAAAGGGAGCCAGGCTGGTTTTTGTCGACTAGCGCATATTTTAAGCTTCCCCCCGACACATCCACCGGAGACACCATGGTGATAGGTATTCGTGGCAGGCGTCAGTCACCTCGCCCATTCCGACAACACAAAAAACCCGCGACGTGGGCTGTATGTGAGATTTCGGTGGTGGACAGAAGGGATGGCAGAATATTCTAGAGCGCATCCTATTCTGGCTCTCTCGCCCTGTCGACCAATGATGAAGACATGGGTTTGAGGGGCTAAACGCGGAAGCCAGGAGTTTTTGGTGGTTTTTACGTATCGGAATTCTAGAATGGTTGAAGGGATGGAGGACCGTCGTTTTGGGTGTGTTTTTATAGCGATTTCGAGCCCGGGGGCAGAGAAAATGTATTTAGGGCGTATTTTCGGGTGGTCAGGGTTTTACGAGGGTTGTTGTTAGCTACGAGGATATTGGTACAAAATATAGGAATTTAATTTGGTTTTAGGGAAGTTAAAGTAATTTTGATGCATCACGATAGATGATTTACAAATCCAGATTTTACAAAAAAAAACTGTTTTTATAACCCATCCAAACAAACAAGCCGGGTTACAAATAAAACCGGAAGTCGAGGCAATCGTTCGTCTGGGAAGGGCGGCCGTCTCAAGCGACGACTCATCCCCTCGTTTGCGCATGTGGTTCCGATTAGATGGGGGTTCCCGAGACGAACAGCTGACCGACGCAAAAGCCATGTCTGACACGACTCACATCGTGCACTCGGTCAACAGACAACAAAACGACACCTGGGGGTTATTGGTGGGGGAACACATGGATAGATTCCGGTCATCTAGCCCTTTCCCACAGCCAACACATAAATTCGAGGGGAGCTAGTGGATCGTTGACGGGTTGTTGAGGTGGAAAGAGGGGGATGATAAAATCAGAACTACAGCTAGGGAAGTTCAGATACGAATAGTTGAAAACAAGGCTTTTCTGTTGGTCAATCCGATCCGTTAAGATGGTTACGCTGGATTAACCAAACCGGTTGAAGTGAAAACTGACGTCCAAGCTACGTGTACACCTTATTACGCGCGGAAGATCAGGGATAGATATGCGTCTACCGCAGATGTCAATAGGCGCGAAATTAGGCCGAGCCTGGCAGCATACGGTAGCTATCTTATAAGGCGTAGTGTGACAGGATTCGCACCCCTTTTAGCCCTCTAAATTGGTGTATCTAATCCAGAGGAGATCTGCACAAATGTTGATAAATATGAAACATCCCAGAGCAAAAATGCAACTTTTGGACAGCTACGAGCTACAGCAGCTACAAAACAAACCGGCACCGCCAAAACTACTCGGCGCAAGTGCAACCCCGCCCCAAGCGTACACCAAGGAGCATAGTGGAACCAAAGGAGCTCCGTAAGCCTTTTGGAGCCCATGGAGGGCTTTTTGGAGATTATAGGGAATCGGGGAGGAGGAGTGGGGGGCTAGCCCGAAAGGCTGAAGGGCCCTCCCTGGTGGTGGTAGGAGGGGGCCCAAAAGGAGGACCAGGGGGTGGAGCCACTAGTCTCGCTCCTGGTGGGCCACGCCCGGGACCGCTTCTTCACAACCATCAACGCCAATACAACCACTAACACTTTCTTTGATCAAGTGTACGATGCGTGGAAAAAAAACAAAAATGAATTATTTTAGATTTTTCGATCGGATCTTTAGGTTGAGATACAAGCCTGAGAAAAATTTCAGCGCGGGGTATACAGTAGCCTCTACCGTCATATGACAAACTTCGAAAATCTGAATCCGGACTGAAATTTAGCAAATTAATATGCAGATCTTTGGCCGTTCCCCGATGCAACGAACGCGCATCCAGAATTTCAGAATATATCATCAGATACTCCAAACAAAAACGCATTTCCTGGACGAATGCGAGCCCCGCAGACTTCCGTGAATTCTAAAATTTAATCAACCCTGAGATTTTCATACCAAAGCCTGCCTAGCTTTGTATGATTAGATACATATGGCAACGTCTCCAGGGTAATTTTGGAAATGAGCTCCTCGCGCAGTCCCGAGTAATTTTCCACATCCCCTTAGATTCCAGCGAAACATCAGACCTCGAGTTTCCGCTTGGGATGATGGTGTTTGAGGCAGAAACTTCTGGAAGTTAGCAAACTGCCAGAAATCCGAGGCTAAAAAGAGGAAAAAAATTAGCGTCCAGTGACATCTGTTAGGCGTCTGGGTTTGGCAGGTGCGCCCGGTTCGGCTAAGGCTTCAAACACCTCTCGGAGGATCCTTGAAAATCGTTTCGAAGGCACCTATTTAAGCAACTCGCTCCCATAGGGCCCATTAGCAAATTTGTTGCCGAAAAATGCTGCTTCACGGACACCTACGCTAATCTAATTTTGCTTCTGGCCCTCACGTGAATGCTGCGCTCATCCGGAAGTCGATGGCCTCTGATTTTTGCGAGTTCACTCCCGAACCAGATCTGGATGCAAAGTCAAACTTGCGAGCGCACGTTTGGTACAGAATTTGCTCGGGTAATTATTTTTGCGCAAAATTGGCCCGAGAAAATTGCAGGAAGTTTTTGACGGTGAGAGCCGAATACAAAATACTTTCAACTCTATTCAAAGCCACTGGCGGCAACATATTCAATTAAAACCATCGATCGGATGGCAGACGATGAGGACACCAGAAGGAATCCGGGGCCACCGAATTTGTGCGGGCATGTGGCCATCCGGGAATGCAATTATGGGATGTGGAGCAGCGAAAACAAAAGAATCTGGGGAATTCCGGGGGAGAAGAGATTTTGAGTGGGGGAAATATGGTGGCTTCCGGAATCCGTTCGCAATTGCTACTTACACGGGGACAACAGATGACATATAAGAAGCCGACCATTCGATCGTAAAGCCGAGCTGAAGCTCCTACCGGGTTAAAAAATATGTAAGGAAAAGAAATGCTACCTTACTGATCAATCCCCCCTAAACCACGCATCTTAAAAGCACATAAACCCCAGGACTCCCATTCAAGCACCCCCAAAAATATGGGTACCGCCTTTGAAAAGGCCCAAGGAGCTCGGCAACCTTCCGGAGTATCAAGCTAATCCGGCACGTCACCCGGCAGGAGTCCCCATTGCAATAAAGACTAGCGACTCGAAACACCCCTCTTCTGCTGCTCAATTGCTCTTCCTGCTCCCTCCTGAAACATGGACACTACTCCCCGACCGCCGCCTTTTTCGGAGTTGCACTCAGGAAGTTGGGGGCTAGATGCCCCGAAACGAGCATAAAATTCAGGCCGTTCGCCAACGATTGCCGAAGCACAAGGGGAAGGATGAAGGCTTGGTCTGCTGATGTCCTTTCACTCCACCCTCGGCACTTGATCCGCTGCTGCTAGATAGAGATGCTCTCTGAGATGGGCTTTTGCATTGTCCAGGTGCGTGTCGCCTTGAGCAATGATCAAATTTTTTCGGGACTAGAAGGTTGTTGGCCGGAGCAACGCGTACGAATTAGGACGCAGGGGGTTCAAGGAGCCTCTCGAACCTTAGGCCCGCTAATTTTAGAAATGACCCAAGAATGCGTAACAAGTAACCCCCAGACAATCCATGAACATCTTTTAGACTAGACTCGCCGACTGCATTCCGCACTTCCTGATCCCGAAGCGGCGCCTCACCGGAAATGGCCCGCTGACACGCTGCCCACCGCGGGCCCCTCGCGCGCGTTTTTCAAAACCAAATTTGCATTTAGATGCGCAAATCCTGAGAGGCCCGTCTGCCCGCTAGAAACGACCAGCCATCAAATCACAGGTAAGGTGGAAAATAGGTGTATGAATGGAGGGAATCGCTAAGAAGGAAAGATTGGCAGATTTCGTTATTGGACTTGACTGATATGTGGATGCACACGAACGATGAAAAGTCCCAATCTACAATCTACAAAACCAAAAGACCTAACTACGGCATAAAAACGCAAACTATGCAGCACGGAACTACCATCCTTTGTCATGAACACTACGCCTCTGACACATCAATCAAAATCTTTCCGCATTCTCCCCACTCAAATGCAGCCCTTTGTAACACTCGTTCGGCCAAAAATGGCTCGAATCGAGGGGGAACTTAAAGGTTGACTGAAAAGTTGTAAAAGAAGATGAGTGAAAAGACGCGGAGGAAGAAGGCAGGGAGGACCCGTCGTCGACCCAATTCGATTCCGGGGTTTTGGATGAAGAGCGCTACATGGGGGTGAAGGGGCTGAAGTGGCGGACGAGGTGGAAGAATTGGACGACGGGCGAAATGTTTGGAGGGACGGTAAATGGGATTAGAGGAGAAGATGCGGTTGAGAAAGAGGTGAGGAGGGGGAGGAGATGTTGAAGCAGAAGAGGTGGCTGGGGCTGAAGGTCCGCCTGCTTGTGACAGCCTGATTGGCGGAGGGAGCTGTTGGGAGGGATGGGAAGGGTTTTTCAAGAACTCTTCAGGTCTTCAACCGTGATCACTGGAAGGGTGTAAAAGCGCTTTCTAAATGTGTAAAAATCATCACCATCCGTCTTTACGCCGCACCGTTACAATTCAAAACTTTTTGGGGCCCCGATTATGCCATGTATTTTCCCACCGGACAACTAACGTGAAAATTTAGGTTACATGCAATTAGCCCACGTTAATTCCGCCTTATTCCTCATTTTATATCTAATCTCCCGGCTCCAATCCTAAAAAACACCTCCCTCCTATACAGCGTGACACGAGCTAACGGGGTCGAACCAATCTAGCAACTGGCAGTCGATCACCACCCCTCGTTTCTTCCTCCCCAATAAACTATACGTTCCCCCTGTTTTCAGCGCCCCAATCTGAGCAGGTGCTAGCGACTAGCGGAGGCTCACCCCTCAACGCTTTGAGACAAATTATTGCTAGATGAGAGTCCAAAGAGTTAGTGGGGGGATGTAAGATGCGAAGAGTCGCGCCTCGGTATTCCCGCGGCAATCCATCTTCATTCGTCGCTCCCTCCTCTAGCTGGCCCGGATCATCGGTCCTATGAGCCCCAAAAAATGTACACGGGCCACGTGTTTAGGGCCAGAGTGGGATGGAAAGGGATGGTAATTGCTAGCTTTAGGTGAGGGACTGATGATAATCAGAAAAAGACAGAGGGGTCGAGGAAGCATCGTTAACCTCCCAATTTTATAAAGAAGAACCTTATTAATTTTATTTGATATAGCTATAACGGTCATACCGTTTCTTAGAGGACAAAATTGGGAAGTGAATGTTTCTTGAAAAGCCTTATACTTGGTGGCCGTACGAGAACCGCTTACCGTACGATAATACCTGGAATGCAAAGGGTCGATGGCCCTTCGAAATACGGTTGTTAGCGTAATTTCTATCCGAAGCAAGCCCCCAAGGCTTTCGACGATCCTACCGTGAATTTCGATTCCAGCTTGTTAATTATTTGCATACCTTTCTAAATAATTCTCGTGGTTTTCAAAATTACTATCTAACTCTTGTAAGGCCGCATAATCCAAGTTGGTTTAAATTTCTTTGCAAGTGAGAAACCCGCTTTAGTTTGTTTTTGTTCTAATTTGCATATCCGGATTAGCCTATCCTCTCCATTCCCATTCCCGGGCGTGTTGCGTGTAACCTCTAGTGCCTTGTGCACAGCTCTGCAAGTGTATTGGAGTGTGGCGTAAAAGCGTTCCCTTCAAAAATGACCCAATTGTGCTCCGGTCATTTGTATCTTTCCCTAAGCTGAACAAGCTAAAAAACATAGTCTTAAAACAACACTATTAAACGAAAATTTGTTCCTTTTTCTGCAAAATTACGAGGCCAAGTCTAGCCATGTTTTAGAGAAATGCTATCTGACGAGGGGCCAACATTCCGCTTCAAAACTGGCCACACGGGTAAAGTGGTAGGTTGAATCCAAATTTCGGAGAATTCGTTTTATTATTTACAGAATCATGCAGCATTCAACTTTTTCGGGAATCAATTTGCCACTGCTGGAAGTGATGGGAGCATCAAATTGTTCGAGGTAAGTGCTAAAAATGAAAGTGTTGAAAAATCGGTGTCACAAAGTTTTCTCAAATGAAATTTCATTCAAAAATATGTAAATATTTTTAGGCTAAAGATGGAGCGGTGCCGATTTTTAAGGATAAAATTGGGGAACACCCTGGCGCTCAAATTTGGTGCATCAGCTGGGCGCACCCACGGTTTGGGCAGATGCTGGCTTCAGCGGGTCATGATTGGTATGTGTCAAGTTTTGATCTGCAAAATTAATGTCGGTCCTTTAGCAAACTGATTATTTGGAAAAGAGACGAGCTTTTTGGAGGTGGATGGAAGAAGGAGTATGAATATACAGGACATCAGGCCTCCGTTCATAGTAAGTTACAAATTTTGTGTTATTAATGGCATGCCAATATCTTAATTTGTATTTTCTAGCTGTTGCCTTTGCACCATATGCTTATGGGTTGAAGCTGGTTGCCGGATCAATGGATGGATTCCTGGTAAGCCCAAAAAAAATAACCTTAACAATTATCTAGTCGGTCCATTCATACAACCGAGAGTCGAAGGAATGGACGGTGGCCAAGATCCCGAACGCTCATGATAAGGTACACAATTTTCTGAGCGCGTTAGACCGTATTCAGGGCGTCAACGGTGTCTCGTGGGCTCCATCTAGATATTATACAAATGAGAATGGCCAAACTCAACTCACAGCCCAGCGTTTTGTCAGCTGCGGAAATGAAAAATTAGCGAAAATCTGGGTGTGAGTAAAAATCTGAAATCATAACCGGAAGATCATTTGCTTTAGGTTTGATCCGAACGAGGGCTGGAAATTAGAATATTGCTTGAAGGGGCATACGGATTATGTGACCGATGTTCAATTCTGCATGGACGCTCAAGATGGATGGTATAAATTGGCGAGCGTCGGAATGGTAGGTCCTTAAGACATTCATAAATTTGGTTCTGAAAAATCCTGAGCAACGTAACGAAATCCTTAAAATAATAATCTTCAGGACGACAACCTCTTTATCTGGGAGACCAACAACATTGAAAGAGCAGAATACAGAACGCAATGCTTGGTCGAGGTATTAAAAATAACCTTTCCACGCCTCGAAATTTCAGCTGGGCGGACCCGCTAACCGGATCTGTTGGATGAACCGTGATAAACTATTTGTCGATGGGGAATTTGAGGCGGTAAATCTGGGCCCGGCCAACTCAAGTTTCCTATTTTTTCAGTCGGAAGTATTCCAATTTGACGGCGAGAAGTGGGGGCGCGAAGACGGAAATCTGGATCAAAGTCTACCTCGACAGAGCTACGATGAATAGACATATCAGTCTCATTTTGTGTTCCGTTGTCCTTGTATTTTATTTATTTGCTAACCAACATGATAAATTATCCCAACATGAAAGGATGCGAACTATCAGATATTATTCACAATAATATGGATGCGCGGTTCTGTAAAGAACTAGCTATTGAAAACCAAGCGCAAGACAAAAGCCTAACTTCTTCGTCCTATCTCCCCAAAAGCTGTCGCGAAGCGGCAGAACCCTGGTACACCAAAGTTGTTTCTCAAACTCTCAATGTGGAGATCCGAGTGCCACCTGAGTACATCTCAATTCCTTTAAAAATTCCTCTACCGCAATAAAACTCATTAATCAAACTCTCTCCTTCCCCCCCCCCCCCTCCAGTCACCCTCATAAATTCCATATTGCACGATTGGCGCCTTTCGTCAACTTTCGTCGCATAATTATTAGGCGCCAAAATTTGTCTGGGCCAGTTTTCGGTGGATTGGCGAGGAGCAGAGGAGGAAGAGGAGCATGAAATGGAGAGGGAATGTGGAGGATGGTTTGGGGCGCGCGGGCCGGGCCACCTGCGCGCTTCTCCGAATGTTTTTCTCTGGTTAGGGTGTTTTGCCGTGGTCATCGTCGACACGCATGTTGCCCAACATCTCTTACTCTATCTATCCGACACCCTAGCACCAATGCCCCTCCCCCCTAAACTGCCTTTATTTAGCAGGCAGCTGGCTGAAGCCCGGCAGAGACTGTTTTCACTCCTCAATTCTCGGAATGCCTTTTTCGCTCTTCGATTCGGTCAGTAGTTTCTTGATTTTCTAGCGATGCCGAAGCCCGGGAAGAGTGGTGCAAAGCACGGCTTAGATGAAAAGGCGATGGATGAAGCGCTTGAACTGGACCTTGCTGCCGACCGCCGTCATTTTGCTGCCAGCGTTTTCGAGGTACAATGCGCTATTTTTGTTGGTCTTCACTTTGCACTAACTGCTGTTGCTTCCACTTCGCATTGAGTCACGCCGCTATCCATTTTAACGCAATCTACCTTATCCCAGCCGGCCCTAACCTAAGCTTTTACCTGCTAAACTCGTATCGCTAATTTTTTTTTGCAGCCATCTCGGCGTCCTGACACACCTCCGCCAAGCCATATGCGCTTCTGCGTTTCGACCTCGTGCCGTCACCACCGCACCCGTTTCGACTCCTTTTCCACTATTGACAGCGTCGAGGGCCCAGGGGATGCTTGGAAGCGGCAGCTTGGTGAATGTTCGGGAAGGTAATACGCTTTAATCAATCATTTCACCGAGATTCCTAGCGGTAGCCACCTCCGATCGGGGAACGTCGTTTGCGTGTCGGAGGCGCATGGAGAGACCGTGGAAGAGACAGATCATGAGAGTGCCGTGGAAGCTGTGAAAAAGGAGCCAGAGCAATCCACCGAAAAGTTAGCTAGCTTGAAATTCAAGTTGCGCTTTTGAAGGGCTTCTAGGAAGCGCATGGCTGATCCTGAGGAGGTTGCTGCTTCTCCGCCAAGCTTGTAGGAGTTTTCTTAGTTTAACCAGGCAATTTGCTAACTGTTGTCCATAATCACGACCATCACAATTTTAAATACTCAAGCTTGAACTGACAATTTTAGGGGAGAGCGCTTGAAGGCATTTTTCGAGTGCTGCCGCAAGCCGTCGAAAGATATGTCTAACGAGACGAAGGAGGTCGGTTTTTACAAACAAAGATACCGACTTTTGATTTCTAGGAACTGAAACACAGCGTGGAAAATTTGGTTCTGGGACTGTCTGACTTGGAGGAAAAAGTGTCGAGGATTCGGATCTGGGAGGATGGGCGGAAGATGACGACTGTCTACAATGCTGACCCCAATGCTGACTCGGTATGGTTTCAGACGTGTCACTCTCAAAGTTATGATTTTAGGATGAAGACGAGGAGCCGGAATTCGGGGATGTTTGCTATGAACCCGTTTGGGAGAGTGAAGAGGACGCCGAGAATCGTCCGGAAATGGCTTTCGACTATGGCAACGGTCTTCCCCCTAATCACAGCGCCAGGGAATAGAGGCTTTGATTTGTGCCTTAATTTATATAACCTCACATTGTTGCCTTATTGTTCCTAACGGAATTTATGACAACATCTTCTCCCTTTACGTTCCACGTTCCTTTAATTCGACCTTAAAAATTTCACGCATCCAATATCCCCTGATTCTCATTCTGAAAAACGCCCATCTCTTAACCCTCAAATTTTCTGAATTTTTGACAAAGCTACAAGCCGTTTCCCGTAAATTCACACCTCTTCCATACCACAATTGCTTCGGCGAAAACAACCTGAATTTCCCATTATTCCCATGCCAAGTTTTTCTAAAAAACTCTAGCTCCTTTTAGCCACCTCCTCCCCCCCCGATTCGTTCCCATTCCATTCCGGCCATTTAATCCTAGCATCCCCCGGTTAGTTCCCATTCCCCAAGTAGTGCAATAAAATTTTAGTCGACACGGATGGCGCCTAAAATTACACACTACCTGCTTTTTAGTTTCACCACAGCAACATGCAATTCCCTATGGAATATAATTACAGTGTTCCCACCGCCAGATGCGCATGCTAAAATTGGTCCTGCCTACGCATATATTTTGGGACGATCTTGGCTGTCACGCTACACCCCGAAAGTTCGAGCAACATTTTTGTAATTGCACGCTTACCAGAAAGGTGGATATTTATATTTTTTTCATGTTGTTGGCGAAATTATCAATACATTAATTGGGACCTTCATTCAACATTTTGCTTCACAATGAAAGTCTCTTTATTCATGGAAAACGCACAGGCGGTCTGATGAAAAGCGGTGTGTTTTGAAATAGGGAGTCGCAACAGGGGGATTATTCGCACATTTTTCTCGATTGGCTGTAAATAAAAAAATGGCGGATGTACGGTATCACAACGGGTCTCATTCGGGGACTAAAGTAAAACGTACCAGGCTCGGGGTGGAAGAAAAAGCAGTTTTTGGATCCAAGCTGGGATTTGGAAATGATGGCGGGACACCCGGGTGGGGGCGCATTATAGGGTTAGACAACTTTGAATTTGACTCCAAAGTCCACCACCCATTTTCGATATTATGGGGCGAATTTCGGAGGGTAAATGGCACCGGAATGGCTATAGATATGGAAGTCTAGAGGGAAAAAGTTTGACCGGGATAATGGTGGGGTGGAAGGGTCAAGAGATCAGGAACAATTTTTATTTTGTTTAATTTTTATTGGGGGAGCGCCTTGATGAGGGATGAGACCTCTTGGGCCACGCATGCATAGATGAACTTGAATTGGGCCGATGAGCAGACCATCTGCTCACGTTGGTCGCGCAGATGTTCAACGGATGCGACGACGTCGATTTCTAGAAGTTTACGTAATTTTGATGATAATTCTCAACCCATAATTAGGGATGATAGCTTTGAACTTTGAGGCTGTTTCAGCCACAATAGCCATCAACTCAAGCATTCAAACGTTCAAAAATCACCTTTGACGCCTCGTTGTATCCTGGCACAGATCATATCCAACGCACAGTAGGTGCCAGTTCGGCCGGCTCCTTCGAACGAATGGACAAGGATTGGCGAGGCACGGCCCTTGTATGAGCGGTTGACCTTCCTAAATTCAATTCATAATTAATTACAAACAATTCACGGCACTCACCGCCTGAATTCGAGCAGCGTCTTCGGAAGTGCAGGGACCTCTCCTCGTTTCCAGTTCAGATAGTGGAACTGGGTGATGGTCCTGAAAAATGACGTCAAGAAATGATTCAAGCAATGGCGTACCTGGTCTGGCCATTCTTCAAGTTCTTCAAGTAGAATGAACGGACGATGTAATCATCAGACCAGATGTGCTCCGAGACGAGATGAACCTGAATCTTCCAGTTTTATCTAGGTCGTTGCTTTCAAACCTCGAATGCTCCAAAGATGGTAGATCCTTGTTCGGGCCAATACAGTCCTTCGCTCTTTGCTTCATCCATAGTGGATAGATTGACGATGAGGCACATATCGTGTTGCCAGACGGCTGACCACCAAGCTGCCGCACCGTCACCACCACCAGGGGATTGGGCTGAAATAAGGGTTTTTCTATAACACCATTTTACAAACCTGCGATGAACATTGGCTGACGCGGATCATCGTCATAGATGAATGATGCATTCAGATAGGCTCCTTCTTGACCATTCTCGCCAGTGATTTTAACAAGATTCTCGTCATCTAAATGCCCCTAATTGACACTGATTTTCGATGCTCACATGGCGTGACTGCCTTGTTCTTCCATGCATTCGCAGTACCCACGGTTGTTGCTTTGGCCTCATTCCTTAAAAGGACAGAATTGGAGAGATCAAAGATCACAAATCAAAACTAGAATCAAACAAAAATTCTGTTACGCACTTGTAGGTTTGCAATCCTTGCCATTGGGCCTCCATTCGGTTGGAATCGTTGATGTACTCTTGGAGGAAGTTCTAAAAAAGATCAACATCAAAAATAATGTTAATACTGACCAGAAGAACGTGGCCGGTAGAGATATCGATTGTCGGTTGAGCGGTTCCCTCCTCACACCTAGTTTAGAGACGTTAGAGGCTTTGCTATTTTTAATACCATGAAGAAGTGCTGCTGTGTTTGCTGCCGGTGGCGCGTTCGAGTCCTTCCTGGGACATTCGCTGGCGGCATAGTTCTTGGTATTCGCTGCCAGCTTTTGCTTCAAAGTCTCCAGGCACCGAGGTGATGTTGGATTTATAGTAGCGCTTCTGGCGATAGACGTGCACACCAAGGACTAAAAAAAAAATAATTTTTTCTAGGTTTTAGTGGTCTGTTTTTATTTTTCCAGACGCTGACGTGTGGGCCAATTTTTAATTACTATACTTCAGTACAATCTTTCTCAGCATTACTGCTAATGTGATGATCGCATTGCAGTTTTCGATTCCCCGAAGGGATTAAAACTCAAAATCACGGCTTTTCAGTTTTCACCACCTTTTTAGCTTTGGCTCCACAACTCCGTAACTCCTTACCCGAAACAAGGGCCGCAATGGTGAATGCACAAACGAAAAGCAATGGCATAAGCAGCCAGTCCCTCTCCGTTGACTCAACCGGAACGGAATCCTGAAAAAAACGACCTAATTCCACCGATGGCTGTCGCCTTCACCCAGAGCCCCCCTCCCAAAAAGGCCCGTTTCGAATGTCGTCCAATAATATAATTGGCCGAATCTGGAGCCTTCTACCCTGCTGTCTGTCCCGGATGGCTATACGATTATGTCTGCCTGCCCCCCTTCCGCTCCCCCCCCCCCCCCCCTCCATCCACCCTCCGCTTCCAATTACGCTTTTTTATCTCGACCCCTCTCCTACCGCCCATTTTAGGCGTCCCGCGATATTGAAAGGAAAGCCGAGAATATAGAATGAGGCGCTTAATAGAACGGAATGCGCTAGTGGTGTATACCTTTTTGAAAGGTTAGCTAAAGAGTTTTGCTCACCTCCCCAATGCCAATGCCCGTTTCGGCAACTTCAGCACCAGATAGTCGGGCGATGTCCTTTCGGCGTTTGTCTGAAAAAACACATGTTTGGATATAGGAATATGAGCAAACTTTGAAAAAGTTAGTTTGTAACTTACAAACTGCCTTGGCGACTCCCTCAACAGAATCGATCGTCTTCTCGGCCTTCGGGGCTCGAGGTTGATCGATCAATCGGCTGATTCGAAGTGAGAGTTGCCCTTCATCGAATCTAAAAACCAAATTACTATTACACTTCCCACTTCTGCGTTCCTTTAATTTCATTATCATGTTTTGGTCATATCCCATTCCATTCGCTACCCCCGCAAAATTTGTAGCTACCCATGAAAGCCACGGCAATAACAGCCAAAATAACAAACCATACCACAATCCGAAAAACCCTTGAATTCTTGAACAGAAAAATTACTGGAAATCGTCGAAGTACAGCTTGTTGGGGGTGGCGATTTTGCTTTGGAGAAACTCAATGAGTGGGTAGAGCTGGTTCTCATCCTTGATGTTAACCTGGAAAAAACTCCCTAATTATTGTTCACACCGTTTTCAGGAAATATAAAGAAGCTAAATAGTTGTCCAAAAGCCAAATTACCTTGAGATAGATGCGGTTCCCAACAACACGTGAGATCTCGGGTTGATCGCCCTTCACGATTTTGTGCTCCGTGTTTTCGAGGCCTGAAAATGTATTCGTTTTCAAACTGCTTTTTGTTTCCTAGTCGTTTCTTTCCTTCATTTCAATTTCCTCGATTCCGGAACATGCGCAGCAAAACCCAATATCCCCAAAATTAAGAAACTTATTGGATGTGGCACCCGAACCTGTCTGGCGAGAGAAAAAAATGAATTTTGGCGCTCAACCCTATCGCAAATAAGCGTCGGAATTGGATTACACTTGAGTAGATTTGTGTTTCTGCGTAAGTATTAAAGCTCAGCATCGATTGGTGACCTGATTTTATACTTCCAAGAAATATAGCTGTCGCCTCCAGTCTTCCGTTCAAACATCGCTGAGTATTCTGACAAATAGTCTTCCCCTTCCCCGTTCCACATTCCCAAAAAAAGCTTAAGTAACCGAAGCCGTGAGGGTTGATTTCCAATTCTTCAGACTCTCTTCTCCAATGGCCACCCTCTCAACGATGAGTGGGGGATTGACGAATAAGAGAAACGGCGTGGAAAGAGACAGGCAAAGGGTGACGTCATGTTTCGCAATCCAAAGGCGGCCCCTCCCCATATATGGCCTTCTTTCGCCTGTTTTCTCGGGGATGTTTTTAAGTCGGCGTCTGCATCTGGGCCCTCTCCGTAGGGCCCACACTATCCCGCGGTGGGCCCTTCTCTGGCGCCTCTCTGAATCTGGGCCTTTTCCACGTCATCTAGCATCCCCACGCACTTCCCCTTTTACCCCTTCTAGAAGAGAAGGAGAAGGAGGAGGAGGAGCGCCGAACTGCTGATGTCAATTCGCGTATGTGCACCATGAGAAAACCGAATTATTAGAATTGCCATTCATGAGGGCTATTTACGGGGGGATAGCGGCTAGTTTAGATCGCCCCCGTTTTACCCACTACAATTTAGAAACTCTGCGATGGGCTTTGGGTGACGAATTGATATTTTTGGGGTTTGAGCGCCCTTTGTCAGGATTGACTTTTTGTTGTTTACCAGCTTCGAGCCCTGGTGGATATGCGTTTGCGAAATTTTAGTATAACAAGGCTGCAAAAATGTCGGTAAAAATGGTAGAGATCGATTTTCTGAGCAAAGAGATGCCTGATGATATTTAATTAACCTGACTTCGTTAAAATTAATTTGGAATGTTAAAGCCACGTGAAAAATGTAGGTTGTAACTTACCAAGTTTGGTTTCACCGACATGTTCCTTATCTTTCTTCAAGACGTCAACCGCCCTGCCTTCGATCGTCTCAAGTGGAACGGCTTCCTCCGCCTCCCCGGATTCTTCCACTGAAAATTAATTTTAGAATCGATATTTCCTTCTGCTCACAACAACCCCAACCCAATTTTTCTGCTGTTGCAATAGGTCTTTGAGGCGTGAACTTTAGCACCAGCGCAACCTTCGTACCCTTTCATGTAATTGAGCATTACGTCACCACCCCCTTCCAGAACTTCTGTCCCAAAAATTGTGGCCCTGGGCCACTCTTTCTGCCCCTACTCAACCACCCAAAGGCCCAACCTAATTATATAGAGGCACGACGAATCTTTGCTTTTCCCTAGGCGCAAAAATGCCATCCAATTAGGAGCCTTTCCCTCTCATGATCCCATCAAGGAGAAGGAGAATGCGTGGCTCGGATTATGACGGTATGAGCAAAAAAATTCAGCCATATCTCGAGGGACACGCGAAGTGCTTATGATTCAAAATCTTTTGCGGGCGGACTCGTAAGACGGTTTAATTGGGTCTCTGGAGGGCCACTCTGGGTGAGTAATAAAATATTAGGGTGCAATAAATGTTGCGGGGGAAGGAAGGCGGGATGGCGCTGTATACTGGGAATGGGATATATGGGATACGTGGTATGTGGGAGAAGTTTTTTTGGGTACTAAAAGATTAAGGAAGCAGAGGTTTCTGTTTTGTTGCTTTCAGATTCAGGATCCAGAAAGCTAAGCTAGTGCGCCGACGAGATAGGTTTGATTTATCAAAAGTCCCTGCCACTCGAAAATTCTTCTCCCGATCGATCCCAGCTAGACCCAATATTTTAGATTCCTAAATTACGGGCAACCGTTCCTTCCCATCCCCTCATAGCCCCCACCTTCTCTTTCTCTTCTTGTGTTTTTCGGACACATAATTTGGGCCTCACCAGTCTGCCCCCCCCCCATCCGTTGGCCCTTAATTTGGACCCTTCTATCGTCGACCCAGCCGAGACCACTAATGGATGCGTCCCATTTGAAGAGATGAAGGGATGGTGGGGAACTAGTAGTTCGAGACGGTCCTTCCCCTCTGGGATTCCAGCGTACGATTCTGGGTGGCTGGCCCCTCCATTTTGATCCCTTGGCCGAGCGAATCACACACTCGGTTATATGAACCACCCGCGGGGGAGGTGGGCAATGTGAAAAACAAAGCTGGTGGAACGCTCGAATTCTCACGATTTGCGTCAAAGCCGGTGACAAAAAATGCGGGATTCGACTGGGGAAACGCAAGAGCATTCTGATCCGAAAATCTCTAAAGTGCTATTCCAAAAGCGATTTCATTGATGAGAAAGAGAAAGAAAGAATAAACCCCTTTTTCGCCATAGGTCTTTTTCATTTCACTAGATGGATCCAGAACCCCAGTTCCTTCATAGCATGCGCCTCGATTCAAATGTGCCGTCCTTTCGGCGGCCGACCGAAATAATTGGGTTTCGCCGAGGAAAAATCAGGGGTTTGGGCCTAGATGCTCTATGGATGTGCGGCCATTTCGCGGCGAGGGACTCAAATTGGCATTCCGGGGGGTTCTCTTTTTTTGCAGTAAAGATGGATGGATGTCGTGTGGGTTTGGAGACATTGCTTTTATTCCAGGGGCCCAAAATGAATTAAGGTGGAGAAGCCTTAGCGGATTGAGAAGGAAGTCTATTCAAAATTTTAGAGGTAAAATTCGTTCCATTATATCTCGTCCCTAACTTTCATTATTTTGATTAGACTGCGCGAATGTTGCCCTCGCGGGCTTTTTTAATGAATTCCTGAACATACCAGGTGCTTCGGTGGCATTGCGCTCGTGGGCTACACGTAAAGCGTAAACTGTAGCGATGAGGGAATCGAGTTGTTCGTCAGAGAGTTCGCTAGAAAATTGAGAGTTAGTATAACTTTTTTAGTCTATTACCTCAAATCAGGATTTCCTCCTTCAAGCACTTCCTCAACAACCTGCTGGACAACAGGATCGATTTGGCTTGGTTGCAGCAGAAGAAGTTCTGCAAATTCTCAGGGTTTTATTTTGCCGCCGGTCCCCATTTCGCTATTTTTTTGCCGGGGCTTAGGGAGTTGGGTCCGAGGGAGTCCCAGATGCCAATCATTGCTTCTCGTGCTTGCCTAGGTCCCCAGGGTCACATTACTCATTCACACCCCCACAATGAGGGTCCGTTTTCCCGTGCGATAGCCCCGAACTAAAAAAATTAAAAAAATGTCGACGTAGGCAATCTCACCAAAACTTCAAAACAATTTGACTACGGTAAGATTCATCTAATTTGGTAGAGAACGCGCACACATTTTTATAACAGGACTTATATTCGAAATCCCAGGATTTGAGACAACATATCAACGTCACATCCTGCTATTCTCGGGGTTTTCTATCTCCTAGCAACTATTGTAAACAACATGGCATCAGCCGAGGAAAACCCTCCTCCCCAACAGCATGTCGACCTCCCCCTCAAATCTACTAAACAAAACCCTGTGATTTAAGGCTGGCCACTGGCCCAACCCTTCGAATCGAATTCCGGCCGTCGGGGCATCAAGCATCCCATCCCTCCCACCGCCCTTTCCCTCTTCACAAAACACCCTACTCGTTGCCTTTAGTAAAAAATTCCCCTCGAACCCCCATGCCCCCCTGTCTGAATTTGGCATACGGCTCGCGTTTCCCCGGATTCCTCTCGCTAATTTGGTTTTCCCCGGAAACAAAAGAGTCCCCCGCAAATTCTACGTTTTTCCCCGTTAATCGGATAAGGGGAACGGCTAAATGAGTGGAGCGGAAGTTTCTGGCAGGGTCAGTAGTTTTGGGTCATCCCTACTCGTACTCCTTTCGCCCGTGAAGGGCCCACACAACACAACCCAGCCATTCCTCTAAAGGGCCGGTTAATTAGGTTTCGACGGACCCTCTCTTTCGCTGCCCCCATCCACGAAAGGGCCCCCAAAAATAACGGGACCTAAACGAGAATTAGGTCAAAACCAACTATACGATGCAGGCTGATGGGGTGGAAGGTTTTCGGACCTTTAGCATTGAAACAATAGTGTACTTTTTGTTTTGTTAACGGGTTTTGATTCGAGCTGGGGTGGCATGGGGTAGCAATTTCCACTGTACGAAATTCGCTGCACGGCTTCCTGTTGGCCCTCGACCAAAATTCTGAGAATAGATTAACGGCGGCCCGCCGCCGGGATGCCAGAGTGACAAAATTTATGAAACCCCGCAGGTGGTTGCTTGTGGGTATACAGCTGGATTTACCGAAAGACACGGAATCAATTCCCTCCCCAGACGGCTGAAAGATTCAAACCAACAGCGCAACCGCAAAAAAATCAAAGTGGTACCCGGCACCAAAATAATTACATCTCACTAATGGTTTTTCGTACCTTGACGTCTTGCACGCCCAAAAAAGCGAACAGATTTTTTGTTTTCCCAGTTTCCCTCCTATATACAAGCCTCATGCATAATAACGCGTTTTTGAGGGGGCGGGGAAGAGGCTCCAAGGCGCAAACAACAATCTGTCGCCGCAATCTAACTGTCCCTTTTTTTTAAGTCCCCAAGCAAGAATTTACGAACTGCGCGTGCCTATACTGGGGGGGGCATTGCTATTAGTCTGCCGATGGCCACGTGAATCCTGGCCTCAAATTGAGAGAGGAGCATGAAAAATGGATTGCACGGACAAATATTCCGGGGGCCCACGCATTCGGAGGGGAATACGTAAGTAGAGGGAATGAGTGGAGGGAAGTGGATGGATTAAGTGAATTTTTGAAAAAAACCTACCATCCTCTTCGATCTCTGGTGGGGGCTCGTTGAGTTCACGAATAAAATCGTCGATCGGGGCTTCGATGATCTATGAATTAATTATGACTTCGAGAGGATTTAAATCAAAATGATTCCTGGTAGTTTGTGCGATCTTTAGAATTTTAAATCCTTTTCACCCCTCATCATAACCCTCAAAGCCCAAATTTCCGGTTAGAACGACCGAAGCCCACCTCAACAACAGGCCCACTTTCCGCTTCTTCAGCCTCGGCAAGGATCTCTTGAATAGATGGCTGAAAAGGCGGCTTAGTTCCCGGCCAACGATGGCCAGTCACCTCATCGGCGTCTGCCAACTGGTCCTCATCCTCCTCTTCCGGCACAAACTCGGCTCGTTCGTCAGGCACTTCAAAAATCGATCGTTTTTCGATGAGACCACTCTCCTCGTCAGGCATCATCGCGTCAGCCTCTTGTTCTTTCAGGCTCATATCGACAAGCTTAACATAGTTCTGATTCAGAAACTATTAATTCTTTAGCTACCTGCACGAGTGCCCAGACATTGGCTGGTGAGCGGACCTCACAGAACGTCGGGTCATATTGCAGATCGTAAGACATAGCCAACTTGAAGTAGGCAAAGACACATTGGGCTTTCTAAAAAAGAGCCTTTAAAGTTGAAACGATATACGAAAAGAATAAAAACGAAAAACCGACTTGATCAGGCCACTCATATCCCTGAGAAGCAAGACGAGCAACCTCGAGCTGTAGCAATTCTAGCTGCGGGTCCTCTAGGGCTGGCAGCACGGAGGGTGGCGGGGCCTCGGACTCGGGCGACCAACATTGCCCGAATAGTCCGTCTAGGGATTTTAGGGTATAGGAAATAATAAAAACAATGATTTATGTCATAATATGCCGGCTAAACAGTGATAAAGGCATATTCTTCATGAAATTATGTTGAGCTGTGATTCAAAGTGTTAGTATTAAAACACATTAAAACATTAACCCGAAAAATTTATATATTCCCGTGGCCAATTTGGGTCATGCAATTAATTCCACTCCCCTTTTTGTTTTTTTAAAGGCTAAATAAGGCTTTTTTTGGGGGTGGAACCGCCTCACGTAGACCACCCCATGTCATGGCCAATGCATAGCTGAACGAAATGGCCACGAAAAACGGCACACCATTAACACAACCCTCGCCTTCCTCGCACAGGTCTTCGCTCAGCGAACATCCTGAAAAAAATGTAAAATTAAACTAAACAGCTGTCGCTGCCGCGTTACTGTACGCTATAAATTTATTTTCCAGATATTCCACTACTAATCCCGAGAGCCAACCGATTGTTTTTTGCTGAAGGCTACCCACCCCCTCTCTAGTGTGTTGTTTTCAGGTGGCCCGATATTTGAAGCACACCCTTAAAATTGAGGCCCTTCCCATAGAGCATTGCCACAATTCACGGGGGCATAAAGTCGTAAAGCTGGGGTGAGGTAGGGGTGGGATATTCGGGTTGAGGGCGTTGCGGTGTTCTAGTTACTACTTTCCCCCACCCAACGTCTTCCGCCTTTTCTTGAAGCTGTGAAAGGATGGAGCTTTTGGGTGGGGGTGGTCGGCTCGGGAGAGCAGTGAAGTGTGAATTGAAGTGCAATCTTCCGCTCGATCTTTCATGCTGCTCGCGTGAGCAAAAAAACTGGGAAGAGTTAAAAAGCTAGACATTTTTACATAGTTTTCTTCAATTTACTACCTAATATCTTCCAAAGGATCAAAATTCAGCACCCTATAAACCATCAGCTTTTTTACTATACCCTTTCAGCCACGCTACTCCATCAAAAATATGCCATTTCCTCCCGTCTCCGACTCCCCTCAAAAAAGGCTATAACGACGTATCATGTTTCTTCGTCGCCCCAAATATCACGGCCACCATTTTTTCCCCAAATTCAATCTGCTTAATGCCCGTCGTAATGTTCGACGCATGCGATCCTTCCAATTTATGACATTCGCCCCCCCCCACCTTGCTACTGTACTATATATCGGTTAGTAAATGGGTGGTGTGACTATAGCCTGGAGATATACACTCCACCCTAAACGGTCATCTCCCCCCACCCGCCGAGCCAAATTAATTATCGGCGCCCAAACCGGGGGTGGCTGGAAGGGTAGTGGGCCCTGTTTTGAAAGTGAGCCATGGTGGATGGATGCATTACTAGAGCTTGATACGAATGCCAGAATCCTTTTTGGGAGAGCGCTTTTTAGGGTGGATGCAAGGGGGAAACGTGAGATGAGAGGCTTCAACCCCCTCCCTTTTCTTCTTCTAGACCCCTCCATCTAGCTGCGTTAGAAATGGAAAACGCTCTTTTAGCCACAAGGGCCCCCGTCTCTCAACCCGGGACGCCCAGAATTACGACTAAAATCGGAGAGAATCGAGGAAATTGGCAATGCGCCAGGGACGCTCGGCCAGCTAGGCAACGCTGCTGGGGGGTTGACTTTACGCATCAATGGTTATATACTAGGAAGGAGAGGCGGGTGGAAGGGGGTGGAAACTTTCGAGTTTCTATTTTTCGGTAAAATGACGATTGGGCAGGGTTATGACTTCATGAGGGCGAAATAACACGAGGCCTACAATATAGGCTACAATTTGTGGGTGTGGGAGTTGATGCGTGGTGCCTGGAGAATACACGGAAATTTGGCTAATTAGAGGAGAGGGGGACGCGGTGAAAAGGACACGTGTAATCATCTACAACACCCACACTCATTAAATTGGGGGGAAATGTTTGAGAATAATATTGATTTAGGTTGGTAGGGAAAGTCAATTGACGATGGATGTGTTTCATCTAATTAGGTTGTCAATACAGTTTTCGAACCCTGTGGCAGTCAGAAAAATAGTCAAAAGCCCAAAACAAGAGCAATTTAGGGTCGGAGAAAAAGTTTATTTTACGATAAAATGCTATCTGTATGCGTATATAATTGATTTGTGATATCTAGCTTGAATGCGCAATTTAAAATTGTAAATTAAAGACGCCATAATCGAGTAAAAAAGACAAAAATCTTCAATTCTCAGTAAAAATTTGAAAAACAAAATTCAGACCACTTTTTCTGTCTACCTGATCCGCCAGAAAACCCGGAACTACCCCCCATTTAATGAATATATTATAGCAACAAACCGTAGAGTAGGTTTGGTGCCACCAGCTGGGGTAATAGGGCGATGATGAGCAGAAGAAGCGTGAACAACGTCATCGCAGCTTCTGTGGGTGGCCGGCCTACCAGCCGCCAAGCCCCATCGGCACGAGAATGAGGGAAAAGGGGGCCCAGGCAGGGGCCCACCCCGGCCGCGAGGGCCCATCCCCGAGGCCCTAGAGGGGCGGGGCCCCGACTCTCTCGTCTCTATGCCCAGTGCGTGTTCTATCGTCACTATTTCTTACCTTCCATCTTCTTCAGCCACATCTCGTCAAATAACCCACAATATCGCCACGCAGCCCCTCGGCGGACACCACGCCAATGAGCATCAGCTGTATTTTTTTTAGATTGGAGTGGCGAGGGGTTCGAAATTGTGTGGGGGGGGATGTTGGAAAATTGAAAGTAGGGGAGATCTATTAGGTGAGGTATAAGATATCAGCAACGTTCATACATATCCAAAATCAGAATAGCATCAAATAGCAGAATATATTTTCGCTGTTATGACGCTTTCCGAAAACTTGTTCTTAAAAGTTCGATTTATATATTTTTTTCAGAGCTATTTTTGTTTCAAGAACACGTATGACCAATTAGCATTGAGGAGTTACCGCTGATATTATAATTAGAGCTGTTGATTCAGGGATTTTGGGATTTCAACTGTCGTGGCTCCCTATTTCATGCCAATAAATTACCACAATTCCTACATTTACACGCAAACTGATGACATCCGAATCGCTACCCCAAAAAGCTTGTTTCACTCCATAACTTAAAAAAATTTTCCCCATAGCTCAAGGATTATTTCAAATTTCAACACCACAAACCGATCTCTAACTTCCCATAATTCACTGAAAGCTTTTTGCTTTCCTTGACGGCATTCCTCCAATCCCCTCCAAAAGTTATTCAATCACTCGCCCGCCCTCATAATCTAATAAAACGCGACCCTGTTATTTTTTTGTGCGCACATCGAGTCAGGTTTCCCCAGAATAGCCGGGAAGTGATGTCATCTCTGGCGATGAAATGGAGGCGGGGCTCCCCGTTGCCGGGCTCAATTATTACTCGATTATGCCGGATAAGCAATTTGCGTGAGAAGGGGAGGTGTCGCATTTTGTGGAGTCCCATTTCCGGTGTGGGCCCCGGATTTCGGGGGCGAATGGGTGGATGATGTTCGAGCGCCAAAAAAAAACGATTGATGCCATATCCGGCCACGGAAACGCTCGTATTTTTTGGCTTTTGTCTTTGCAAATCGGGGAAACACAAATCTTTTTGCACTCGACGCGGACGGAATGCAGGGGATTATCCCCTTGAATCGTCATTCGGTTGCGTGAGAATAAGGTCAAAAAATTTACGGAGAAGCGGAGAGTCCTGAAGTCATATGTGGTCTTGACAATGACGCAATTTTTATAGTTATCCTACTACATATAAAAAATAAGGTTGTCATCCTAAGGCACTACTTTGCATGCAACCTCCATTACCGTACAGGAGGAAATTATTTTAGTGGATGGTTTGAAGGGATGTGAAATATATTTGGGTGGCGTGATGGCCGGGAGCAGATTGAACGTTTAGTAGCATGCGTAAAAAATGCTAGTAGCTATTTGAAACAGTTTTTCTTTATTCTGAAAAAGCTTGTTTAAAAGTTATCCATTGCAAAGTTGGCAAAATTTGGTTGGTTTTGTTGAGGAAAAAGGAGAACAGCTTGAGCATTGTCTTTCCACAAAACGCTATTAATTGCCAATTGAAATCCCGTCGAAATGATTAATTTGCTATTTTCCTGCTTTTTCCCTAAAACCTGAAAATAACCCTTACAACAAAAATAATAGCAAGCTATGTAATAGCCGAGCAATTGCTGTGCAAACACGACAACGATTTTTTCGATTGCGCGAGTGTCCGGATGCGGGACCGCTCCTGGGGTTTATGGGCAGTTCCCCCCGGCCCTGTCCCGACCCAACCATAGCTCAGTTGGTAGAGCGGAGGACTGTAGAGTCGGCAGCTATCCTTAGGTCACTGGTTCGAATCCGGTTGGTTGGAATTCTTTTGCTTTTTGGTTGTGGAGTAGGGGAATGCTTTGAAAAATATTAGAAAGCTAAAAAAACTACTTTTAATCCTTAGGGCCTTGGAAAAGCCACTTTTTACCGATTCCAACGATTTCCGATCCGATGATCCTAAGTTGAGCTAAAGAAGCAATAAGTATTCACCGGAAAAGGTCTATATACAAAATCGAAGCGCTAAGTTGGTTCTGAAGCTCCTTTCAGGAATTACAGAGCCAACATAAATAATAAATTTGTTCTGCACTCCATAGTTTCTATTTTCTCTCAAAAACCACTTTTACCCGACCATCCCCCCTTACCGCCCCGGATTCTAGACCGGCGGCTCTAGGGGCAAACTTTCGTATAATAATTGGTATCCACTTCACCCTCACCACCTCCTCCCCTCCCTACCACCGATTATAGCCGGCCGAGGGCAATGCCCAATGGCAATGCCGGCTTTCTAACTCGAACCAATCCCCTCTACAGTCCACATATCCCCCACATTCCCTTTAATTTACTGTTTTTATTCCCTAAATAATACCTAAACGGCATGCATGAAGAGGAAGCGGAATGCAGAACATGGGAACGACTGGCAATTTCGGTTTCTGTGGTTTCACTTTCGTTGACAGCTCTCGGATATGTGTGGATTATCAGGGAAATTGAGACGCAGAGTGATAGTCATCGGCATGCTGTCCTTGAATATGAGGTGATTTCTCGATATTATTTTTGTTATTTTGTTAACTGTTTGCTAACTGATCTGTCATAAGTAGCTCGAAAATTGTGAATTTACAGCACCAAAATTGGAAGATTCCAGCCGTAAAGTAAAATGGCATCAAAAAAACCTTCAAATCTCGAAAACTCCTTGCTGAATCAATTTTCAGATGCTCGTTACCGATTCAATGCATTGGTTAGACGAACTCGATTACCATTCCCGCCTTCCCAGAGCAGCTCCAGATTATGTCATCTACGGAAAATACAAAACACACGGCAGAAAAAAGCAAAAACAGTCAGAAGATGGGGTAAGCAGTCCCGAAAATTCTGACTTCCGTTTGTTTTGAGTACAGCGAAGGTCCGCCTCAACGCCCAGCTTATCCTGATGCCGGAATCGAATCAGCTGACTACGGTGAAGACCAGGTAGTTTCAAATTAACCTGAAGACGTCGCGTTTATAGAATGAGATCGCTCCAGCGATAATTGACAATGGACGCCCTTTTAATCGGCCTTCGGGAAGAACTCGCCCACGTATTTGTGGTATTCTTAAGCCTATCCAATGTCTAATATCGATATTTATTCAGATTGCTCAAGGATACAGTGCCCAAGAGGACCACGAGGTTTACCTGGGGATGACGGACTCAATGGCGAGGTATTATAGACACCTCATGGGTTATCATCCAGTTAAGAACGGTGAAGCCGGGGTTCCTGGCAAGCCTGGTCTGGACGGAATTTTCCAACTCGATACTCCGTGCGATCCATGTCCACCCGGACCTAAGGGACCACTTGGCCCTACTGGGGAATCTGGTTAGTGACTAGGGCCACATTCAAAACTTTTCAATTTATTTAGGTAATGAAGGAAAAGCCGGACGACCAGGGAGAATAGGTAGGGATGGAGTTAATGAAAAGGGACTGCCTGGCGAAGATGGTCCTAGAGGAAGGACTGGAAGACCTGGGAAAAAGGGAGAGGTTCGTTTTGAATTATTTTATAGTCGGGTCTTGATTTAGCAAGGAGAACTGGGTCAAGATGCGGTACATCTAATTGGTGTTCCGGGACCGCGAGGGAGACCTGGTCCAAGAGGATTTCCGGGGCCTCATGGTGATCCGGGGCTTAATGGACGGAATGCACAAGCAGGTTAGAAAATCTGCCGGAGATTTCTCTTAATGAATACATTGCATACAATTGAAGCCTCCAAACCATACAAAAATTTTCCAGGAAAAGAAGGGAGCCGAGGTGCCCAGGGCGAACCAGGTATCCAAGGCGAGGCTGGTATACGTGGCCCGCGGGGCCGTCCGGGAGAAAATGGCAAAGACGGTGGATACTGTAACTGCCCAAGCAGGAATGGTAATTACACAACTTACAATGACAGGCTCCCGACCTAGGTGATACTCCCCTCGGCTTCAATGGCGACTTTGACCCCTCAGAATTTCCGGAAGCCGGTCATTATGAGCGTGAGAAGGGGAGAAATCAAGCGCGTCATCGACCGTCACCTATCACTCATTCAAGAGAAGAGTTCCGTTCTGTATCTGTTGCCGCCGAACAATTTCCGCCGATACGGACGCATAGGTAATTGACTGGGAAACTCAGATGCAAAATGTCGAGTCGATTCCCGCAACAGTTTATATCTTCCTGATTTAATTCTAAATTCAAATTTAAGTTTTAGTATTTGCAAGCTTTTTAAGAAGTTAGTGAGTTAGACAACATTTTCTAAATAATCGATTAATATATAGAATTTGGCTTGTTTCCGATTTCTATTTTGGTTCCCAGGACACTTATCCTAAGCGGATTAAATTCCCTCATTTCAATTCTTAAGCGGAAAAATTTTAACCACCAAATCCAGGCCCTCGTCATTTCGCCCTCGACCAAAACCAAGACCGGAACTGGTTACAGCCCCACCGGATACACCTCGTTTTGGAGGAACCGCGGGAAGCGAGGTGAGGATCTCAAAAACTAAAAACCATACAATTTTTAGGCACCGATTGACGAATTCATTTCGTCGGCTGCAGAAGAAGATATTGGGCAGGAAACGGTAGATTAATTTTTGGTCCTCAAGCTTCTTTTAGTCGTACGAACAAAGCACAACGGAGAGCCATCAGGAACAGGTGGGCTCGGAATCACCTAGAAAGATGACGTTATTTTAGAGCGAAGACAAGCAACGATTTCGGGGGAGTACGGATGGATATGTACTGGTAAGTGCTAAAGAATCAAGACGTCTATATTTAAATAATCTTCAGCCGAATAAAGTGCACGGCTCGCGGACGGCGCCGGTGTTGGGGCGCGGCGGCGGTGAAGTGGAATTTAATTTATGATAGGTTGAAGGGAATAAAGATTTTTATTATGATTCAAATGCAATTGTTTTTAGTTACAGGGTTTTTTTTACTTTTTAGGGTCGGAAAAGTCAGGACTATGGATTTTTGGTCATGGATTTCTTATAGATTTTGTGCGCACATGATTAAGCTGAAAATGCAACTGAAAAAGCCCTAGCTCTAGGAAGCGCTTGGGTTGCGTTACACGTTGCGGCAAAATCGGTGGACTCAATTTTCATCTTTCAATCCACCGATCATAGCTCAACAAATTTATCCGTTCATCCACCCAACGTCTAGTGCCTGCTAAGGCTCAACCAATCATTGCCTCGGTCCCAATCCTTTTTCACCAGCAAACAGAGCCCCAAATCTATAAGAGCCAATGCCGGCCAAAGTGAGATTTTCTACCCAAGAGAAAAGGGATCCACAAACAGAAGACGAATGGGATCTCCCCGTCCCCTTAAAACTGACTCACATACTTATCGTTGTTTACCCTCATTTCGCGCGCGCCCAATGGCCACTGTCCCCATTTCTTTCTTTTCTACTGTCCCCACTGCCCACCGGAATTTGGTGATCACTTTCAAAAAACGGGGCAGTTAAACATTGCTCATCAATTCAATTGAAAACCATTGAATTGGTCATCGGGTCTGCTTGAATTTGCGGTCATTTCTCAACCATACCTACCACTTCCAACCCAGACCTTCTTAATTAGCTTTTAGGAATTTTAGAATTGATTTTACATTTACTCTATAATGTTGTTTAGAGATGAGAACGATTTTCTTACCCTCTACAATATTCTTCTCAACGATTCTAACCTACTGCGCAACCGCTTCGAACGATTTAATTACCGTCAACACAGCAAATGGTGTAATTCAAGGGAAACGCTTGAATTTAGGTGGGTATCTTACTATTTTTAACAAAAAATGTTTAGGCAATAGCAAAAAGTCACTGTATACCGGAACTGCTGATGTTTTTCTTGGCATACCGTATGCTCAGCCGCCGGTGCGGGAAAGGCGGTTTATGGTAGGGCAGATGGATCTATTTTTCTAAATACCAAATAATTCGATGAAAGCTGAAAACCTTAATTTTCGAGATTAAATTTAATTTATTTGTTCCGATTCGAAGGACAAGCCTTATTAATTTATATAAAATTTTAGGGAACTCGAAGTTTCATAGTGTTTCTTTCCTGGTGTTTGGAAAACTGGTTCGAAATGAGGCTGAAATCATTGATATATATTTTACTCTCCTCTTAACAAAATTCCAGCCACCCCAAGACACCCCGCCATCAAATACCATCCAAAATGCAACTATGTACCGATCGGTCTGTGTACAGCCGGGAAATGATGGCACACCGGGCAACACGATCGGCGACGAGGACTGTCTCTATTTGAACGTTTTTTGCCAAAATGTAGGTCCAGGGCTAGGAAGGAGTGGAAGAAACACATTTGTTTTATTGCTCAAAGCAAATATACATCGAGCGAACGTTTTATAGAAAATTTAGGCGCAAAACTATACTACGCTCTCGGCTGTGATCGTGTTTATTGATGGAAATCCACAGCTTTCGGCTGGAGGGTTGGGCCAACAGGAGGAAAAGGTTTGAGCTGGAATTGAGATCAACCTTTGAAAAAGCTTCGGGTTGGCACGCTTCTTGAAGTAATAGATTTAAAGATTTAAAAAACGTGGTAATTCGCATACATAATTTTATTTTAGGGTATTGTCAGCAATCTTGTCCAAAAAGGTGTCATCGTGGTGACCATCCAATATCGATTGGGCCCACTCGGGTTTTATGCGGCGCCTAGTGATCTGCAAATTACGTCAAATGTCGGGATGTTGGATCAGGTAAATAGCAAATTTGCATATTTTATTTATTGAATTCAAGGAGCTCAATATTTCTATTTTTTTAGGTAAAAGGTCTTCAATGGGTCAACCGAAATATTGCTTCATTTGGTGGTGATCCCCAAAGGTTCGTCGTGCTAATTTTTTATTCTTCGCACTCTTGAACCTGTTTAATTTACCACTATTTTAGGGTGAGTCTAGCCGGACAAGCCGGTGGAGCTTGTGCAGTTGCTGCTCACACCTACAGCCCAGCTTCGCAGGGTAAGCTTCAAATTAAAGTTAAAGCTCTCTTCAGGCCTATTCCAACAAGCTATCCTCCAAAGTGGTTCCCTCGACAGTTGCTACAGCGCCGATCGAAATTATAATGGCGTTGACCCAACCGCAATTGCTGCAAACAATCAATTACAATACGATCAGGTATTTTAAAAGAAGTTATAGCCCTACTTCATAGGGTCTATCTTATACACCATTGAATGGAAATGGACCTCCGGCAGCCACGACACAACAACCAATGAATCAACAACAGCAGAATCAAAATCAAGCTCCGATCACAAACCCTAGTGAACTTTTGGCTAATCAGGTAACTATACATTTTAAATTTTATATGAATTTCTTTCAGCTATGCAACATCTCCCCGGAACAATGGCGAAGCGGACAATTAAATGGCCTCAAAGAATGCCTACAAAACTATACTGTAGATGCTTTCACAAAAACTGATGGGGTTTGTTTCGAAAAAAAAATTAGAAAATCTGTTTTGACAGATCCACACAGCTACCTGGATGATTGTTCGCGACAATCTGTTTTTGAACGGTTCTCTAGGAGATCTGGCAGCTAGGAGACCACCGATTCCGCTGATTATTGGCACCGTACAAGATGAAGATGCGGATTATGGTAATTTAAATTTAAATATAAGGAATCAACCTTTTTTTAGCTTTTAAATTGGTGAATGCAGCAGCAAAAAATAATGGCACTGAAGCTGATGCTTTTAATAATTGGTATGACCAATAATGACAAAAAAAAACACTTTATTTTGTTTAGGTTCGTTGATTTTGCAAAGAAGAATAGGCTAAACGGGACGGCGATGGAGAATGCCAAAAATATTATTGCTACCAACTATAATGTGACGCTACCAAGGGATCCAACACAGGTAAAAAAAGATACACCGTCGCATTTTTTTAGAACCAACAATCAACACAACAGCAATATAACCAGAATCAAAACCAAAACCAAAACACCAATGGACGATATTTTGATCAGAGCGGTAAGTAGCAAAAATATTAAGAAATTGAGTCATAGGCTACGATCAAAACTGGCAGACAAATATGGGTGCAACAACGCCGAGAAGTTATCAGGTTCGAGCTCAAATTTTTTTATAAATAACCGGATTTAGACTACTACTCCGGCTATGATTTACGGACCGCCACAGGGGTCGGGAAATAATCAGCAAAATATGAACTATCCTGCAAATACCGCCACATCGCAGCCATTGATGGATGATAACGTAGGATCTAAATTAAACCTCAGAATATTCAAATTCTAGATTATGATTATAAATTTCAGACATGACAGAACTTATATTCCAATTTGTATACATATTTTAGGGCAAAATCAATGCCAGTGCAATGTTCCACACCCTTGCGGTAGTCACAAACGTAAGTTCCAAATTTCCCGATCCACTCCAATACCATTAGGTCTCTTCTGATGCGGGTACTGTATCACAGGTGGTCACTGAGGTTGATTCTTGGGTTCAGGTAATCTTGGCTCAACCCCAAAGCTTATATACCTATATTTTAGAATGGTAATCGCTACGTCCATGTGTACCGCTTTGAGCACAGATCGAAGTTAGGCTCGACAGCCGCTACTCAAATGCTGAAGGGATATGAACGTAACAAATTTACTTTTTTCCATGATGATAAATTTTAGCGATCCAAAAGGGACAAGATAAGCTGTTCTTATTTATGAAGGAGGATGTATGGACCAAGCAGAAGCCTACCACTGATGATCGAGCAATGGCCGATACGATGGGGCAAAGATGGACTGATTTTGCTAAACAAGGGTAGGGTTAAATATTTTTTGAAAATATATACATTGTTTATATTAGATCGGTCGATGGCTGGAATACCGTACAGCCGTTTCAACCCGTTCAGGGACAACAACAGGTTAGATATATGTTGTAATTTATTGCGTGTTTTCAGACACCTTATTGCTCCCTCACGAATCAACCCCAAATGCAGACGGGTTACGGTAATCAGGCTCGACAGGTGTTCAACGACCAGGTGTACCCATTAGCGCAGGTGAGAATGAAGTGACAAAGAATTTGTTTTCGCTTAGAATCGACAATATGATGCCTCATCAAATAGTCTTGGAAACCAGATTAATCGGCAGCTACAGGGAAATCAACCGTTACAACCGCAAGTTCATGTATGGTATTGGGAGATTACTGTATCAGTACCTCTAGGATTATGCTAAATAAAGAAACCTATTTTCAGGTAAGCAACAATGGCGCTAGTGGATCATCATGGAGCATGAGCTTCAGCTTAGATAATTTCCAAATGCCAAATTGAGCCTATATTTTTAACCTTTTCCAATTCCTATGCTTTACCACCAATGGGTCTGATTTTTTTTTGCTCTTTTTAATTGTATACCCAATTGAATCCCTCCCCCACTGATCTTTCAGCCCACTTTTCGTGTATTTTTATGCCATCATGTACACTTTCTGTTTTGATACCTTGCCCCAAGCGCTACCCCAACATAAAACCTCTCCAATCAGACGGCACCGAAAATCGTCAAGTTGTTTGAGCCAAATTTGAGAATGTGGTTGTTTCGAGGGACAGTCTATTTCGAGAGCAAAAATCCCTGGTGATAACGTTTTACGATGGGGTGGCGGCTGTAAATTTTCCGGCTTCACAGTTCGCACAACTGATTCAAATTTTTCGGCCGCCATTTACCGGTTGGTCCAATGATTGCCCGGCTCGAAATAAATCGTCTACATTGGCTGTTGTTTGTATTGTGGCAGGTATAATCGAGTTTAATAGAAAACGAAAGAAAATTTATATTATCAGATTGCCTTGGTGTTCTGTACGCAACAAATTTTTCCGGTTTTCTACAACTATAGTCCACGCTTGGACTGTGACGAGTTTAATATTTATGGTAGTTTTCTAGGTGGACTTTTAAAGGTTTTTAGCTAACAGTTCGGAATGTTCTCTTTCTAAGAAAGATGTTTGTAAAGCTCTGGAAAAGTGCGAACTGATTCGCGTGGACTCTGATCCGCCGTTCCATTCGGCCGTCGAGGAATTTAAATTGTTTTGTGATCGAGACGCATATTACGCGACAGTGGTACGTAATCTATAACAAAAATATGAAAATATGTGGAAACGCAATTGAATATAACAAAATTTAGGTCTCAACCGTTCAATTTCTTGGGGTTCTTTTTGGAACAATTATCTATGGACACCTCGGAGACTATTTTGGACGAAGAATGGTTTCAATTTTTGGCGTGTCACTTGGGATTTTGTGTGGAGTTGCTTCAGGTTTCCTTCGAAAAGTTTCCCATATAATTATTCAGGCTTTGCCCCATCTTGGCCCTGGCTAGCGGCAATACGTTTCATTGTCGGTTCATCCATCGCGTGCGTACTTGTCGTATTTTACACTTTCATTTGTGAGCTGATCCGCCCAAACCAGCGCGTATTCTTGAGAGCATTCTTCAATTGGGTAGAAAAGAAATCAATAATTTCTAAATTCATTAGTTTAGGGCTACGCGCGCCTAATCTTTACGCTGATATGCTTCATTTGCAATCATTGGAGGAGTGCGGCGATTGGTAAGTATTGTACATCAAACTTTTGTTAGTATTCTGTTTAGTTACAGCATTGGTTGTGAGCCCTGTCCCGTTAGTGGCGATATTGCTACTTCCGGAATCTCCAAAATGGCTCATTTCGAACGGGAAAGAAAAGGAAGCTAGAAGTGCTTGTCGGAAGTTACAGTATTTTGCTGGGGATGAGACTTTATTCAATGGTAGCTTTTGGACTCCAAAGATTTGAAATTAATTCAATTCTGTTATAGAAGATTTGAACCAACAAAGTAGCGGTCATCGGGTTCATACAATGAAAGATCTTTTGACCGACCGGACTATTGCCAAAAGAACAGTTGTGCTTTGTGTGTTATGGTTTAGCACTAGGTATATTTTTCAAGCTATGATGAGACATATTGTAGTCCTATTTTTATTTAATAGTTTTTTGTTTAAATTCCTTGGTTATTTCCCCGAGGTCCAGTGCTCACTCTAGGCATTGTCAGTCTGAGCGCCTTCGGTTCCGACCTCAACTCCGGCAACCTTGCCGGTAATTTCTACGCGAATCAATTTGTTTCAGCTGCCGTGACGGCTTTCGCAAAGATTGTAAGTCTAATGCATTTTATTTAAGCTACAAAGTAGTTTGTTTTCATCCTCGACGAAAAGCTACCGACATTTGATCGCCGGAAACTGTATTACTACCCGCAAATTTTGGTGGTATGCAAATTCACGTCATCTCGACAAACGTTCAACTTTCAGATCGTCTGCTATGCGGCTATTATGTTTCTACTTGCTTTTGTGAAAGAAGACGATTGCGATGAGGACTATTGGGCGAATTGGGCTGGTTGGAAAGTGCAAAGCCTACCAAAATCGTTATGTAGTGATTATAATCAATATTATTGGAGTATCACTCATTGAAATTACATGGGATGCTTGTTATTTGGTGGCTGTGGAGTGTTTCCCAACGCATATTAGGTAAGAAAATACACAAATTTTAGAATTTTTAGGACAATTGGGATGGGAACGTGCTCCCTGTTGGCTAGATGCGGAGCTTTATTAGCCCCTCAGGTAAGTGATACCATAAAATTACCTACTTACCTATCTTATCGCAAAAATTATATATCTTTCTAGATGGCCTATCTCTCATCAATCTCCAGATGGGCCCCTTATGGTGTCGTTGTAGCCATTGGCTGCTTCTCCCTTGTCATCGCTATATTCTTCCTCCCAGACACAAAAGGAGTCGATTTGGGGGATATGGAAAAGAAAGATAAAGAACCTATAAACTAATAAATATCTTGTAATAAATGCGTTGCTTTTTTGAATCATAACGAGCCTTCCATTTGTTATCTACTGGGCCCTCCAAATACCGGGCCGATTTGGGGGGATTTGTTTACGGGGTTGGCCCACCATGGCTCTCCCCCTATTCCTTCTCCTTAATTGTTTTGTTGATGCCTTTTTGTTTCGAAATGTGACAGATGCTTTTGGATATCCGCCCACAACGCCTCAGGGCAACATCTCCTTTGTCATCGTCGGCTTCTCCCCAAAAAAATGTCCTTCTCAGGACCAAAAGTGTTCCCAACGGCCAATGTTTCGCCCACGTATTTTGGGGTTCGCTTTGGCATGGCCAGGGAATATTCTGATTTTTGTGGGAGCTGACGGAGCCGAATCACTTTCTTTTGAGTCCCAAGGCCTGGATTTTCTTTGAAAAGCGATTCATCACTTGATTAATAGAAAATGTAGCTTCTTCGTGATCCTGTTAGGATGCCTTACCTATTTAGAAAGGTGCGCTCTGGAGCGAAAAGTATGTTTTAAGTTATAAACATCAAATCCCTGTGAATCATGATTATTTTAGTGAATAGAGTAAGGTTCATACCATCCGACTATTACGAAAATTTCATACCATGCAATTGATTTTTTTTAGTCCGTCCAGAAATAACCTTGATCCGGAAAGATGCCCTCACGACAACCAATTTCATTTCAGTGCATTCCCCACCGGCTTAGCATCGAGTTGCCGAACAGCATTTTGGTCGCCAGTTTGGCCCCTTCAATCCAAAAAAGAAGCGGCCCACCGGATATCCGGATTTATTGCTATAGGGACAGCGGATCTCACCCGACGGTCTGTTGCCGTTTTCAGGAGCTGTAAAGCCGTTCCCATAAAACACCCCTCCCACAAGGCTTCGCAATGTTGGAGACCCACGAAATTGACATACCATAGTAAGCCCTTTTTGATTTCCACTAACGTAAACTTTGTTTTAAGCTTCAGCTTCAAGGGCCTCGCCCTTGGACTCCCGCTCTTTATGGCTCTACTCATTTTGATGTGCTTCTACGTTTCACAGTGCGCCTGCTATCGAGCCAGAAAAGAGGTAAGTCGCACATTCTTTCAAATAACAATCTTGAATTATATTTATTACCATCATAACATTACAGGTGGATCTCGACTATCACGAGCCCATCATTATCTCCTCCGACGGAAGCGGACGTCTAAAAAAACCAGATTACTGCCTGGATCAAATGGTCTAACGATATTTGAATATTTGCCAAATCACCGTATATATTTATACCATTTGAAATTCCCATCCATTTCCCGTCAACCGCTCTTCCTCCTCACGTCTGACCCTAAAACCCGGCATCGTGTGGCTGAAGAGCGATTGTGACCTTATGGGTTTTGCATTTATTCCCATTTTTGTGTCTCCAAAACGTTTGTGTCTACATTGCATTAAAAGTATTTGATTCGAGGTCCTTTCATACCTAGCTCGCTTGCTTTGACTATTGTGCTACTATATTTTTGACATTCTATTTAACAAATAAACATGTCCTATTGTGTTATGACGTTTGGTAAACGCACCATCTTCAAGCATTTTAAAAACTAAATCATTATCAACTTCAGCGATCTTTTTATTAATAAGTTATTGTTATTCAAAACTAATTCGGACCCGGACTTGTGTCATTAATGCAATGATGATCGCAGGGCGGACTGCACCTGCGGTGCTATCGCGCTAATGAGAGTCCCACGCTTTTTTTGGCGCCGATTCAAACAGTCAAAATCTATCGGCTGCCTGAACAAGGAAAAGAAACCCCCAATTGAAAAACAATCCTCGGTTGTTTTGGATGTCATAGGATATTAAATTGAGGCGAGGACGTCGACTCCAAGCAGCTTATGATAACGGTAATTGCATATCAATTGTCTAGATATAATCATCTTTTTAGCCTTCTGATGAGTCTGGAGACTAATTCAGCCGAGGTAACATTGTTTTATTTATACAATGCTTTTTTAGAGCAATGAAACATCAAAGTATACGGCAAACAACGATGAGCCTCACGTCAAAGTCGAATTTTTCCGCATGGTCAACCAGTCCGCTGATCCAGCAACGTCTCATAAGGTGAATTCACTGATTTTTCGGTATTATTATTCATTTTTCGTTCACTTTTCGATATTGGTGTTTCGAAATCTATCGGTATTCTGATATTGTTTAATTTCAGGCCCCGGATCTCATCTTGCACCACCACCCGTTCGCCGAAACATTCACCGCGGGGCTGCCTTCCTGTTCCAAGATATCCTTTGACGGTAGCCATGTTGGAATCTTCGCTCAAGGTGACAAGCCAGCTTGTCCCTCTGCAGATGAGAATGATGACAAGCCAGCTCCAAAGAAAAAGCCATCCCTCGACCCACCAACGGTATAGTTTCTTTTTAAAACGGCCAATTCCTATTTTAGTTTATATGCCCCGCTTGTGACCAACTCGTTTATCACGAAGATTATGCCGAGGTGAGAAATTCCTTTCGTTTGTCCAAAGAAAATTTCAGCATCTCGAAACCGCGGAGCACGTGAAGAAGGCGTTGGTTCATAACCCCGGCATCGAGGATTATCGTTTTTGTGCACCGGAATTTGCTGATGTGGTAAGCCATTTTACGTCTGGTTCTAAAATATATATTTCTCAGTTGCCCGAAGAACAGATGCCACGTTTCTTTCACCAAGCTCCAGAACCAGCGCACTACCAGCGTCCAGAAATTCACCCGGCGAAATTTCGGTAGGTATTCTGGTCTTCTCTAAATATTTATTGGCGTTTCATGACAACTTTTTCCAGGCAAACCGAAGTACTTGGGCCACAGCTATACAAAGCGGAATCGAGACATTATTTGGAAAATATAAAGGTAGACCTCCTAACATTATTGGATTCGTTAGTGTCGCTAGGCGTTTTTGGCTAAAAAACTTTGATTTTCAGAAGATCCCTGATCCATCTCTTCAAGCCGGCTACCTCGCACTTTCTCATCGCAAGTTGTCAAGGAGAATGCGCCCGAAGTTAAAGAGATGTAACGACTTCTAATAGAATTTTGAAAAGTTGTGACTTTTTATTCTTTTTTTTGCTGTTCTTATTTTATATCGGCTTTCCTGTGATGAATTTTCCCATTTGATCTCGGCTGTGAATACTGGTAATTAGGCTTTTCACTTGAATTACATTCCATTGGCTTCTTTCACTAATTTTGTGTCGGGTGTTGATAGGCTACGACCTATTCCTATTAACGGCAAACTGTGTTTATGTGATTAGTGTTTTACGAATTGTAATAAAGGGTTTTAGTTGCTTCTAAAGTTTCTAAGTTTAAACTGTTCACTTGACTGGGCAACGCTTCTTCAGATCGCTGCCTATTTGGTGTCTGGCTACGGTAGTTAGTGTCTGCGTCTTGACCCACGAATGGCCGGCTTTCTGCCACGTTCTCTTACTTTTATCGCCCTCCAAACAGCACGGCGTTGTTATTTATCAAAACTAATCCATTTTTAAAAGGCTGAATGTATAAAGGAAACCGTAGAAAAGAGAAGAACTTTTTCTGTCACTCCTCTAGCTTAACTCTTTTGGAACATTCACAAACGCGCTGTCGTATAACTTACGATTGATTTAAAAGTGTAAATATGCATCCAGAAGGATTTGTTGAGCTTGCCTTTACTACTAGTTTCTTTCATCTTGATTTGATTTTTGCACTTGCATTTCCCCTTTTCAAGACTCCTTTTCAGATGGGCGGCCGTCTTGGTGGCATTTTTGCCATCTTCATCGCCTGTGCCTTCTTCTACCTGGGCCTTGCTCACCAGCCATTGACGTTGGATGAGAAGGTGAAAACGCTGCAAGACTGGCTTATCAAGCGGCCGCTGATCAATCTCAACCAGGAACGGTTAGTTGTTTTGCCCAAGGTTTTGATTTTAATTCATGTTGCCGGTCGTAGCCTCAGACTAATGTTATTTTTTTCAGATGGAGGAACCTTGTTCGAAGCCAGCCAAGGAACTATTCAGTATTCGTCATGTTCACTGCGCTATCGCCGGGTGTTAGCTGTCCGATCTGCAAGTGAGTATCTGGATCGCATTCGCAAAATATTTTTAGGCCCGCTTATGACGAGTTCCATATCCTTGCCAACTCCTACCGTTACGCTTACCCGGAACTCAAAAAGGCCTATTTCGCGGTTGTTGACTATGAGGAGGCTCCGACGCTTTTCCAGCAGGTACTTTTTTAGTTTTGCGTCTGAACTCGTTCGTTACCATCGCGGTCTATTTCCATTGTTTTCCAGATGAATTTGAACACCGCGCCCGTTCTCTATCACTTTGGCCCGAAGGTCACCGGAAAGAAGAAGCCTGAGCAGATGGATTTCCAAAGACATGGTTTTGATGCGGATGCGATGAGCCGCTTCGTGGCAGAATATACTGAAGTTAATGTGAGTTTATCAAACTCGATTTCCATTTTGTTCCCTATGTTCTGTCCATGATTGTGTTTTTACATTTGTCCCGATTTTAGATTCGTGTTCTCCGTCCACCAAACTATGCCGCACCAGTTGTCGTCCTTCTCCTGATCATGCTCATCCTTGGCCTCCTCTACATGAAGAGGAACAACCTGGAATTCCTCTACAACCGCAACTCCTGGGGACTCTTCTGTCTCGTAAGTTTTATTGCTCAGATTCGCGTCTAATTGACTGACATATTCTATCTGGATTTTTAGTGCATTGTGTTCATCTTCATGTCGGGACAGATGTGGAATCATATTCGTGGTCCCCCACTGATTATGACGAACCCGAACACACGCGAAACTTCCTTCATTCATGGCAGCACACAGTTCCAGGTATCTTGCGAATATCCTTGCCGAATTGGCGATTCCTTTGATCTCTCGCGAAACTTGCAAGTATCCGTATCTGTGCCGTCGGTAGTGAGATTGGCTGGTGTCTCTTGAATTCTTGGCTTTCATCGGTTCCGGACTATACTTATTATCGTTTTCAGCTTGTTGCCGAGACCTATATCGTGGCCGCCCTCTACGCGGCGATCACTGCCGGTTTCATTCTAATGGCTGATGCGATTGATAGCAAACCGAAGAAAGACACTGATGGGAAGTCGCGTGGAAAGGACAAGACGACCAGCATCTTCCCACCAAACGGTTTGTGCCGCTTTCGATTACCGCGCTAGCGATTGCCTTTGCGTTTAAAGACCGCTAGAACTCTGAATTCCAAAAAAAACGCAAGAAAAGTTCGCCGGCGGGGATCGAACCATCTGCTCTGCTCCTCAGCCCGACTCGCTAAATACCTTAGGCTGATATTTCGGATTATTTGGACCTGTGAAGATGCAAATCTCACGCACTGCATATAAATTACGAATAATGCATAATATGGAGACTACGCAGGACTCCAAACGACGCCGTAACCGCGCGAATTCTGCTTTTCTCATTTGCATTTCCGCCGCCAGGGTTTTCTCATTTATTTTGGTTCCAGAGTTTTGACGGTCTTTAAGGAAGAACACGAAATCGGATGCAATAAGCCTTTGTAACCCAGTCTTTTCAGTCGTCGTCTACGTTGGTCTGGGAATGGTCGCGGTGTTCTTCTCGCTCCTGCTGTCCATCTTCCGCTCCAAATACCAGGGTTATCCCTACCTGTTCCTTTTCTCCTAAATTTTCCGGGCTAAGCTTTATCCGCTAGGGTTCCTCCATCACATGTGATATTTTTGGGTCTTTTTTGTTCGCTCTATTCCTACTCTAATCCGGGCAATCACTTCCGCATCGTTGATCCCACCATTGTTACTGGGCGACCTTTGTCCAAAAACGCGTTGCCGAAGATCTTCTGTGTATTAGCATGTTTTCTCTGTAATTTATTTGGTCGATATATGTTCGGCTCTTTTTCCTGAGGCTGACTGTACGGCTATGGGTAATAATAACTTTTTGAGATGAGCGTGGATTGCACAGCAAAAATGCGGTGGCTAGACAAACTGCGGAAAGGGTTACCAGAGTTCTTTATTACACCTGTACAAAAGAGCATTTGCAAGAATGGTACTTTTTTTGGATTTTTTGTGTTATGCTTGGATGGGTGTCCGTGAGGTTGGGCCATCCGTATGACGGGTCCGACGATCTGGAAGTGGAATATTATTATCGATGCATATTGCAGGATTATTCTTTTTCGCTTTAATTTAGCTTTAATAGCCTGAATATACTGAATATTACCTAGTCGTAGCGAACATTGTCTTCAGCGACAAAACGGCCATTATCAGCCTCATGGGCACGACCACGGCGATCCTCGAACACTTCAACACCACTGCGACGATCATGTCCAATCTTCAATTGTCATTTAATACAATCTATAGAGTTATAAACTCACAATGTCATGATGATCGCTCTGACCATGCTGAGTATTCTGGCCATGATTCTCCCTTTCGTTGCCATAGCGGTTCTCATTGCCGTGGCCACCCTGTAAATAGAAAAGGTAAAAGATTGCTCATCCGTACTGTAATATTAAGCTAAATAAATGAAGAAGAGAACACACCTCAGACTTGAATTTTCCATCAGCCTGATGGAGACGGCCAGTCCTGTCGTGGAAGTCGTTTCCTTGGATTCCGGGCATTTTGATTGTTTTGCAATTGCTGAAAAAGGTTAATAAACCTTATTATTCAAACGTATGAGTCCCGAAGAAAATATGACATGAAACGAGGAGGATTGCAAGACCAATTAACGTTATTAGCACCTTCTAACAGTGAAAGAGTTTTGATTTGAAAAAAGATGAAAGGCTCTATGGAAATAGTAAAAATGCGGATCCCCAATATTATTATTGTAAGGCCAGTATTCCGGATGCTTAAAAACAGTATGCTTCGATCTGACAAAAAAAACTTTACAACTTAACTTTATCGAATGTAACTAGTTCACCTAAGAATCGAACAAAGCCAATTTGAACCTAGAACAGGAACAGTTCAAAAAAGACTGGACAAATTTGTGTCCGTGAGCTTCAGCAACATTTGAATCGGAAATTTAGAAAGAAGCCCTGCGGTCGTGATAGATGGTCAAACTCTAATAAGTAGATGCTGTGGCATTAATATAAAGTTTTGGAAAGTTTCTAAATGCACTGCTGAGGAGAGGTGGAAAGGGGGGCAAAGCTATGAATTTTCGTGGCGACCGAGTGGAGGATGATGCTCCGTGCTTCATGGTACCCTTTTTATAGAGCCCCAATCCGTGTTGACATGTATGTCCTTTGGTTGACACCTTAAATGCCTCAAAAAACAGTCTGGGGTATGCAAATGGCCTGTGTCTATCTCGGCTCTCCACAATCTACAGACTGCTTCTCCCTTACCCTCGGCAACATCTAGTGATCAACATCTAGATGACAGTCTGGAGAAGGTTGACATCGGTTCTGAGTGAGGATGCACTATCGTTGATCAGCTTTCGTATGTAAAGTAGAAGCACTCCTGAAGCGTGGTTTCACATAGGGCTGAGGATTCTGATAATTGTGGATTCAACGAATGCACCAATATGTGGTCTGACGACGAATTCGACACCTGATTACGAAGGACCGGAAAAGTTCAAATTTTCTCATAATCATGGCATCATCATTTCCACACAACGCTAAAATCTAGCCAGGTTTCAAACCTTGGATTGACCGATCTGCTCAAAACAATAGTTTTTACACCACCTACCATCATATATCGTGTGTATATTGGCGATTAGGTGGACAGCCCAAAATTCTTCATATTCATAAGGTATGAAACGGATCGGATCAACGGGGTTTAGTGCACCTCCACTTCGAAATCATGTCAACATCCACAAGATTGTCGTCTAGCTGTTGATCACTAGATGTTGCCGATGGTAAAGGTGAAGCAGCTTCTAGACTGAGGAGAGCCGAGATAGACACAGGCCATTTGCATACCCCAGACTGTTTTTGAGGCATTTAGGGTGTCAACTAAAGGATATACATGTCAACACGGACTGGGGCTCTATAAAAAGGGTACCATGAAGCACGGAGCATCAGCCTCCACCCACCCGCTCTGTTTAATTTTACCTTCAAGCCCCACTGATAGAAACCATAGCGTGGTCTTTTGGGCTAACATTTAATAACTTAACATAGGCACTACAAGCACTACATAAATAAAATTGTCTGTTCTTCTCACCGCTCTTTATACCATTTTATCAGCGTTCTACTAGAACTTTGCTGTTTTATTAAGACGTACTTCTTCCTAGGTTTTGGATTCCAACACAATTACCCTTTCCTCCTATAATCCATTACCGAGCCCCGAACGCTTGAAAACGTTATTCTAATTTTAATCTCTATCAATGGATCAATATACATACATTCGACTTTTCTCTCCCATGCCCCCGGAGCGTCGTTTTGAAGACTTCTTCGATTTTAAGATGCCTTTTCTTCCAATATTTGCGATCCCAACAATTATTTTATAATTTTTCAGCAATCGCAAAACAATCAAAATGCCCGGAATTCAAGGAAACGACTTCCACGACAGGACTGGCCGTCTCCATCAGGCTGATGGAAAATTCAAGTCTGAGGTGTGTTTCTCTTCTTCATTTATTTAGCTTAATATTACAGTACGGATGAGCAATCTTTTACCTTTTCTATTTACAGGGTGGCCACGGCAATGAGAACCGCTATGGCAACGAAAGGGAGAATCATGGCCAGAATACTCAGCATGGTCAGAGCGATCATCATGACATTGTGAGTTTATAACTCTATAGATTGTATTAAATGACAATTGAAGGTTGGACATGATCGTCGCAGTGGTGTTGAAGTGTTCGAGGATCGCCGTGGTCGTGCCCATGAGGCTGATAATGGCCGTTTTGTCGCTGAAGACAATGTTCGCTACGACTAGGTAATATTCAGTATATTCAGGCTATTAAAGCTAAATTAAAGCGAAAAAGAATAATCCTGCAATATGCATCGATGATAATATTCCACTTCCAGATCGTCGGACCCGCCATACGGATGGCCCAACCTCACGGACACCCATCCAAGCATAACACAAAAAATCAAAAAAAAGTACCATTCTTGCAAATGCTCTTTTGTACAGGTGTAATAAATTTTTCGAGAATGTCGATGGTATCAACTATGGAGATAAAATCAATCGAGGGGATTTAAAATGCACCGTAGCTAAACTCGAATATAACAGAAGCTCTCCTCCCAAGAAAAACGTTAGTCTCTGAAAGGCTTAACCAAAATTTTTGTCACCTTGCGAAACGGAGCCTGGAATATGATTTTTCGCGAGGATCCGGATGTAGACAATGGGTTTTTATTTGTGCGACCGGCCGGGTGATTCGGATGCGGGGGGTCCCAGTTGGTCAAATAACCCCTGGTTTGGTGGGAGGGCCACATTGCCGTTCCGTCAGATAGCTAGCTTTTTGGATATGGATTTACGACATATTCTCTTAATTTCGGGTATTTTTTTTATATTGTAGTCTATAGGGTTGGGCATGTTGCGGGGTATTAAAAGGGGACAGAGAACGTTTTTTATGCCGTATTTAGCTGTAGAAAAGGTTTCAATGGGTTTTCCAAAAAAGCATGAAATTTTTTGGCAAATCGCAACGTGGTAGCAAATAAATTGTCTATGCCATTCGATATTATGCCTTTTAGTTTTTCTGGTATTTGCCAATGGATCAGCTATAATGTGCCCAGATGGAGGGATGCCATATGATTATGAAGAATGTGACCCAACAGCACGGTAGTTTTATTTATCAATTAAAATCCTCAAGTGTCGCAAATTGGGCCAGTTTCAATACAATGAATACAATGCAATACATTAATACAATAAACTAATCGCTAATTGGGTAATTTCCAGATCACAATGTCCAGAGGGCTTTACCTGCCGAGGTGGTACCCTTCGTGGTTCATCTGATGCAATAGTATACGTGTGCTGTTCGACAATAAATATGAGTATTGGTGACTGTAAGTCATGACGAATTACTTATAAGACAAATATTAGGGTTTACTGATCTTGACCTAGCACCCAGCCACATACCATACATTCCGCTGGTCAAGTTGTCATCGGTATAGAGCTTTGAATTTTAGCTGTAATAATGCGAATTACTAGGTTTATATTGCGGATGCTTTGACAAATGCCTCATCACCTCCTATCCATGTTGGGGATGAGGTATGGTGGTTAATGCTTTAGAGGAGAAAACCATTGCGGACTGTAATTTTTTTAGGTGATAGCTTTATCATATCCATCTTACGTAACTGCATCTCTATCCGCCGTGACATTCCCCGTACCACCTGTTGGTGGAGGATTTTTGCACATTCTGACAATCATTGGTAAGTAATCCGCGATTTTTAATGCCAATCGAATCAGGATAAAAACTTGTCCACAATTTCCAGATGCGGATGCTTATCCATATGCACTTATGCTAACAGCTAACCTACTTACCCCATCATCTGTCAACTGTTTGGTGGGCAGTCAATCTCCTGACTTCTACTTCTTCATCTCCAACGGAACTGTCCCAGAAGCCCTTTCTTGTAAGTTTATATGCTAATACCCTCCTAATTACCTTGTCTTAGATCGGCATCAATATAGTATCCTTGTATTCTCAACGCCCACAAGGCTTCAAGCCTCCGGACTATCACAAACAAATACACTTACCCAATCTTCGAATTCGTTAATGGATGGCTGCGTTTTGGCAAGTTTTTAAAAATCACGTGCAAACTTTGTTTTTAGAATGATATCAGTTGTTTCTTCACAAAATCTACGATCGGTACCCAACTCGGATCACCACTGGCCGGATCACTGTTTTATGTGAGTGTCCTCGAAGGGATGAGACAATTCCTTTTAGTTAACGACCCTTCGAAGTCCATTCCCGATCGGACCGACCACAAATCCGCAACAGGATCAGGCAGCAAATGGGATTTCGCTATTTTTGCCATTGATTCTTATTCCGTTGCTTCATCTATGAATTTAAGAAGTCAGGATGTTATGTTGTTTGTACAAAAAGGATAAACCTTCAAAATCAGCTCACGATGAGTAAACAAATAGTGTCTGTGTTCGTCACTTTTTATGCAAATTCCGGTGGGTTATTACAGTGCTTACAGGGAACAATTAGCACACACCGGAAGTGCGTAACATGATGACTGGAAGCAGACGAGAAGAGAGAACCAAGAACAAACGAGATTTTAAAAGCCGAGAGCGAAGTTAAAACGTTAAAACCTTGGAAACCGGAAGTGCTATGAATTCAAGCTGGAACCCATCACAGCCAAAACGCTCTCCAAAAAGCCGGAACACCCTGAACCGGTCGCCAAATGGTTGACAAGTTGAGCCGACCGATCGGAGTGCGCAGGCTCTTTCCTCCTCCCCTCTCTCAACGCAGAGAGAAAGAGGTGATTCGGGGTATTTGTTTGTGCAAAAAGAAAGTGTCAATAGTGATGGAGAGGAATTGAGTGAAGAGGGATGATGTGGACGGTATGTGTGATGGTGGATAGACCGGAGGACCACTAGTAGACATTCCCTCTATCCCTTTGCCAATTTCGGTCCTCGCTCGGTGTTACCAGCCGAATCTCATGTATTGATCCGATATGCTTGCAAAACAGCTGCACGTGTCTTGACAATAGGATCGGAGGAATTGATTAGAAGTTGGCTGAGGAGCTATCTGACTTATGGGTGATTTTTTGGCTAGTAGCACATGCTCATTATCGATATTCTCATTAAAGCCTCCAGACGTCTCGAATAAAACCTTTTATATAGATTTTGCCTCTCTTGCCTCAAATTCCATGATTCGCCATCCACCATGAGAATGCTTTATTGTTCCGCTTTTCACCCAACCAGCAATGCTTCATGTCGCCTCATCAAAATATTGCCGCTCTCGTTTCCCAGTTTCCTAACATGAATTTCCTAAAAAACTATTTAAGTTTCAGCACAACATGAAAACGTTTTATTTTATGGTGCTCACCCTCTTCCAATCCGCCTCAACATTTTCATTTGGCTCGTTGTTTGGCGGACTTGGAACGTAAGCTGCAAATTATTCGCGGAAGTACTTTTGTAGTACGCAAGCCGTTGGCGTTCGTGGTATTCTAATGTGTGAGGGGAAACCTGCCGCAAATGTAAAAGTTAAATTGTGGGATTCGGATCGAGGTAAATTTTATACATTCAAATAGTAACTATTTTTTTCCGATTTTAGGCATTGATCTCGACGATTTGATGGATTCTGGAGTATCGGATAGTCGAGGACATTTTGAACTAAGAGGGTTAGCTAAATATTTCGCAACTTAAGAAACGGTAATTAAGATATACCAGTGAAATTTCGACAATCGACCCTCAGGTTGATATTTATCATGATTGCAATGACGGAAAGAAGGTCTTAGTTATATTTTTTATTTAATCTCGTAAACTCTTCAGCCCTGTCAACGCAAAGTTGTTCTCGACATTCCTGACACCGCTATTTCGGAAGGAAAAATTCCAAAAACGGTATGTAAAAAGGTTTTCTGCTGCAATAACGCTTCGATTCCAGATTTTCAACATGGGAACCCTCGAACTGTCCGGACAAATGGGTGAAGAAACTCGAAGTTGCCTCAACAGAATGTGAACCCCCCTCCCAACAAACACCAAAAATAAAAATAACATTCGCCAAGACGGTCCAAAATATGAACACAGATCAGCGGCGGTCTGATCCTTATTTTCCGCTGTTGACTCATTGCACAAATATTTCTCTTCTCATCAACACCCTGCTATTTGCCAAGAACGCCGGGTCAAGTTGTCGGGAAACAGTACGTGAACCTTGTATATAAATGAAAATCCATGATTTTATTTGCTGGAGAAAAAGGATTGATCAATTAATGTTTCGGTCCTTTGTTTTTGCCCGAGATTTCATCGGTAAGGTCCGGGATCTTGGAGCAATCGGTTTTTAGTAGTTTGTCTTTCTTCTAAAAAGATATATAAATTTTCTGGTAGTTTAGGCTGACCTCTTTATCTTTTGCATCAAAACGCTCGATCATTTCGCAGTGGTTCACGCTGATGACGCCTTCTTTATCGAGTAGACCTGGAAAAAGGCTAAGCTTTTGATTTCGTACAAGCTATGGACCAGCTAACGAGGTCAGTAAAAGGTAAAGACGTCGATGCTTCTTAATATACAAATACCGTCATACCCACCTCCGGGTAATACCTCAAAACTCACGGATTGGCGTATGCAAGGGAAAAGCCCCAAAATGAATCCATGCGTCGTACTTAATCCGACCCCGAAAAATATGGTGATGGCATTCAGATGGGGTTAGGAGCGAGCGATTGTGGATTATCCATCTCTAGTGAAAGGTTCCTGACGGCATTCAGCTGATCTCCCCTCTTCCCCACCCCCACCCAGGGCAGATGCAGATTAGCGGGGGAGGGAGACGGCCGGTGATGAATTTCAGTGCTTAAAAAACTTGCCTGGGCTTCGGTTGTTCTTTGTTATCAAGGGTATGCACGATTATTAATTTCTAAGCAATGCGCTATGAAGATGCAGCTGTTTTTAGTGAGTAGGATACAAAATTCAATAAACCAATTAATTTAGCTTTTCAGTATCATCAACATAACCAATTGAAATGATACCACTAAGGATATATTCTCCTTGGCGCAGCACAACACCGCAGAGGGCGGATAGAACAAAACTTTTCATCTTCGTTGGCGCTGCCTCGCCGGTGCTGTTGAACTTGGTGTCCTGAAAACTTGTCAAATACCAGGAAATTGTTGCCCAGCGGTACTCACCAAATTTCTACTTTACCCTCAATTTTTTAAAACCTTGGTGTCAGTTCGCCAAACAATAATTAACCCATAAATGTCAATCCAAAGTCTCGGTTTCAAATGCAGATGAACCACCGGTTTTGTCAGCAAAGCAATGGTGACAAAAGGAGGGCACTTTAGCTATGATGACAAAGAAATACTCTGGGAAATCTTTCTTTGGAAGCCGGCGCGATGGAGGTAATGGACATACCCGAATTGTTGAGAGCAGACTGATATCGTAGTCAACATGCCGATCGAGCTTATGCCCGGTGGTGCTCTTCGTGGCTTTGTCGATTTTCAAGTGGACCACTGGAAATTACACTGAGTGGGATGATTCTCCAGCTTTATTGCTTCTAAGCTAGGATTTAAGGATTGAAAAGCTTTGTTAGCTACTTTGGCTGTGGTGTTTTGTAATACTTGCTTCGTCTCATTTTTGTAACCTCGGATTTCAGCTTTGGGGAGCTAGAGCGCTGTCACTGTTGACAGGGGATAACTTGGTATTAGAGGTTTTTGGGTCACCGTTTAATCCGCTACCACCGAGTTCCCTAAAATTTTTGGGGGCGCGCGTCAGAAGTTATTTATGGAGGGTGCGGTAAGAAGTGGATTTGTTGCGTCATAAAGACATGCGAAAATTTACCATATGGAAGGTTGCAGAGCTTCTCAGCTGCTGAAAGTCTTTCGACGGCTTCATTGCAGTCGCAGGCAAAAGTGGTGCCGATTACAACGATAGAATATATAAACAATAACATTTTAGGAAGCGGTTCCGGGGTGGCGTTACCCCAAAATGGCTTGGAAAACTTTTGTCGGTGATGGGGCCGGGATCAATGGGTGATCAATTGGGCGAGTAGTTCCTCGGGAAGGAGAGACATCCATCCTCTTGCTGCTCGTACTTTTTATGTATTGTATATGTTCATTTTTAAGGTTGATTCGGGATTTAAAGTTTTGTAATGATGCGAGAAGCTGGGCCGGTTAGATTGAAGATATTGTAAATTCCGGTCCGAGCTGAAAGAAAAGATATAACATAATGGGTTAGGTCTTGTACACACAAAAATTTTTAGGGGGATTACTTTTATTAATGAAGTGTTAGGCATTTTTATAGGGTCCTTAGAGTTTTCGCAGAAATGAGGTTCCTGTAGTTCGTAGAGATCTCTTGTTATTGATTAGTAACTGCAGTATTTTTTTTAATCTTCTTTCACTACAACCTTCAAACTCTCGAGTCACCACGCCGCCATAAAGCATGGTGGCACTAGATTTCACACGAAATGGTGGCCTACCCCATTTAACTGTCCGCCACCAAATTTCAGTCCATCTGACCGCAGCACCCCCATAAGGACCGTAACAAATTGATTTGTGTCGAGACAGATCGAGCCCCAATCGGCGACGACCAACCCAATTTCTGTCTCTGTCTCCTTATTCCACTTCCCCCCCCGGGGTTTTCTCACCATCGCTCAAGATAGCCATCTTGCGGGCAATGGTGACAGCCACACGGAACCATCGCTTCATAAAACCGTACACACCCAAAAATTCGACACTACGAAATTTGGAGAATTTCAAAGATTGGAATAAGCACAACTTCAGCTGTACTTACTGTAACTCATAATGTCATTTTAACTAAAAATCCGAATGGCTTAATATTTATCAGACCTATTTAAAGCAGTTGCAAACCCTTAATACGGTGTCTTTCCAGTTATGAAGTTTCTGGTCCTTTTAGCCAACGAAAAAAATCGCAATAGTTCAGTCGTGTTTTTAGTCATTTCCCTACAAGGCAGGATTACCTGATGACAATGACAGGACCGGTACTTTTGCCCTAATTCGGGTTTTGGATGGTTAGTTGGGTGTCTCGAGGTAGGGGAGGTGCGGTGAGGAATGTGTGCTGGGTGGAGCAAGGGGAGAAAGGGTTGATGGTCGATTCCTGATGGTTGGAGGACTGTCCTTCAGCCACCAATCAGTCCTTCACTTGGCTCTTTTCGTCATTTCGGTCTGTTTGGGATAATTGTCGCTTCTTCATTTGTTTTTAGGGTTTTAGGAATTTTGGACGCTATATAGAGAAGTACGGATCCCAAAACAACTTGAAATCAAAAAATACTAAATTTGCATACAAAAATAACGCCGAATGGATGGTGCTGATAACTTTTTGGGTGATTTTTGGGATCTGGTCTTTGCTTTGGTTTTTACTAGGTATCTTCCTATGGGTAGTTTTTAATAATTTTGACGCTCTCATCCACTCGAAAATTTTGGGTGAAGATGCTTTCGCGGGTCTCGGCAGATGGTCAACACCGCTCCAAATCCATACATCAATGATAGCTTAACTTGACCCAATGTTATTCTGGTTTTGAGACTGGCATAAATTAACAAATGCCAAGGCATCAAATTCGTAGGAAGCACGAAAAGCACCCAAAATTACCCACTCCACCTAATCCATCCAACCCATCCCCCCGAACCCCCCGGTCCGTGGGCCCAATGTAACAAAGATGCGGGGGATTGAGTCATCAGTTCTTCACCGCCCGTCAACCGCAATCTGCCCTAAGAATCGCTGGCCGAGCCGACGATCCGACCCGAGAGGAGGAGCAAGAGAAATAATGGAACGAGAGGTGGGCGAGATCCAGCCGTTCCGTTGGGCCAAAGGTGTGCCCCCGGGTCGGTCGAACAGATTCGGTCGCCCGATAAACCCCACAGCCGATTGGGGATGAGGAGGTGGAGGAGGATGGGATGGTGGATGGAGAGAATCACCTGAAATGTGTACACCCACAATCAGCCCCCAGGCATTCCTAACACCATCATCCTTAATATTCTATTTCAGGATTAATCCCTTTTCCAAGTCTTATGGACCAAATTTTGAGTTGTTAAATAAATTCTGAGACGCGACTGTGAAAGTCCTACTGTTTTTGGCGTGGAAAATATGTTTAATAGCTTGTATTTTCTCTACACTACCGACATTTCCAGGGCTGTCCATATTAAAACTACTGGAAGCAAGTTTTTCGCGCCAAACCCAGCTTGACCATAAGTCACCCAAATACTATCATCCTCACTTATCAAAATCATTATCATCCTCGTTACATAATCCGTGCCTTACGATGACAAATTGCAAAAAAATGTCACCTTTTGGATCGTCCTCCGGTACAAAAATCAAACAAAAGTCTCATAGCACTCGAAACTACAGAAACAGTCTCTGGTCGACAACTAAAATCTATTGCGTATTTCGCCTATTACGCAAGTAATTCTTGCCAGAAATGTCAGGTAAATTGAATTTCCCAAAGTTGCGCCCCAGCTTAATGTCCTTACGTCCAAAAAATTCTAATCTGCGCGCTACTGGAAAAGTTCGTGGGGCCCCAAATCCGCCAGGGGGATTTTGGGCAGTCCACGAGGGGATGCCATTTTGGCCAAGTAGGTATTAGGAAGGCCCGCCCATTTGATCCATCTACCGTCGTTCCTAGGAAATACCGAAACCGTCATACGCTCACCGGTAACGCCCATCTACGCGCTTTTGGAACTTGTATAAATATGGGGAATTTTAGGGCTCGGAAGCATCTTGTATATCATCACCTTTACTTCTCATAGAGAGCTCTGATTTTTTAACATCATTTACTGTCCTTCAAACAATATGTACTCCAATTGGAACTTACTTTAAAAATTGCAGTACCCTTGAAATGTCCAACAACATGCAGCACAACCTTCCAACCGCCCAATTTGATGTAAGAGTTTATCAAAAACCTTTGGCATAAATTAAAAGAAAATTTATATAGTTATTTTTAGCTCAGTCGACTTCCCGAAGTCTTCGATGAACTGGCTCGTCTCGACACAAAACTTGCTGAATCATACACGACTATGACCCGCATGATACTCTCCTATGAATTCCGGCTACAGTAGGTTTCTTCGGATTGCGGTGATTTCACCTAAGGACCTACAGACAGACGACTATAAGTTCGCATCTTTAGCAACCTCCGCCAACGACTCGCTGCTGAAGGAGTAACCGTTGAGGAAGGGCAATTTTCGGACATTTTCAAGGGAGCCGCCGAAATATGGTAGGTTTTATTCTCAATTCTGGCAATTATATTTATTTAAGCTCACACGAGGGCGAGAACGAGCTCATTCGCCGTCTAGCTGATGCTGTGATTTCCAAGATGCGCGGGGTAGGCTTTCAGTATCAGAAAATTAACATCCCAATGTTTTAGGAAGAGCCCATCGAAGACCAGAAAGAAAATATTCTCTCGGCTAAAAATCACTAAATGCAATTTCAACGAATTCCTGTGATCTTCATTGATTCGCCAAAACGGTTTGTTTCTCATTTATCAATTTTTCATAGCGATATGTCCCGCTGTGTCTGCTACCCTAGTCCCTTTCTTGTGTGCATACAGCTATAGAGAGTCCACCAAAAACGTTTTTTTTTGCCGACGGATTTCTTCTTTTTGATGCCATTTTTTTGCTGCTTGTGGATAGAAGATCTTGTCTTAGTGGTGCTCATCCATTGTATCTCCTGTTTACAGTAAGGTTTCAAAAATTGTTTTCTGCTGTAATATTTCCCGTGTGCATAATCCGTGTTTTTGCAAATCATCTTCCTGGCATTCCGGTTTTCTAGTCCTTTCTTCGTAATAAAATAAATTGTATCACATTTGAATTATAGAAACGCTTACTAGTAGTAATACAAATGAAAGCTAACTCTATTGATTCTGCTCTTGATGGCGTTTCCAGCATCCTCTCATACGGCCGCGACTTTGGCTCCGAGCCCGACGCATCTTTTCACGAACTTCTTCCGGGAGGCTTTCCAAAAATTCCTTTTCTTTGTCGCGACGCTCGCGGAAGCCCAGGGAAGAGTCCTTATGAATGGCTTCAAAACGTTCCTTAAATTGAGATAAAAATCACTCCATGCCGATGCGATAACGTTATTCAAAACCGTTTGAAAAAGAGCTTCATCACATGGAAAATAAAACACACCCGATCACCATCATCCAGATGATGTACCCATGGTGGCAATGGCGGAGCTGGTAGTCGAGCCCGATCCTCCTCAGAAAGACCATCGAGGATTGTCATAATCTTGTCATGCTTCTCCTAGAACTCAGCTTTCATCTAAAATATGACTCCCCACATGGCGACTCAAATTCCCATCCGCTTTAACTTCTGCCACTTGCGCCCGAGCTTCATCCGGTAGTGCTTCTTCGAATTCCGGTAAAATCATGAACTAAGAAATATCCATGTATATTTATTCTATTCAGTTAGATATTACCTTTCCCGCACCACGGCTTTCGTGGGGCATTGTTTAGAGCGGACGTAAAATTAGAGAGCTGGTGGACAATTTGGAATGGCGGTTGGCCGCTAGCTCGGATCCCCGGACGGATCACCCAGACGACACCCCGCGCGACTATTTTCGAATTCTTAGCATTTTTCGGTGGGCTTGAAACAAGGGGTGGTTGAAGAAGACGGAAAAGCTTTTTAGGAATAAATGATGGATGCCAAACAAGGGGGGATGGTCGGTTGGGTCCAAGAATTTGGCGTAGAACTGTCAAAGAAGAGAGTTTTTGAAACTTGAGGTCTGGCAGGGAAATCACAAAAAACCGGAAGGCTGTAACTTCTGGTCAAGCTAGGGTTGAAAAGGACTAGCTAGCTTCTGCCACCTAACTTGTATTTGAATTACATCCTTCCCTTTAGTTCATCCGATTATAAATAAAAAACAATGTGATTGTGTGGCGCGTTGTGTACAATTTACACAGCCGTTTTCTTCTACTTAAGTTATATCGGGTCAGGGCGCGGTTTTCAATTGATTTTTGATATGGGATCGGTTCGTTTATATAGAAAGATCGAGGCTTTTAAATTTTTGTCATCGGAATTTTGAAAAGAATTATGCAAAATGTAGTACGTCACGGGTCGCAGATGGGGTCAGGATTCAACAGCCTGACTGTTTTTCATGCCGCTGAATTTTATGATATATACCAACTAGCTCATAGTTGACCTCACATACTATAAGTCATTACCACCGGATCGCTTTGTCCTCCAGACCATCCGCCCTTCCACTCCCTGCCCCCCAAAATGGCTAACGGTAAATCGATGACGTGTAGGTGAGGGTTGGCGGGCTGTGGTTGGCTATGGGTGTACGAGTATCGGGGCGAGGCATTATTTTGAGTGGATCCGGTTGGAGCGCGGACCGATTTCGGTCTCGTGGTACTCTCGGCCCATTCCGGCTCATCCGTCGGCTCACCCAAAAATCGGGCGACTTGTCCAAAGCCCTCAACCCCCAACCCTAAATCTCCATATTTATTGGGCGATCATTTTATGGTTTGGGGGTTGCGGGTGGCTTTTCAACGAGCCAGTGGTTTGTTGTTGGTGGCATCGATTCACTGAATTTGTCGAGCTCTTACCTAACGGATCTGTAGTTGTCTTCGTTGATAGTTTTATGAATATTGTAGATGCATTTAAATTTGGTTGACGTTAAATACGTTCTTTACAGGGTTCAAATCCAGTAGAATCCGAATAAATCTCCATGTAATTTCGAATATACTGCTCCATCATGTGATCGATGTTTCAAAAATAGTTTCTCATTCTCCATTCCCTTTCATATTTTGAAAAACAGGACTTAAGGGTCAAGTGAATACATTGAATAGAATAGATAGTCGGATTTCACTCCCGCTCTCTCACAAACGCATCACTGACCCTAGTGGCCATTGTTCGATCAGCACAATCCCTTTTCGAGGCCTGCTGACGACTGCGAGCCATCATACCTCACACTATTTGCCGAACTGACTGCTGCTGTTCCTGTTTAGAATCCACTCTTCATTCTTACAAAAGTATACCTCTTTTAGCTTCATGAATTTACTTGTATGATTTATCCGCAACTGATGAAGAGGACTTAAAGTCCATGTTGTACGGATTGCTACATATAAACCTATTTACGGAGTCAATAGAACGACGTACATTCCTGAAAGTGCGCTTTCAAACGAATTAATTCGTTTGAAATTAATTTGTTAGATTAATTCGCAACCGCACTGACGCTATTTTTTCGCCTACGATCGCAGATTATTACTGAGAACTTTTTGAGAAATTGATTTCACGTTGCCTAACGTTCAGATTTTTTTAAGTTTCACTACTACCATATTTTAGCAAAAAATGGAACAATTGCGTCTACTACTCTGGTTGAGTCCATTCGTCGTAAAACAAGCCACAGCCACACCATCAGTCTATCAATGCCCATTTGTCGCGGATCCTCGTATGATGGCGGGTTTTATGCCCGGTGAATAGTAAGTTGCAGTCAATCTCGATATCTTAAAACCAAAAATTCCAGTTGTGGACACGGCTCTTTCTTACACTACTGGAGTTGCTGCGAGGACAACCTTTTCCAATGTTGTTTCCATTTTGAAACATGGACCATGTAAGTCAAGTTTTGCATAATCTTTAATAATTGAATTACCTGAAGAAATACATTTTTCAGCGTCATCTTTGCATTGCTAGCCATCCTTGCCCTGGCCGCAATGATTTTCTGGGTATTCCGAGCCCTCCTGCAAGGATCTTCAGATTGAGCTAAAAACCCTGACTCCTCCCCTCTCTCCCGCCTCCAGCTTGTGTACATATATATAATGTGATCAACGTGTATCCGGTGGTTATATTTGCGTAGCGATAAATGATTACGAGGGATGTGAGGGTAGCTTTCAGTAACAGCTTTCGGTTGGGGGGGGGGTATATTTGATCCCATCACAGCACACATATACGCATCATTCCTGTGGGCACTGTGCCAGAGAGGCAAATACTGAAAAATGTGGGTTGTGGATTTGAAGATCATGACGGCTGTGTTAGATGAGCTTAAAAAGTTTGTGTCAAGCAAGTCGACTAACAAGGGGACGTTCTTTAGGGACAATCGGTTTCCCTACGCGACCAAGCCCAGATTGTCCATAAATTTGCGCCGAACCTGCTTTAATCTGCGAAACGATTAGATTGAAAAAATTATGCAGGTTTTAGGTGCGAGAAAGGCTCAAAACTGCCACAAATTTTTGCGGTTTTGCACTTAAAATCTTCAAAACTTTTGAATCTGATCGTTTCGGAGATTTCGAACACAGGCCAGTAATTAGCCAATAATTCTACCTCTAATCTTCTAACCGTCTTTTTGTAAGAGATTTGCGTATTTATTTTATGAAGCCTTGAAAAACTAAGAAGTTCTAGAAGCCTGCACAGACAGCAGGCTGTTCTGTATCTGAATCGAAGAAGATCTCAAAAGCGCTGAAGCTGTTTTTCAAGCCGGGTATCTAACCAATTCCGCCCCCACTAACCCGTTGATACTAACCTTAAACCCTAACGTTTCCTCTACTACCATGCGACCTCTCTAAACCATGCAACGTCGGCATGCCATCAAGCCTTCCCCCCTCTATCCCATCATAACAGAAGACCCGCTTGCCGAATGGGCACACAGCCAACCCAACGTTGCCCTCCCTTCTTCCACCCCCATGGATTTCTCAGAGCTAAGGACCCGTAGAAGAGAGTAGGCAAGGAGGGAGGCTTCTGTACACAGTCCTCCTTCACCTTCTCTCCATCTTCCACCGTCCCATCCTCCAACTTGGCCATTTTCTCTTGGCCCTGGGCCCTCATCCCCCCATCCCAGCGGGCCCCTCGAGATCCCTCATTTGACAACCCTTTTTTTCTCAAAAAGACCCACCGCCGCCCCAGAGTTTTTTATCTGGCCGCTGGTAGTTGATAACAACATTGAACTATGCTAATCGGGCTCGAAAATTTTTTTTTGTAAAATTTTGCATTTCGTTTGAAAAGTTGCTGCCGTCAAAAAATTTATTTATGCAAATTTCTTTAAGGCCTATATTGATGAGGGTATTTTCCTGGCGAACTAATTTTTCTAGAAAATCATATCTTGTATTTTTTTGTAATGTTGGTAAAATCCTCCAATCCATTTCTGAGATGCATAAAATTATGATTTCAATTAACTTTGTAAAACCTAAAATTTTAGTGCAAACCAGGGGTAATGGCGCTGCAGGAATGGGTTCAGGACCCGGGCTGGAAATTCCTCCGCCAATCCGATGAGGAAAAGCTCCAGGTTTGTGCCGTTCTTTGATTCTTACGATGGCCTTGGATTCTGTACTACGGTACTTTTATATGGTATGACACAATTCAATTTCTACCCTACTTTGAGGCACATGTTTTTCACGGTTCATTGCTGGTTGTTAGCTCCTACCGATGCCCCACCCTCCCCGACCGTTTACCGTTTCACTTCACCAACGTTCCACAAAATACCCGAACGTTTTTAGGGATCAGAGCTCTCTTTCCCCTAACGTTTCCCCCCTCCTTTTTATTTTGACTCGTAGAAAAGGCGAGAGCTACATGCGAGATCTTGTCGTGGCGTAGGCGTGAGCCGAGGCCGGTAGTGAAGGGATAGTGAAGGGAGTGTGTGTCGAGTGGCACACTCCTCTGCAAATATCCTGACTCGGACCTGGGCTGAGGCCACAAGACGGCATCTTTTCCTTCATCCCTCATCAACGGTCACACTAGAGGTCATTATGGAAATGGGGAATGGAATTGTGAATCATAAAAAAAACACAAGAAAGGACCTTTGATAGTCTAAAGAATTTTTGACGCAGAAATCGTTATACCGAAACCTACTATATCGAAATTTCAATATGCAGAAAATCATCAAGCGGTGACTTGAATACGCAGAAAGCCATTAGACCGAAATCCATTGCACAAAAACTCCATTAGACCGAAATTGCACTACCTCAAAATTTGACTGGGATAAATCAATTCTGCTGCGACGAAAAGATCAAAGATCCGACCAAATTTTTTGGCGTACTGAGATTAGGTTTGAAGTTTGGTTTAATAAAATTACTGAAAAAAATCCGATGTATTTCGATAAAATTCTTATGTGCAATTTCGGCGTACCTACGCAATAGATTTCTGCAGAATTAGTTTTTGCCATAAGGAGCCACCTTTGCCACCTTTAGGAGCAAGCTTCCCGGAAATTTGACAACAAAACTCACACTTGGGTCCCGGATCCGGAAGAAGGATTCCTCATCGCAACCATCACCGTCGACGAGTCCGACCAGCTGACCGTCACCCTACCAAATGGCACCCAAGTACACGCTAATCATTCCCCCAAGACACTCCCATTTTAGAAAAAACTTCCCCGCGAACAATGCCAAGAAATCAACCCGGCCAAGTTCGAGAAGACCGAAGACATGAGCAACCTGACGATGCTCAACGAGGCCTCCGTGCTTCATAACCTGCGTCAACGTTATAGGAATATGATGATCTATGTAAAATTATCAACGTTTGATTGTAAATGATGTTTTTAGACCTATTCCGGTCTGTTCTGCGTGTTTGTCAACCCCTACAAGATGCTGCCTATCTATACCGACTCGGTTGCCAAGATGTGAGTTTTATAATTTGCATACTAATGAGAATTAATTATAATTTTTAGGTACGTTAACCGTCGTCGTGCTGAGATGCCGCCCCATCTTTTTGCTGTGGCTGATGAGGCGTTCAGAAATATGATTTCTGGTTTGTTAACAATTTTTTATGCGAAATCTCATTTTCTTAAGAACATGAGAATCAATCGATGTTGATTACTGGAGAATCTGGAGCTGGAAAGACGGAAAACACCAAAAAGGTAGGTGAGCTCGAGATAAGAATTTACAAGGTTTTTAGGTCATCTCTTACTTTGCGATGATCGGAGCTGCTACCCTCCCATCAGTTGGCGGACAGGGCGAGGCTGTCGAAGAGAAGAAGAAATCTGTAAGTTTTTCAAAGTTAGCACCCCCTTTAATTTCAGGAGAATTCTCTTGAAAACCAAATCGTCCAAGCCAACCCAGCAATTGAGGCTTTTGGTAATGGTGCTACCGTCCGGTAAGCAAGATTTCAAAACTCAAAGTTGTTTGTGAATTCTAGTAACTACAACTCGTCCCGTTTCGGAAAGTTCATTCGAATCCATTTCGACAAACGTGGACGTCTTGTTGGTGGCGATATCGAGCATTGTAGGCTTTTTCAAAATTTGTTTGATTCCTCGGATGTTCAGACTTGCTCGAGAAGTCTCGTGTGATCAAGCAGGCCCCCGGCGAGCGTTCCTATCACATCTTCTATCAAATGATGACACAGAAGAAATTGCGAGGTATGGGCCGTATTTAAAAAAATATATACTCACACTATCTGGTTGTGAAAAATCATTATGTCAAATTATGGATTTTACTGATCCTTTATACTTTTTCAGACCGCTACTCCCTGACCGATAACGTCCGTGACTACAATTTTGTCGCCCAAGCCGAAGTCACCGTACCATGCATGGATGACAAGGCCGAATTCCAGGCCACCGATGTAAATCTACATATCAATAATGGAACCACCAATTTCTAGACGGCCTTTGATGTCATGGGCTTCAGCGAGGCCGAAAAGGATGAGCTCTACAAGACCTGCGCTGCCATCATGCATATGGGCAACATGAAGTTTGCAGAAATTTTTGATTTTTACCAAGGCTTTAGGTTCAAGCAAAAGCCACGTGACGAACAGGCAGAAATTGATGGAATGGATGGTAAGTTAGAAAAATTTATTCTTGTATGAATGCATATATATTTTAAATTTGTATTTAGCACCGGAAAAGGCAGCCCGTCTATTCTGCGTAAACGTCGACATTTTCCTCATGGCTCTGCTTTCCCCGAAAATTAAAGTTGGAACCGAATGGGTTACCAAATCGCAGAACGTGCAACAGGTATGCTTTAAATCAATCAAGATCATCTAGTTTCGTTTTATGACTTTATTGGTATATTTCTAGGTCGACTGGGCTGTTGGAGCGCTTTCTAAAGCCATCTATGCTCGAGTCTTCACTTGGCTCATCAATCGGTAAGCTACACCTCAAAATTACATGTTCGTTTTGTTTACAGCTGCAACCAAACCCTAACTGGCCATCTTGAAGACGCTGCCAACTACATCGGTGTCCTTGACATTGCTGGTTTCGAAATCTTCAACGTAACTGAACACAGTTTTAATGAAAGGGTAATTTTAGCGCAACTCCTTCGAGCAGCTCTGGATCAACTTTGTCAACGAGAAGCTCCAGCAATTCTTCAATCACCATATGTTTGTGCTTGAGCAGGAGGAATACAAACGGTATGGCGCGATTAGAGATTGTCAGACGGGTTTTTAGCGAGGGAATTGAGTGGACGTTCATCGATTTCGGACTTGATCTTCAGGCCTGCATCGAGTTGATTGAAAAGGTGAGCAGGCAATTTAGTTCGTGTTAGGGATATGATAGGTCATGTTTTGTGCTTTTCTGTGAGTGATAACGGACATTAGTGGGGCCCAGAAAAGGCCTAGCCCACCTCCAAGCCAGGACCACCCAAGACGAAAAGACCACCTCGAGCGGAAAGAGCCGTTTGGTGGTCCAAACATGTAGGCCAATCCCTCGAGCTTCATCGTAAAAAGTTTGAAAGAATTAGGAAAATAATCTGAAATCTAAAGCTCTGGCCTTACGCGAATTCGTTTAGTAGGTGAGCATGGAGCTCTGCGATGTGAATTTTCACTTTAGAGCTGAAATTCTGAAGCATTGGATGACCAGATTTTCGATAAAAAACCATTTAGCCTCTCGGCATCATCTCTATGCTCGATGAGGAATGTATCGTGCCCAAGGCCTCCGATATGACCTACGTGGACAAACTCGTCAACCAGCACCTCGGAAAACACCCCAACTTCTCCAAAGCAAAACCGCCAAAGGGCAAGGAGGCTGTTGCTCACTTTGCCATCGTCCACTACGCGGGCACTGTACGGTACAACGCTGAGCAGTGGCTCGATAAGAACAAGGTAACTTAGCTAAGAATTTTGGCCTAAAAACTTATAGGATCCGCTCAACGATTCCGCTGTTGCATGCCTGAAGGCTGGAAACCAAGATGCTTTGGTTTGCAAGATCTGGCACGACTATATGACTGATGTTGATAGGGAGGCTAATGCTGCACGAGGTAAGACGTTAAAAAACTGGGACCGCGATTTCCTACTCAAAAGTTTATTCATAAAATCCAACCCTATTCCAGGCAAAACCGAACAAGGCGGCAAAAAGAAGGGCAAATCCGCCTCGTTCATGACCGTGTCCACAATGTACAGGGAAAGCTTGACCTCCTTGATGACGATGCTCCACTCGACACACCCTCACTTCATCCGTTGCATCATCCCCAACGAGAAGAAGACCTCTGGGCTGATTGAGGCGCCGCTGGTGCTCAACCAGGTTGGATTACCTTAGCAATTATAAATAAAGTTTTAGTTAACCTGTAACGGAGTGCTGGAAGGAATTCGTATTTGCCGCAAGGGATTCCCTAACCGGATGTGCTACGATGAATTCAAATATCGGTATGCTATCTTGGCCGCTGATGAGGCTGCCGACAAGGTCAGTGGATTTTATAAATCTTGTATGGAAATTTTTGAAGGACACAAAAAGCGCGTCGGTAAAGATGTTGGACAAGATTTTGAAAAAGGGACACATTGAGCAAGACCACTTCCGTTCCGGAGCGACCAAGGTGAAAAACCCTTCCTTATTTTTCAATTTTATTCTCATCAGGTGTTCTTCCGCGCCGGAGTCTTGGCTCGTCTTGAAGATGCCCGTGATGAAGCCATCTCGAAATTCATTCTCTACTTCCAAGCCGCCATCCGAGCCCGTCTTGCTTTGGTATTTCTTAATATTAATATTTTTTATATAGTTCCCAGGATGACTACGCCGCGAAGCAACAACAAATCGCCTCATCGCAGGTGATCCAGGAAAATATTCGCGCCTGGCTGGTTATTAGGTAATTGAAATTTTCCGTGTGTAGTTGCTTGCACTCGAGACGGAAGCGAATCATCTGCAACATGTCCGCTTCCCCTGCATCCTTTTTTTGTATATCTCGCGTTCGTTTTCGTTGGGGGCCCCCGCAGAGGGAAAGGGCCCACAGCCAACTGCAAATAGTGGATAGGGGAAACTCGATGGGCCCTTGGAGGCCGTCCGATTGTCTGCCACCAAACGATCAGTCATTGATTCCGAGTCAAGGCTAAAGTCTAACTAGCCAAGATTATATCTTTATACTATCTGTTTATTGTGGTGTTTTTTATGGTCTTTTTACTTTTTATCATTACAGCTTATTCATCCCATTTATACCAAAGATTCAGATATTTAAAATTGCTATAAAAAGTAGAATTTCTGGATTAATGCTTGTAACCAGAGTCTTTGGCTTTATTGCATAACGAATTACAAATAAGAACTTAATTTATCGGTATGTTCTGAAAACCAGCTTTTGAAAAACTTAGAATTCCATTACTGATAACTTAGAAATACCCTTACCTCTAAATCCTCTATTTATAACAATTATTTCCTTCTCCAGGAAGTGGCCGTGGTTCCGCCTCTACGCCAAACTCAAGCCACTACTCAAGGGCATGAAGTCAAACGCTGAGATCGAGGCCCTAGAGAAGCGGTGCAAGGTTTGGAACCACTATATCATAAATCCCTTGTTTTTAAGGAGATCGAGGCCGCCCACAAGCTGGAGGAGGACACCAGAAAACGGTTGGAGGATGAGCTACGCGCCAAGAAGGTTCATCACTTTTGCACAGTTGATTGGTTATTTTTTAGGACGAATGCGCTGACACCCAAGCATCCCTCGATCGCGAACGAGCAGCGATCGAACGGAGGAATAAAGAAATCGAGGTATCATCTTTTGTAATGCTAAATTTACATATTATTTGTATTAAAAGCCATTCTAAATTATAAGCCTATGACCTTACTATCTATCACTGCTGGAACTTATGTGGCTTCCTACTGATCTACCACCTTTCTTATAACCATTTTTACTTGGGATTTCAGTTGTCTTCAATAGACCAAATCGATAACACTAGCTTCTTGCGTTGTTTGTTTTACTCTCGCCGTTTTTCTCCCCCCCCACCCAGCATTCCGAGATCTGAGCTTGCGCCCCCGCAAGATTTATTGTGAAAATCAGGAAGAAATGGAGAATCCTAGTCATTTAAAATAACTTTTATAAAAATGGATTTTTTAGGAGTTGAATGCCAGCCTTCGCAAGGAGCAGGAGAAGCTCGAGGAGGCTGACAAGAAGCAGAAAGATTTGGAGAGACAGCGGGAGAGGGAGAGAAAGGAGGCTGAAGGTATGTCTATCGCTTCGGTAATATAATATTATTGAATTTAGATAGAGAACGCCTGGTGGCCGCCGAATTGGAGAAGGAGAAGGCCAAGGCCAGGGAAGAATCTGAAGCCCTGAAGGAAAAGCTTCGCGTTGCAGATGAGGCTGCGCAGAAGGTGGAGCGGATGAGGAAATCTCAGGTATCGACTAACATCGAAAACACAAAACACCTTAATTAGGAAAAAGAATTGTCTGACGTCGTCAACCAGCTCGAAGCCGCCCGGCAGAAGAGCGAACGCCAAGAGAATGAGCGCAATAAGATTGCCGAACAGCTTGAAAAGGCCGAAAACGAGGCGATTGCCGAACGAAGGCAGAAGGAAGAGATCCAGAAAGGTAAAATCAGCTTAATATTAAGCGAAAGATGTTTTGTAGCCAACAAGAAGCTCGAGGCTCAGCTGAGAAATATGAAAGAACAAATGGAGCTGATGGGCAAGGATCGTCAGTCCTCGGATAGTGACATGAAGCGGTTAGATGAATGCTAAAAGGTTTACAAATTTTTTAGCCGCGATGAGGAGATTTCGATTATGAAGGGCAAGGCGTTATCCGATGCCAACATTATCTCAAAGCTTCAGGTACTGCTTAATATTAAGAATTGTATGTTTCTATGATTTAGTTCAACCTTCGGGCTTGCCTTGCAAGAATTGAGGAACTTGAGCAAGATCTGGATGCGCAGTTTAGAGCGCGCAACAGGGTAGGTTGCATCATATTTAGCTGAATATATCGAACCGGAATCTAACTATCTTATTAGATTGAACGTAACCGGAATGAGCTTCAATCACAATTGGACAGCATCAACGAACAGGTAATTACAAAAATCGCAAAAATGTGAAATATTTACTTTTAGTGCGCCGAAGCTCGCGGTCAATTGACTGCCCAGATCCACGTTAACAATACCCGAGCGGGAGAAGTAACAAAATGTCATTTTCAAAATTAGAATTAATTTAGATGGCTGAGCTACATCGTGAGCTTGAGCGGAAATCGCTTACCCATGAGGCATACGTTGCTGATCTATGCTCTATGCAATATTTGACAATTTCACAGCTACGCAATTTGTCGCAACAGGTTTGTTTTCGAAATTAGAGCCGTTGTTTTGCATCTATTTACGAATACTACAAAATTATTACGTTATCTGTTAGGCTGCAACCATCGAAAATGAGGCCTCGCAACTCCTTGACATCCGCCGAGCACAAACCCTGGCTGGTGCTCTCGTCCGTGACAATACCGTATCCGTCTATGATGAAAACTAAAAAACATCCCCTTCTCCCAACCCCCCACTTTCATACCCTTTCACCCAACCTGATTCTCGTTTGTTCCATCCTGATTTTGTTAGAAATAACTAGCTAATTTTGGACAGCCATCATCGTAAATAGGTAGTGTCGCGTATCCCAGGTGTGTGGGGGTCCATTCACCATCCCAAAGGATTAGGCGAAAACAATGCTCGGTCTAATGAGCGCCACTCGGGGAGGAGTTCTTCCTTCCGCCCCACAACCCCCTCCTATCCACCATACTTATTTCATCAAAATATAGCAAAAAACGGCCCATCTTCTCTCTTTGTATCGATATCCAACGTAACGCTTCAACCTTTTGTATTTATTCCCTTTTTTTCTACCAAAATGGCTCTCAGGCAATGGAAATGTGCTTTTTGCAATAATGGAATGTGCTAACATTGGTTTTTGAATAAAGTTTTTGGAGTATGAACGGGTTATGGTATATAAAAATGAAATTTCCTGCATTAGCGTGTTTGACAAGGAAGGTATGGGATGATTTTTGATAGGTTTCTACATGAAGGTTCCAGAAATGCCTAACTAAGGTTATTTTTATCTTCTTTTTTCTACAAACGCGGATCTTTAATTTTCTTGCCAATATTTAAAAGTATTACTAATTAAGGAGTAAGAGTCTAACTTACGACATGAAAAAGAGATACCTGCATTCGAATGCTAGCGGAGGTATTGGTTTTTTGATAAGCCGACTACAGGAAGCTGAAACAATCGGCTTTCATTTTTTGCTTTGGCCTCTATAAAGCTGGGTCGATTATAGCTGCCACTAACCTGCCAGCTGGATATTTATAAGCCTCTCTAATTAATGACCAATCCCACCCCCTTGGTCGTAGCCAATCAGCCATCGCCAGGTGAAAACTTGACAGTCAGCTGGGAATATGGCGCAGGTGCTCTTTAGGAATGCCCTTTCAGCTGCTGCCCCCCACAATTATTCCAAAGGGGCCACCGAGGTCTCATGTGTGCTGCTGCTTCTATACTGCTTTTCCCGTGTCGCCAATTAAAATGGTGTGGCCCACCAGCGGGTAGCCGGGGAAACGAACCGACGTCTCCTTAGCGGCCCCCAGTATCGCACCCAAAAACTGCTTGGCGTCTAAGATTTTTGAGAATTATTGCGCGCCGGGTATTTAGCTGGCCGTCTCCCCAGTTGTATCAGCACTCCGCGGCTTCCATCGGAAATTGGGGGATTGGGGGAGTTACCGTAAGCTATTAGCTAAGAAATAGATCGTCTATTTTAGGTTACAAATAAGCAAATTTTTCATCACTAACGGATTGTTGCAAAAAGCTATTCTTTTTCAATTTTCAATAAAACGTCATCTGAGTATTTCCAGGAACAAATATCCCCTCTATTTCGTTACCCATAGAATATCAATTCCAAAACATTTGACCAGCTACTTCCCCACTCTACCTTTTCAGGCTATCCTTTCAAAGGCCAACAAAATATGACATTTATAATTACAAAATATTTATTATCGTTACTATCACTACGCTTTTTCGATATTTCGATATACCGACTTCAAATTCGGCGTCCCCCAGCCGAGCGGGACTAGCGCGCAGAAAATATTCCCTCAAAAAGTGCTTATTTTATGGGAGCTATTCCAGGATGTGCGATATTGATGACAGCATTCCGGGCGCTCCAATGGATGCCATTGTGGTGGGGATTGTGAGGGAATTGGTCCAAAACATCGACCTTTCTCAGAGAAGCCCCGAGCAATCAAATGCCGATCGTACGGAGTCAAGCGAGCTCTCATCTCCCACACCAAGTGATAGACCCGAGTCGCCGGTATTTTATTAATTTTAAATAGGCTAAAAGTATGGCTCACATTTCTAAGCCGAAAAGTATCTGTATCGTTTGTTTTAAACCAGTGATTGTTGATTGAAAATTGATTACAGCTTGTCGTCGGGCGTCCCAATGATGATGCTTCAACCCGTAAAGTTTCTGTTGATGAAGGATTGATGACCAAGGAGCGAGTAAGTATAACATCAACTTCCGAATGAGAACCACCTCCTTTTCAGCCGAAAAAATACATCTCTGATGGGGAACTCTCTGATGCCAGCGGGAGAGACACACCCGTGCGGAAAAAGAGGCCAACGAAACGTCGTCCTCGCGACGAATACAGACCGTGATCATTCAACAATTTCAGCCATAACAATTCAATTTAGAAAAGAACGAAAGAAGCCCAGAAGGGATAGATCGGGGTCAAGCTCGAGCCGTGGTACTTTTGACGGATTCCTGTTCCCAAAGTAGGATTGCTGAAACCGTTTTCAAGCAAAATACCATTTTTTGAAGAGATGCCAAAGAAGAGGAACCAAAAGAAGAGCGAAACGCCTATAAATGTGATGAGTGCGGAAGGGGGAAATTATTTTCGATCAAGGTAACAGCTGCCGTATGGCCCGAATTCCGCCTTAGGAAGTGGCTGAACATCAAATCCGGGCCCACGATGCAAAAATCCCATGTCATCATTGCAGCAAAAACCTCGAATCCGTTTCGCAGTAAGGGTTTCCTTGACAACGATATATAACAATTTTAAGGCTTGCCTATCACATGGAGAAACGGCACCCTAGCGAGCCCTTATCATGTTACTACTGTAAGGACGATTTTTCGTCGAAGGTTTCCATTGCCGGAAAAGTTGATTGGCAAACCTATCGGAAGCATATCTATCAGGTTTTATTTTTTTGAATCGGCAATACGTTTTACAGGAGGTTTTGAAAAAGAAAATGTATGTGCTGGCCTCAAAAGATTCGAAAGAAAGTGATCTTGTTGCGCTTCGGGGAGTTGGGCGATGTCCACATGGTCCACCCGTTAAATGCAAGTACGTAGTTAATTTTAACTTAAAACATAAAATTATTCATTACTTTATCCGTAACTATACTCTTTAGAAATTTTCCCAATTGCCCTGGCGAACGTTGCATCTATTCACACGGCCTTTGTCGTTTTGACAAGACATGCCAGGTTTGTGGAGAAATTAAAAAAATAGAAATATGTATTTAGAAGCAAACATGCCCATTCGATCATGCTAGCCGCCCGCGCACCTGTATGACCTGCTTGAACGATATCAAGGTTCTAAAACTAATTTGCATAATAATATTTTAGGGCGGCAGAAGTGGTGGCCGTAATCGTCATTGAATGGATCTCATCAAAAAGTCATAGAAATTTCTAAAATAGCATATCTTCATCATGATCATTAGCCCTGTGATATTCAAATTCCCGAATGGCCAAAAAGATGTTGTCCGTGGTATATATAGTTTGTAATATTAAAGTCTTGTGGATAAATAGTATTTTTATTCAAACCTTGTCGCTCATCAGCAAATTTTTATGACATTAGAAACAAGGAGAAACCGGCAGGGCTAGAGGCAAAAGAGAAAGAGAGATAAATGGCAAGGGGAAGAGTGTCAGGGTCAAAATGGGTCATCTGGGTCCGAGGCCAAAGGGGAAAAGACGGTTGTTGTAATCCCAACGGGAAGCACCACGCTTGGCCCACAACTGCTGCTCCCTCATACCAACCACCGCTATCTATCAGAATCTATCTTATGAGGTTGAAAATGTTTTAAAGCGTATTTTTATCATTATAACATAAAATGGCTGCCCCGACCTATATTCGATCGAATTCTGAATCAACATTTCGTGATGGGGCGTCTTCGTTGCGGTATGTTGTTGAAGCCTCAAGATTCTACGGCAAAAAACAATGAATGCTACTTAATATGCTTATAGGACTAGTGATTTTCTATAAGTGTCCGACTTTGTAATTTTCTCATTGGAAATCTAGCCCTATTGATCGGGTTTTTTTTGTAAATATTAAATAGATCAATCACCCACTAGATATTTGACTATAAAAACTTATTTTTTATAAAACCCAAAATAAAGCATAAAAGAAAACCTTTTAGAGATGAATCGGAGCTTCACTATGCTGGGCTTCGCCGGAAACGTCTTTGCGCTTTGCTGGGTTGCCTCGCGCTACTTTCATTAATAACGATTTTCGTTACAGTGGTGAGTATATGGGACCATTTGGCTAAAATTCATTAAATTTTAAATAGTTCTAAATCTAGATGAATTTCATGATTATTACAACCCTACAAATGGACAAACACGGAATGAGATTTTTGAAGTTCCATGATGTTTGGAATCCAAGCACAAAGAGCTCAGATAAGGTAAGCCTATAAAAACATATTCTTTTAAATCGGCGACCATTTCAGGTGGTTCAATTTGGGGGTTCTGAGATTGATCTCGGAGAAGTGGTTGCTATGACCGGAAAGGTGGCTGGCCATACAGATTCGGATATGCATTTGCAAGGCAGTCGGGTATAACTTACAACGGTGATAACTTTAGAATACTTCAGGTGTTGTTGCAAGCCGGAAAGCCTGTTTCTCGATTGGTACTCAATGAAAATGGCTGCCGCATCGATGGTGCCTCCCAATTTTTGGTATGGACTTTTTCTGAAGTAAGAATTTTTAGGTTGAATCCAAATCCGGGAGGCCTCTGTTTTCGGCCCAGCAGCCGCTTGTGACAATTGATTGGCGCATCAAAAAGTTGAGCGCGAATAAAATTGTGACGAATAAGGTAAGCCAAAGAACAAGGATACATAGCAGAGCCGTTTAGGTGCGGTCTCCGGTAGATGAGAGATTGAACATTACCGTCGAGAATATTTCTCTACGCGGTAATGAAGCGGTTCGATTGGAATCTCATCGGATTAGGCTGCAGGCTGACAAGGGGTCGCTTGGCTTTAACACATCGGTCAGTTCAAATTTACATTTAGCTAATTTTGATATTTAGGTCGATGGATCGATCCATATGCATGGGAAAGTGGCGATCGGGAATTTACAACGGGAATTTCCGCTTTCACAATCGCCCGCCCTAGCAGCTTCGGTTGACGCATACAGGTACGGATTTTCGAAATATTAATAGGTTAAGAATGTTTCAATCAAATTTAAACTTTAATTTTGAAAAATTTTTAGGGTCTGCATTTGCGGTGGCGGTAAACCTCGGCTATTCCTGGTACCTGGCAACAAGCCTTGCTTTGCAACTTTTGACATCTGCTAAAGATTCTCCAGGATTTCATATGTTTTTTGAATCCTCGTCACATCATGGTCTCAACTCTAAAGTATTTGCATCTCTGATAGTCTTTGTCTTGGTTCTCAACCCAAGCTTTCTAAGCTGTGTAATAAATTGTCAGCTCGAAAAAGCACTCATAATGAAAATCGGAAACCAACTGAAAATTGGGCGGCATCGATAAGGAGATGGGCGTGTGAATCAAGTGTTTGCTGGCATGAAATGAGTCATAGGAAGAGGGCCTTCCTCCTGCTTCGCCCCATTCCAGGTAATATTTGTCCCGGCCCCGTTTTGGGGGGCTGGTGTCATGTCTTTTTCTCGGGTCGACAATCCCGGCTTCTAGATTTCGGATTGTCACCATAGCTTTTCAATTTATAGTTTGTCTGCGTGTTCTTTTGCACCAGATCGTCTTTGATTCTGTATTTTTGCATACTGGTTTGCATTCGGAATTTTACCCTTCTTAAAACTATCTTGAAAATCTATTTTGGAAGACGACTACGAGTTTATTGATATTTTAAATAATGCTTCTTATTTTTGTAGAAAATTTCAAAGTGGTAACGTGTATAGTTTTTATGATATTGTTTCAAGCCTTAAGCAACCGATCTTAAAAATTCCTGGGGACTCGTTCAGAAACAATCTCAAATCTAACAGTGCTATTTTTTTTATTACCCCATTAATTCACATGGCAGCTATTCTAAATTCAATACCCCTAATTTACACAGCGAAAATTCCCAAACTCGCCTTCAAACTTCTACAGAATATAAATGAGCCACCTATGGCCAGTCACCTTTCGAATAGTTTCTCAATCGGGGGGATACAGCTCCAAATCGATGAGCCATCGTCGACATATTCGGGGATAGTCATGACTCATAGTTCGGACGCCTACTGAGGCATGCCGGGCATCGAGGCTTCTTCCAGCGATAAGGAAACTCCCCCCAAAAAATGGCCCACTCTTCCCCGGTCGCTGACTCAGTATTTGCATCGATTCTCTCAGTAATAAATCTTCAGGTTATCGGATAGCATTCAAAATCGACGAGATTTGCTTTTATTTTTATATTTGTGCAGCTTTAACGACAATTAAAACACATCGTCAGGATCAGGAAGGCCCATTTCAATTCGCATATAGCGGATCTTAGTTTTAAAATTAGCATAAATCGGCTCTTCACCTTCTTACCCACCCTCTCCTCCGTTTTTGCATAACGTTTGGCTTTTGGCAAAATATAGTGTCGGCCAGCTATACCTTCCTCGGCACTATACCTACATTTCAATTTTACGTAACTACGCACTGCCTAAATTAGAATATTTCTTGTTTTGTCTTCCGGTGCCTTCATCGGGTTTCCTCCTCGATCCCTCCTCCGGGCTGACTCATCCATAATGGGCGCCATCTTGCGCCCAGGCTATACGAAATTTTTGTGCCTCTCGCCCTTGTATTTTCTTTACCCCTGTAAAAAAATTCAAATATTCATTGTTTTAGTTTTCAGACCTAAATGAAGGTACGATGGATTTTGGCAGTGCTTTTGCTGCCGTTAATCTTTGCCCAAAATCAATTCAACCAATTCAACAATGGTGCTCAAGATTATCCACAACAGCCACAGCCCGGGGTAAACCAGCAGCCGAGTGGATATGTTGGAGGAGATTATCGGCAGATCACTCTTTATGATGGTAACTTATCAAAAAATTAATGTTTTGTTAAATCGACTTTCAGGGCCTCTTGTTGCCTACGGTCCACAATGGGGAGATTCGGTCATCGAAGACGATACCCAAATGGGGCGTCTGGTCCCGTTGCACACATTTTTTCCTTACTACGGAGGGAAATACAACTACACCATTGTAAGTCACCCATCAAATTATTAATCGAAGTACTCTTAGATCTCCACAAACGGCTATATCGGTTTCGGCTACTTCAGCGAGCAGCACAGCGCCTATAAAGTGGGACTTGACGTCGACTGGCCAAATAATGCTGACCCAGCCATTATGGCACCATATCTCTGCAGGCTAGTAATTTTCGGCAAAAATAGCTAAAAACAAAATCCAGGCAACGAATTGGAGGAGCCAACCTGCAGCGCTCGCGCGTTTTCTATCGAATTGAAAAACGCGCCTCGTCCCATCAGAACATCAATTATGGTATTTCACCGCGCAAAATTCAGGATTTAGTGGATTTTAGGCAGCGAACGGCTACACTGCAACGGCCAATCTCATATGTTCTGTGACAACAATTCCGAGAACTTTTTGACAGCAATTGAGCGTTCGTTGCAAGGTGGGGAAAGCTATTTCGAATCGTTCTAATCCTAAACTTTCAGAAGGTGTTGCTGGCGGTGGTGTATTCCGGGCACAAGCGGCCCTTGTGGTCACTTGGAAGGATATGATCCCAAATATGGGCGAGGAGGACTCGCGAGCCTCGTACCAGCTCGTTTGGGCCACGGATGCACAGGGTCATTTGGCTTATGCCATCACTAATTACCATACGCTAAACTTTGATGCTGCTGATTTGAACGGTAACTCAAGGACTGGACGTTGCCAGGTATAAAATTGAGCCTGTGTGGTTTTAATAATATTTAGGCGCTTTTTAACGGCGGTAATCACACAGGAACAGTTCAGTTAGATCTTTCTGACTTGACAAAGAATCGGCCATCATCGTTGTCGGACCGATCAGGTAAGTAATAGGTCCTCTTTTACGATTTTTCAAGTCGTTTAATAACAATAAAATGTTTTCCGATCTTCATTAGAGCCACAAAATGCCTTTTTAGCAATTCCACACGTAACCCGTGGACGCTATGTGCACCGGGTTGATGATGTCGTCCGACATGCTGGCTGCAGCAACAAGACGGGCGGAACACGTACGTTTAGAAGCCTGAAAATGTACAAAGTACAAAACTTTTAGACCCACTCCTCATCTACCCCAATATTGTCTCAATGCTTGGCCAAGTCAATGTCGAAGTCAATGCGCTCTGTCTGGACCAAACCGTTGCCTACACACTAATGATCGAAAGCAGACAGGTCCAAAAATTATAATACCTTTGTTAAATTTTTATTAGTCTGCACCTTGCGAAGTTCTTTCTCCCTCTATCGCCCGGTGCCGACTTCCAAAAATTCTGGATTGGGGCACGAAGACCGTGTACTTCCAGCCCCAGGGTGGATTGGCTCAAGATGAAAAAGCTTTCGTTGGATTTATCTATTTCGGTAAGCGACCCTTAGCCCTAGGCTTAAACCTACGATTTCAGTCCCACCAACCCTTGACCCCACTCGACTTGACATTGGAAATGTAGCCCAATGGTATAAAGACCCCGTCCAAACAAGTCAAACTCTCAAATGGTATCCGAGGAACTTCACGAACGAGATGGTTAGGCGTCTTATTTTTCTAAATGATCAATGTTTTAGTTGGGCGCTATTGACACGCCACGTTCTTCCTACATCGATAATTCCATCTATTCGGTGACGCTTGGACTCTTCGTCGTTGGTTATCGTGAAGCCCAAGATGACACGAAGAAGAAATTTATCCCACAGCATCGGGTATTGGCTAGGTAAGAGACGAATAAACTTGGCTGAAAGATTAATGGTATTTAGATTGGGAACATTTACAAACCGGGCTGATGACGAATACCGCTGGAAGGCGCAGGTTGAACGGATCGATTTGAATCATGTTGAAGCCTGGTACCTTTCGGAGTGGGACCGACGCGAAGAGCTTTTCACATATCGGTACGTTCAATTCGCTGGTCATGCATTTTTTTAAGATTCGGATACCTTAAACTCGCACCAATTTCCTCATCCGCACAGACAGCGGCCGGAAATGAACATAGTGTGGACTTGGAACTTCCCGAAGGGTAGGCATGTTCCAACGAATTTTTGATTCAACGTATTTTTAGCCTTGTCTCAGCCCCAATTTCCCTTCATTGGCTCTGGACCACCTATGAAAGCAAAGAATTGACACACCTGAAAAAAGAACATGACGAACGAACGGCAAAAACCGAATTCGTCAAGTTGAGGGCCAGAGAGATGTGCAAGGAGTGGTATGAGGAAGATGGAGCCCTGAACAATTTCATCCGGGAAACCGGTAAGTGAAAATTAAGCTTTTCTGTAAGGCACTTCCAGAAACAAATTCGTCTTGCCCATGCAAAGAAGAGCAAGCTGCCATGGACTACGGTAGATTTATGCCACATCCAAGATGTAGCCGGGTAAGAATCGAAAGGCCAAGCTTAATTTAAGCTTCTATTTCAGTTATTCCGTGATGTTACCTGTACCGAAACGCTTGGGTCGTCGAATTGTTACATGTCCGCTCAGAATGTGCAGGGGTCACACGTTAGAGTGACTAGCGAGGGCGTGCAGGAAAAGTTGGTTTTTTCTAGTGCTTGAACACTGAATTTCTGTAGTTCGTATACCACGCACTACGGACAGACGTGTTGTTATGACGCACAAGGATTCCTGATGCAATCTTCTTACCAGCCGGTCATCAAAATCGACGACTCAACCCCATATTCTCCCGGATTCCCCACGCGAGCTTACGAACACGGGACTTACCCTGATATTGGAATGTTTGAGGTGGGTAGTTATCTTTAAAACCCAGCATCTATATTTTTAGGTTCCTGGTCTTTCCACTTTCCATCACGATATCCTACCTTATTACCTGTGCTGCAAGTTTACTGATTTCCGCTGCCAGCTTTTCTATTGGCGCAGACCATCAAGCGCCTGTCAAGCTTACGAAGCGCCGGCCACTGGTAGAGACATTGTTAAAAGTCACGAACAATTGAATTTTAGGCTCTGTAATGGGTGCCGGGGCGTACACTAGCCTCGACGGACGACAATTTGTCTTCAACGAGCCTGGCGTTTTCACCTTGCTACATGCTCATGCGTAAGTTACTCGGAAAATTTAGCAGCAACGTTTTATTGCAGTACACAGTCCACACCGGAAGTACAAATCCAAGTCCGCCAGGAACGATTCCCCGACAGAAGTGTCAATTTTGGTATTGCTGCCTTCGACAACGATAGATGGTTATTTTTAGGACGTGTCGAGTACAACCAGGATCGAGTCGTCCCTTCCAATTCTACCGTAATCACCGGCGTTGCTCTCAGAACTGAAGGCGCGGATACGGTAAATAAGACACACAATTTTTCACACCGTTTATAGGTGCATGTTGTACTCCGCAAGGATACCTATCGCGGCAGGTACAGGACTACAGTAATTGTCGGGAATGTGGTTCGATATTTTGACAATATGGTGCTGCAAAAATTCCGAGGTGAGTGACACAGCAAGAATTAGGAATATGATTTAGGTGTGACTATTTATGTAAACAATGTGCACAAGGGGCAATCGGAAGTGTTCGTGGTTTTGGATAAGGCACAGGTATGGGATATTTCCCATTGAAAATATCGGAATTTTGATGATTGTATGTAAATTAAATTTTTAGATTGGTGTTCGCATCCGTGAATCTTACGCTATGGATATGGATATAACGCCACAGTTCTGGGAAAGCCCCGGGCTCTTGGATGTTACCGTCTCCGTCCCTCCACAATATCGAGTGGTAGGGTTAAAAATTTACTATTTTACCGTAACCTGCTTAGCACACGTCTTCCCATATGTACGATCAAGGAGAAAAAGCCAAGGTTGAAGGTGTTTTGATGCCTTATGCGGACCAAAGCTCGAGGTATCGAAATTGAATATGGCATTGTAACGCCTGAGTACTCTAGCGGCTACCCACAAGTTCTCCAATGGGCCGACGTCAATAACGAGGGAATGCGCTCGACCCTACTGCGCTGTAAGTTTTATTGTGATTATTCAAGACCACGAATTTAGACAAAGTCGGAAATGTCGATCAATATCTCCAGGATAATCATATTGAAGACCTATTCATTGCCACCACCCAAACGGAACAACTCTTTAATGTAAGAATTTCGAAACAAATCAAATTCCAATTTTTAGGCATTCCCTGACCACTTCTTGAAGGCGCCAACTTACACGCCGGCCACCAAATATCGAAATGCGTACGTAAAACCTTAGTAACAGTGATATTCGCTCTATTTTTCAGCCAGTACAACCCATTCGTTCCGATGACCGAGCAAAGTTACCGGAATTTCATTGAATTCTGCCGAAAGGTACACAATAGCTTCAAAATTATATCTCTTTGGCTTCAGACAGTCCCAATGCAGATGCAGCCAGATTGGGAAAAGGCGGCTTTGAAGCGTTGCCCGCAAGTGCAGAATATGGAAACGAGTTGTGCTGGAGATGTTGCGTGTCTCTTCGATACTACAAATTTACAAGTAAGCTTTTTAATCGCCAAATAACGCCCAAAAAATTCAGTCCCGTCTTCTTGGAGATGAGGCCAAATCAAACCATGCCTACTATCAACTACAACGTGGCGAATCTTTGCAACATTGTGAGTGATAAAGTCACCCAGAATTTAAAAATAAAATTAATTTCTAGTTAATTCGTGCGGTGCGATGAACATCGAGTACCCGGAATACCTAATCAAGGGTCCGTCATCAGCTGGAAGGGCTTACATCGAAGGTGACACTCTCCAATTCAGCTGCTACCAAACACATATCGTCTATGGAGACAACGAATTTACATGTAGGTTGATACCCAAGAACAAGCTAGCAATAAATTCAGGCCAGAAGCTACCAATCGCCCATGATTCTCGACATGGGGATGGTCAGCATTCATATATGATGAAGTGGACTTCTGGTTCGCAGCCTTGGTGTCGACACAGGTATGAATTTAGAAACAACTTGAAAAGCTTTAGTAAAGACCTTTGGATTCCGGTCTCAAAGCAATTCGACGAAAGGGTCTCCTTTGAATTTTTGAAAGATGTACCGGGCTTTGCGCGCCATTTAGCCCTTACTAGCTTCGCATGCATTAATGAGATGTGGGGGAGATATGATAGTGTGTCACTAGACCAGCTTTTGGCGCGAAAGGTTTATAGACGTCGAGGAAGTTATAGTCGTTCTGAACTTCCGGACTCACTTTGAGCCCTGACGAACTCACTGTTCATCACACTTTCAGAGCCAAAGACAACGTTCTAACCTGGATCCAATGGTGCGCTGTCGTCTTCGGAATCCTGATCGTCCTCGTCATCATCTTCGCTTCCTGTTGGGCTTGTAAGCAAAAGATGAAACTTCTCAGTGCTAGATCCTTCGAAATGGTAAGCAGCTGCGCAACCTCAAATACTGACCTTGTTTAGGAACCGCTCCAAGTTGTGCCTGGGCCAAATACCGTACGCTACGTCCGAAACGAGAAGTTGAAGCCCGGGCTTCCGGTGCTTGATCGAGAACCATCACGAAAAAGCTCTTTGAGTAGTTTGCAACCACTAGCGTAAGTTTTTAAGACGACAAACTAATGCTTCAGTTTCTTCCTTTTTGTATATAATAACCCATGTTTTTAGTGATCAAAGCAGACCAAGCCCAAAAAGCCGTGCTAGTGCTCAACCACCATACAACGACTACAACCCAAGACCAGGAAGTGGCGGGGCGCAACGGCGAACAAATGGAAATCAGCGCGGTGAAATCGCTGTCTAAATTTTATATCTCCTTTAATTCTATATGCACCCTATGCAATGTACCCTGTGAAATCTAATTGTGATGATTACTCTCCATTTCAGTTCTAGTCCCAAATTACAAACTCCGGACGCAAATTCCCAATAGCCATTACACAATTCTCCTCCTTGATACTCAGTATCCGCTGTGATTTCGGGCTGTAAATATTCGGATCGTTTTTGTTGTTGTTTATTGCTTTAAATAAATATTTTTCTGCTTTATATTCAGGCGTCTGATTTATCTATCCTAGTAAAGCGACAGACCCTGTTAAGTTCCTTGCTTTAAATGTGTGCGAGAAGAAAGCTGTCGCAAGCACTCGTATAGTTGATTATCCATGTATCGATCATTGATCCACCGATTCGCCCGGTTAAAATTCAAGATTCCCTTCAAATTCCATCCCTCCGAATGGCGCCAAAATGTTTTTAATATATGGTGGCGGCCGTCTGACCGTGGGCAGGAAATAAAGGGAATGGGCGATGCTTTCCAGTCGGCACTCCCTGTCTCTCTCTAATCTCTTTATCGCTTGGGAACATCTCTCCGTTTTTTGAGCCGGATTGCCATCGCCTTTTTGTATTAGTTTTTCCCATTGACTTCTGGGTAGTCTTTTTGCACGATATACCGTCTAAGTATTGGCGATTGTGAGGGCGTGGTACTGTTTTGGTTTTGCGATGTTTTATTTTGTGAGCGCCAAGAAGTTTGGCGAGTTTTTCGTTCGATTGAAATGCCTTAATCGAACCAAATGTACCTTCTAAAAATAATTCTTAACTTGTCGACGAAAAAGTAATGAAGCTACGCTTGCATTAATACCGTATCCTTATTGATTCTCATATTGTCCGGATCTAAACGGCTGTCAAGCTTAATGGATCTAAAAGGTTGCACCAACTCGCCAAATCTAAAACGCCGTGACCGATCAAGGCTCGAGGGTTGGAATCAAGGGGCAGCACCGCTGTGACGCATTCCGGCTTTATTACCAGCTTCTTCGGACAGGAGAGGTCTCCCCCCGTATCGCGTCTGCCAGTGAAGCAAAGCTGCCGATTCCCCACGGCTTCCCAGCCTTCGCAAAACAATCGATTGGCGCTTTGAAGACTCACTAGACGGTGGCTTGATGTGAGTAGACGGTATTGTAGCAGGACATTTTGTGATTCCGGATGGAGTTATTGGGACGATACAGTTATCAAGGTAAAATAACATGGTACCTTAGCGTCTTTGGGTAAGCGGGTTCACGTGAAAAGCATGTTTTTCCACTATATATTGATTTCCTCTAGAAAGCTCCCAACGTATGCAAATTATCTTGGGGTAATTGTATCGCTTTATTAAGCTGTTCTGTGCGTCGGGGTGAGAAGCAAACCAGCACCTCTTTTCGATTGAGCTAATTCAAAAAAATATCATAGTTCACTTGTCGATCAATATGCAATATGTTTAATTTCTTTAGATGACTTTTAAAAATACCTTTCATAAACGTTGGCGCGAAGCCGGATCAATCTAACTTTTAGCCTCGAGCTTGACTACTCGGACGTAACAATAGCCGACTTTAGCAGCATGGCTACTTCAAAAGCCTCCGGGACCAAATTTTGGAAATTTCTCTATTCGTGTTGCAACCTGAAGAACGAAAAAGCTTTAGCCGGAAAGGACTTAGTATTTGAACGCACCGATTCATTCCCCTGCGAAACAACGGAATTTAACCTTATCAATTTCTATCGGGTTCCGCGGCAGTGACCTCACGGGGGTTCGCACTTCGCGACCAAGCTGGGCACAAGTTTTTACGTTTTTTTTTAAATTCAGAAACTAGACATCGTTGATTAACGATAGCGTTTCCCATCAACACCAGAATTTGCGACCGGGATTATCGATTTATCGCTTTGTTCCCAGATTCTTTTTGCTTCATTCCTCAAATTGCAAATGGTTGGTGGGCATCGCATATCGCAGTCCCTCCTCCAGTCTCCACCGTTATCAGGCTCACGTAAAATTTTATGTTTTTGCATCTCATTATTCGGGGCCTCTTTTCGGCGATCGCTTCGGGCCTTCTTGACACCATCACTATGCATCGACTTCGGTCTTGGGAAATATTTAATAGTTGTCCTTTGATCCGGACTGCTTTGGCTTATTTTATCTAGCGGTGATTTGGTTTTTGCCGGGACCGTCGTGTTTTTGGGAATTCTCTGAGAACGACGTGGCATGCCTCGAACTCTGGCCTCTGGCTCCTGTGTTCAAAGTTATATTCCATTCCATTTCTCACGAGCTTCTAAAGGACTAGTGCGCTGCTGTTGGGCTCATTTTCAGCAACTCTTTTCACTACTCCACGCCATTTTGACAAAAGTTGTTTTGTTTTTTTATGTTTTCTTAAAAATGATATGTACTCTAATACAATTCTCTAATCCACAGAACACTTGGGATGACAGCCAGTCGGAACGGGACCCTGGAAGGAAAGGACGGGGAATTGATCCCGCTTCGTCGTAGGGCCACAACTCGTGGTCCTCCGGATGTCGGTGGCTTCATTACCTTCCTCTACAACAAAGAGGTACTTTCGACTTAAAAAAAAAAAAACGAAGCTCACCATGATGGCTCGTGAATTGCACCAACCACATGCAACTCAAATAATTTTAGAAAGGAGAATTCTGCTCGCGGACACCGACGAGCTGGGTGAAAATTGTTGTCTTCTATATCATTTTCTACATTTTCTTGGCTGCATTTTGGGTCAGAGTTCATTTTTTTTGTCGTACGATTTTATTTGAACCACCGTAAATATTCAATCTATTTTAGCTCGCTTGCCTAGCGGCATTCCTTGGTTCACTCAACGACAAACACCCGTCGTTTTACGGCAAAGGATCGATCATCGGTGTTCATCCGGGTGTCGGCTATCAACCGTGGCTAAAGGTAGCTACAGGTTTTCTCGCCTTCTGCCCATACACTTCCCTTATCTTTATTCATTCTGAGTGCACACTTTGGCTTTGATTTTTCTACGCCACCGTTTTATGAGTAACCATTCCGGAGTCGCCGAGGAATTTAATTGCTTCTGCAGGGCGAACGGTTTAGGAAAAAATTCGGGGAAAATCGATGACTCATAAACATTTAAAAAACCCGGTGTATTTTGGCGGCTGCTTACCTTTATTCGGATTTCTAGATCAATAGAAACTGATAAAATTCAGGAGAACCCGGACTCAACCCTCATCAAGTATAATGTTCGCGATGCTCGCACCAGCAAGCTCTACATCGATCAGATGACTACTTATTTGGCCCGATACAAGGTAATAAAACTTCCCAGAAGTGCAAAACCTATTCCAGGACTTAAATGAAACACGTGAATGTGGTCCCGACGAGAGCAATTGGCATGCCAGTGGGGATGAATATGTTCCGGCTTGCCGATTTGATTTGAAGGTCGGTAGAAACAGTCTAAAAGGATTTGAAGAGTGAACTCGTTGATAAATGAGCCGCTTTAGCCTTTCGAGGATGCCGGATGCTCCGCCGAAAATGACTATGGCTACAAAACCGGTACTCCATGCGTCATTATTACGCTCAACAGGCTGATCGGATGGGAACCGTTTGCGTACAGTCTGGAGAGCGTTCCGGAGGTATATTTATATTTTACAAATTTCTTTTGTATCTTTTACATCCCTAGATCCCTAAAAGAAAGAGAAAAGCCACTTTTCTTAGGCAATCCGAGGACGTTACCGTAACGACTCTATCGCGATTAACTGTGAAGGAACGAACTTGGTAGATAAGGTATGTTTTGCAATCGACCAAAGAGAAGTTCTGCGAGTGAACTTGCTATAATTGAGCTTCGAATTACAGGAACATCTCGGTGAAGTGAAATACATCCCGAGTTACGGTATCGATGGCAAATTTTTCCCCTACTCGGTGCTGCCCAACTACCATCAGCCAATCGCTATGGTCAAGTTCGATCATTTGCCAAGGAATAAGGTATATAAAATTCTCATTCATTACCCATTTTCTCAAATTCTAATGTTTCTAACGAAATTGTGGATAAGGTTACCTTTAATTTTTTACTAGCTTGTCTTCGTCGAATGCCGTGCCTATGCCGCTAACATCAAGCACGACATCACCCAAAAACTTGGACTCATCCATTTCGAACTTTTCATCCAAGATAAGGCCGTCAAGGGACTCAAGGCCAACCAACAATCTGGATAAAAAGCTGCTCATCACATCATCGTTACGCATGTTGTAATTATCTTTCCTGGTTTTAAAAGCTCTTTCTCAATGCCTCCATCTCCAATCCGCTGAGTATTCTCCTCTTTTTGTGATTCCCATTCTTTCCTGTCTTTTCAGAGTATTTCTAGTGTAGAATTATCACATAAAAAGATTTTTATCCATTGCACATTACGGGGGCACGCTCGTATGACATTTCTGGGCCACTCAAAGTATTCGAATTCCTTAATGGGGGTGAATATTGCATAACACCAGTGGGCCACGCGCGAAGAATATTAGCGTGGCCCGAGAGCAAATCAATTTATGGGTAGTGGGCTATTTGAAAAAATCTATATAGTGGACAAATACCGCTGATTTTGGTTTGAAGTAGAAGGTATCGGTGGGTAACTGTAATCTGGGGGAAAATTTTTCTGGGATGGATCGGGGAAATGAAGAAATAACACAGTCAAAAGACGATGAAGCTCTTCAGGGCTGGCGTGGAATGACCATTTGGGACAGCCTTGAGAATGTTTTTGGGGGCTTTTTGAAATAGGACAGTTTGGAAGGGGCGGTGTGAATGGCAAAATGGGATCTTGGTTACGTTTACCATCCACCACCCATTCCGTTCAAATTGCATTCTATCTAATAACAATCCGTGACGAGGAACGGGACTGAGGCACATTGAGTCAACTCATAGAAGGGCCGGGGCGCAAAATAACGAAAAGCAGAATCATAAATTAGCCAGGGTGCAAAAGAGGAAGAGGGTCGTAGGGAGCAGGGGGAAAAGAATATATGGCACAGCTCGGTAGAAGCCAAAGAAAGGGGGAAGGAAGGAGCGAGAGAGACGAGAGACAGCAACAAAGACTTTAAAGGAGCACACAGCTGTGGGGGGGGGAGAACTTTAAAGGGCTTGAAAAGGGAAGTAGGGCCTGAGGGAGGGAGCAGAACCGGCTACGGTGGTCACAACCCCGGGTTGGTGAAGACACTAATGACGGGTGCGAATAAGGGAAGAGTTGGGGATGGATAGACGAGAGGAACAGGATATATAGCAATGAAGGCTATAAGCAAACTGGGAGGATTTATGATTGTTATCGGCTCGATTTGGTTGACATTAATGCGGGAATTGGTTGGGCTGAGACGGATTGCCGATAACATTCAAAACCCCTTCGACGTAATTCGAGCCATCCCTGGACTCTGGAATTGTTTCTGTGCAGCAACGGGTGGAGGGGAAAATCAAATATGGAATGGGAGTGTGGATCCCAATCATACAGCCATGGGGGAAGAGTTATATATTTAAGGGGAAAGGCAGAGGATGGGGAAGAAGGGGGGAGTTTTGGATAAATGGTGCGGCAGGCTACGGGAGACTCCAAAGGGCTCCTCAGTACGGGGCGAAGCGGGTTGACGATTGGCCGGCTTGTGTAGCTGCCTTTGATGATGGTGGTGAGGCGCCCTTGACGAGATGCGTTCCGAGCAGCATACTGCAACGATCCAGCTTACATTCGTGCTTTCTATTTGTCACACTCTCGCGCTCTTGAATATATTCATTGACCGTGCCCCTTGCATGCCTGAGGGGTTGGCTAGAAGTCGGTTTTTTTTACTCGAAAAGGGCTACAATAGGGACCCACTGCAGGTTAGGGTGAGGCAGAAGCATTTTCGTCCAAACATACACAGGCTAGACACGTGGAATTCAGGGGACTTAAGCTTCGATGAGGGGCAGATTTCTTGGAGGGATTTGTAATTGACGGGCTACGGGTTAGCTAATATAGTTTTATCTTTTCGTAGTTTATGATTTTTTATGCTAATATATGGATTTAATAAAAGTAATTTACCAACGCTAAGCATCAAATATAGTCGTTATTTCTATCAAACTTAATTTTATTAAACCATTGTATAATTGAGTGACCCGTAAGCCCATGCAAATCCGTAGCCCCTGAAAAACACTACCATCGCACCTTATGATATGCGCGACTACCGTATGCAGAGACCGGTTAGAACATAAAAGGTCAGTCCGGCTGGGGGAAGGTCAATTTCAAGTTTTGGTGCCACGTGGTGGATTGCATAAGGGGGATAGGTTTGAAATAGAGGAGGGAAAATTTCAGCCCAAAAATAGGTAGCATCAAATCAAAAACGTTTGTATCCGATCGTGGGGTTTTTTTTGAGCAAATCTTATCAGAAATCCGAAAAAAGGTCATCTAGACCAAAGTATGGGGGTGGAATTTTGAGGGGTAAATGGAAAAATCAGGGTAGGAATTTGGGGGGAAGGAAAACTAAATTGGCGGCATAAATGTACAAATATATTTGTTTGGTGTATGGTTTGTCATCGCGGGCGATATGTTCACCTGGTGTTGAGGGCAGCATATTGGCCGAGGCCGGCGAGACCGAGCTGTTCGTATTTTTTCGCTTCATCTTTGGCCCATTGCGCTTGGAGGTTTTGGGCGTTCATCAGGTTGGCAGTTTGGGCGGACGCATCACCGGCACTCATTAGCATTCCACCGTACACTGAAAAGTTGTTAGATTACGGAGCACTACCTTATGCTGTGCCGAAAACTAAACAAAGTATTACACAATTAAATTTGAAATTTGGCGTTCGCTGTTCTTTTTGATTACGGGTTAAATCAATTTTTCTATGAATATATATGAATATTTTATGGGTATGAATATTCTGTAAAGTATAAGGTATTTAAACACCATTTTGCATACATTTAAATCATAGAAATTCTTAAAACTTTTGAAATATTTTTACTTTTTGGGTAAAAAGGTCGAAATATGCTTAGAAGAACAATTTTTATTTACATTTTTCGGAATTGGAAATACCAGAAATACTATCGAAATAATTAATTACAATCGAGATTAGGCTGAATAAAAGAAGCGCGTCTACCCCTTATTATAACCTACTCGGAATATATCCAGCATATGACGTTGCAGCTGTCGGATCACCCATCGAAAGTTGAGCACCAGGCATCATCGCGCTCAGCTGGGCTGCTCGAGTCAACTACACCCAGATGCTTAATCCAACTACAGCTATGCTCACCTGCTCAGCTGCTCCATTTCCCTGGGCCATGATGGGTTGACCATGGAATGGTTGAGACAGAAGGGCAGCTACAGCCTGTTGTTGAGCTGCCGCTTGGGCCGCCGATGAGGCGATCAGCAACGGGTTGAACGTCGGCTTCGGACGGTATTGAAGGGTGGCGCCTTTGGGTGGTGCCTAAAGATGATTTATCTGATTATTTTTTTTTACTTAATTTGCCTGAATTTAATTTCAACCAAATCTGCACCTCATCGCATTTTTAACGATTATTTATCAAAGGAGCTCTCAATAAAGCTTTCGTAAATTGAAAATCCGACGATATGCTGATTCGGTGCAATGAAAATTGGACTAATGCAAATCAATCCATTTTCAGGAGACCCACCTCTAGCAAAATATTGCAGATCTCCTTCATGCAAAGCACAATAGCGTCCGCAGTCCCCGACAGCGTCACAGCGCGTTCTGTAGATGATGGCAACATTTCGGAAGCAACTTGAAGCGATGCTCCAGTTGTCTAAAGATAAGGATGACAATAACTGTTAGCAGCTGCTACAAACCTCTCGAATTTCCTTAATTTTACTGCCACCTTTTCCAATTAATGATCCGCATTGGGTGGCCGGGATGATCATCCTCATGGTAATCGGCGGCTTAGGCACCGAATTGGGTAGGGCTTTCATGTCCTAAATAACTGTAAGGTGGTTAAAAAGCTTTTTCTCACATCAGAAAACTTGTTGCAGATCATGGCAAAGGATTTGTCGATCGTCTTCAGGGATCCAGTGATGGTGACGATTCGCTCTGGGCATGAGCCGTCAGAGATATTTATCTGAATTTTTGCATGGTAATTCCTAGTGTAAATTTTTCAATTACCTTTGCTCCGGATTCCTCCCGAATTAGCTTAATTTGGTCTCCACGTTTGCCAATGATACTGCCCACTTCCTAAAATGAGCGTTAGATCAGTTTTTGGCTAAAAAATAGCTGGGAATCGGCAGCAATAATTTACCTTTCCCTGCATCAACAGTCGAATCGTTAGGATCAAGCTCATAGGTGGTGCTCCTGGGGCACCAGGTGCCGGAGGAGATTCTGACCCGGATGGTTCCGCATTGAAATCTAAATTATGCTTAAAAATTGTTGGCCGCGGCTGACCATGCAATTCAGAGTACTGGGCAGCATATGATGAGGGTTGGGTGAAGGAAGCTGTTGGGAAGACGGAGGGAGGGAACTGCCCAGTCAGGTCCATCTCACTGCAATTGATTGGATTATAGAAAAATCTCGGAAAACAGAATATGGAGAAGTTGCATTGAGAAGAAAAAATATATAGCACAGTAAGCAAAATGATGAGGCGTATAGAATTTGACGGGTAAAAGATTTTTTTAATCGGCACACCGTATAAGTCAGTAATTTTCTGAAAGAAGGGAGTGCTTTTAAAAACACGCCAAACTGACGAAAATTTGTTTTTGTGGCTAAAATAAACCGCTTCGACGTTTTTTGAGAAGACAATACATTGTTTTTAAAAAATACTTGATATAATGCCAATCCGTATTTTTTGAGTATACAGAAATTTAACTACGGTAGCTACGCCTAATCATTCAAAAAAAGTCCAATAAAAATTCTATGAGTATAGCAACACATTCCATCGCCGGCCAACCGCCCCTGTGAAGAAACCGGAATCGATGCAAATGCCTTCCTACGGACTTCACCCTACTGGCCCTCCTTTCCGTCCTTCCTTCCGAAGCTTCCAAGGTGGACGAGCCGCCGAAGGGGCCGATTGAATTTGGATTTGGACGGCGGGGCCCCCGGGGCCACTGCATTCAGAGCCCCCGGATCCCCGTAGAAGGGCCCAGCCGCCAAACTTATCAATTTGGGAAGACGGGATGGGGAAGGGGGAAGGTGCAAACAGCACCAACCCATATATTCCGTTCTTCTTTTCCGTTAACGGAACACAAACAAGCGACGACGGTTTGGGGGTTATGATTCAGCGGGAGGATATGGGCATATGACAGGGCTGAAGCTTTATGGCATGGACGGAATGGAATTTTGCGGTGGAGAGAGGGAAGGAGGAGGAACGGTTGAATAAATATAGGACAAAAGAGAGTCGTAAATTTGGAGCATCTTGGTATGGGTATGGAATTATGAGTTTCAGGTAGAATTAGATACCTTGAAACTGGATATCTTGCACCTGCAGTTCCGATGTTCGGGCTAACAAGTATTTAGGATGCAAAGGACCACATCAAAAAATATAGGTGATTTTCATTACATTCAGATTATATGTAGCGACATAACAATACTTACTGTTTCCCTACTTAATATTACTTCGTACAAGAAAACTATTTCCTTTGTATTGCCAAAAAAATTTCCAAAATTTCAAACTTTCAATCCAAAAATGACATTACACTTACCCCAAAGTAACCAGGAAAAAGTGAACCGTCTAGCTGTAGACTGGCAAAAGCTAGGGGCCCTAAGGGACAACCCGAAGACCCTCCGCCTCTAGGTGGCCTATTTGGGCTAGGGGCCTGGAGTGAGGATTTGGAAGGCGGTCGCCTAATTGTGTGATGTGGTTGCTAATGGGGGGATGGGCCCCCCAGCTATGGCTGGGCCCTCTCCATCGGAACCCGGACCGTGTGGTGGCTGTGGCTGGGCCTTACTGGCTATGGGCCTTTTCTTAGAGGATGGTCGTTAGGGTTGGGAGGTTCCAAGCTTTATTTTTAGTTTTGGGAAAGAGGTTTTGGGGGAATGAATATTGTCTTTCTAAAAAGCCTAACATATGTTGTTGTTTTCTAAAAATTATCTTGAAGGTCATTGTCGATTACAAGAGATCTGATATTTTTTGATCGCCAAAAAACCTAAAAAGTTAAATTGATCGATCTGGACCAAATCCGACCGTTTTGATCATCTAAGACGGCTTAAAACTCTTCATAAAAAGAGAAGTTATCAGACACACCAAAAATTAAAAATTTATTAAAAAAATAAACTAAAAACTTATTCCACTATCAATTAACCAAATTCGCGAATTAAATCAATGAGCAAGAAAATTCCACCATAAAACTCCCATAAATTACATTGAAGTGAAAATAAGGGAGGGCCAAGATGGAAATGGTAGCTACTCCATTCGAAGAGCTTTGGTAGAGCCCGAGCCCTCGCCAGTGGTCTCCCTCCCCCCGAAAATCCCCTCCTTCCACTTCACACCTCCTCCGACGGCGACGCAAAACGAAACGGACATTCTTCCCCCCTTGCCGACGAAGCGGTAAGTGGCTGTGAAATTGGTGGACTCTCCCGGGACATCCTCCGCTCAGCTGAAGGGCTAAGGAGTATGGCCCCCAGAGGGCCCAAAACCTCTAAAACCTCTAAATAACCAAATGGAATTCAGTTCCCCCAACTTGGAGTGTTCGGTGTCCATGCGTGTCTTGTGTGTGATATGATAAGTTGAGGCCGAAGTAAAGAAGGGGGTTGAGATCGATTGGAAATGTTGAGTGGACACAGTGCTGCCCCCGGTCCCCCTTCTATTCCGGAGGGCCAAGATAAGATAACGGCCCGACTTCTTACCCTCACCATAAGCCTCGTCACCGTAGCATAATTCTGCTGGCCGTGAAAATTTGTTGGTATAATGAGGGAGGGGAGGGTAGAGGGCTCAAAATCGTATACTGTAGTTTTGAGTAGCGCTATACCAAAGATTCGATGAATCTCTATTACACCGAAATGGATTATGTCGCAATTTCAAGAGGTTAAAAATCAAGATGATAAAGTCGCTTATACCAGCTTTGGTATTAGAAAAATATCGATTTAGTATATAAAAATATTTATACCAAACTTTCTCTTATTCGCTATTAAACCGCAATCGATTATATCAAAATTTCAAGAGGTCGAAATTCAAAATGCAAATTTTTATCATAACTAAAGATATGATCGTTTATCGCGACACCGGAATTGAACATTCACCAGCCAAACTTTGACATTTTAAGATTGCGACTTAACAAAGTAGCAATTTAATTATTTTTGCTAAGATCCTAAAAGGTGTGATATATTCGAAAAAATTAGATCCACGAGACCAGGTGGGTGATAGGCAACCATCCATATTACCCGACCCCGTTATGTAACCTTATTTGCCATAGCGCCCAGCCGCCAAAAGAGTGTCAATCCAACGGGGATCCAAGGCTACGGTCGCCCAAACAAACCCAAAAACGGATCGGTATTGGGCTAATGGAAGCCGTTGGAGAACCATGCGGTGGGGCAACGATGCTGGGAGGAAGCTGTGGAGAAAGGTGAAATCAGATCCCTTCTCCTTCTTCGCCTCGTCCTCCTGGGCCATGGGCTTACTTTGGCACTCGTTGCCCAGATTTGGGCCATCCGGAGCCCAGTTTCATTGATCGACTATTTCCCTAGAGTGGGGGGGGGCTTAGGAAATGTGATAGCTGAAGAGGTCTGGCAGAACTTGAGAGGTTTGTTGCATGGTTCGGCCGGTCTGGATAGAAGGGGGGAAGCGTGGAGAATGGTTAATTGTACTGAGAATTTGTTTGCAATAATTCTTTCCAGGAAATACTTGTCGAAAATTACAGTTTCATAGCGTAAACAATTTTTGAAACCGCTGCGCGGCCCTTTTACCCTAGCCCCGCCTGCGGCCGTTCCGTTTGATATGCAGTTTGCATACGAAACTGCCCGGCAAAAAAGAAACGCAGCTCCTGGGTACCTTTCCAGTTCAGTTAGTTGCTAATATTTTCTAACAAGTCGGGTGATGTGCTTTTTCGAACAAAAACATGATTTTGAACTCAAAATTTTGATTTAGAAACAACTTGATAAGCATGCAGGGGATTACGCATCTAATGACAAACCATCCATACCTTAAGAGCATCTCCCTAACCCGAAATCATCAAAAATTTACGCAATTTGCATACAGACACCAGTTAATCTATTAATTAATATTAATAATTTTAATATCAAAAGTATTCAAAAAAATATACGGATTTGTCTTAGGATAGATCATGCGATACCTCGAGTCGACGGTGAAAATACTTCAAACAACATTTTCCAAAAAAATCGGTATACCACCGGTAGAACATTATTGAGATAACAAATCAATAGAAAAGATGAAGAGGGCCCGACCGGGTGCCCGATTGTGAGGGCGTTGTTGGCCCCAGAGGACGATGGTTGGGGTGGGGGGGAAGGGAAGGGCTTTGAGGCAGCCGGATCCGATCCCGCGGCTCACGTTTCTCCGCTCGGCGCCCACACACGTTGTGCAAACACTGCCACATCCATTCCTCATCGATTCACCCACCTAACCTAACTCTACACCGCGAACACCTCTCCCAGAATAATGGCCGTTGTCGATACTATGTGTCATGGATTTGGTCGATTTCTTTTAGAGTATTTTAGGCAAATTTAAGCTCTGCTTAGGCTTAGGCTTAGCTTAAGAAAATATATTAAAAAAATAATGGAAAAGAGGAAGATTGTAAAGAGCTTTGTTTGCAATTAATTAGCTCAAACCACTGTTAAATCCTGAATTTCGAGGAATACGATGTAATAAGCTTAAAGCCTTATACCAGGCTTGGAGCTCATAGATACAACAAACAAAAAATATTTACATTTAAAATTTAGAGTATGATCCAATATGAATATACAATCTGCTTCTGATGATATGGTAAAGCAGAGTAAATTCGACCAGTAAAAAATGAAAAACTTTTTCAACAGTTCTACTATCCCCTAATCGATCGCCTCACGAAACCAGGCACCTAAGTTCGAATTTTCCACGCCCTACTACCTAAATAAAAAAATCCAAAAATCAATTCTATTCCGGGTCGCCGGTTGAATGTCAAAAATCTCGAAATCGAGAGCGACAAAAAGTGCGGGGATGCGCGCGGGCTTAGAATTGGCCGAGATCCAGGCCGGATCAACCAACACCCGTCAAATAGAAGAAGGAGCCGGGCCCTCAGGGGGGGGGGGAGGAATCGACGGAAAGATCAGAAGGACGGAAGATTTCGAGAGTGTTGTTGAAAGACGAAGCCACAGAAAAAGGGGGGAAAGCAGACGTCGAGGAGAAGAAGAAGAAGAAGAACGGGGCGTTAGGGTAGAGGGGGATGGTTGTGTGTGTGTGTGTTTGTCTGTCTGTATGTGTGTACGGTCTGTCTGTCTATCTGTATGTCCTCCTCTGGCCCAAAGCGAAGCAGAGCCTCCGTCCGCCCCGTCCTTCCCCCCGGCCCTTCTTCTACCTTCTGCCCTGCTCGTCTCGTCGGCTCCCTCTACCGATGC